CGGGTGTTCCGAGTGAAAACGGAAGTGGGTACATATAATACCGAATGACACCTTTAAAACGGAAAAATGAAAGGATTTTTTTACCGACTTCCCCGTTCATAGGCTTTGCCTAATTTCATATTAAAAGTATTTGCACAATTCACTGAATTCAGGCTGTTCCTGTTGAAGTATGATGTAGAAAATCAGTAAATAATTATTACTATCATTGATAAGATTAAGATTATAATATGTAAAAGGCAAAGCCTCAAAGCCAGCTCGATTTTCTTTTACCGTAAAATAGTTTAAAATAATCGTTCATTTTTATTTTACATTTTCTGTTTTAAAATTGTCATTCGGTATTTTATACACTGCTTTCGTTTATTCTGCTTCCTCCTTTCTATTATGGTTCCCAACTCAGTGTGCAGGACACCAGTCTACGCTTCCGTTTTCAATCAGAGTACATTGGCTTTTATCGTTATCTTGTAATTCGAAAAGTTGCGATGTGTCCAATTCGGTACTTCAGACGAAAGTTTTCAAAACCATCACCTAGCAGGTACTCGCGTTACCGTTAAGCTCGTTTGCGAGCTTCGGGCCAGCTTGTCAAGCTCGCTATAATAAGAACTGTAGTTATGATGATAAACATAAAAAGCTTCTTATTTAAATAATAGCCACTTCGATAAATCATTGCGTTGAAATACGGTAAAAACAACAACTCTGATTAAAGATTAACAAAAATGACTGAAAGGATATTCGCAAACATACGGAACACTTCAATGATAGGTTTAACACCACCAATTCATCATGTTCATTCAAATATTGAACAGTATTAAATACCTGGATGTACTTAATATTGCAAAGTCCAGGACAGATCTGGTTGATACATTGAAGACTTTACGCTTGTTATTAAATCATGACCTTTCCATGTCATAGGTTGCACGTAATTTCATATAATTTATGGAATGAGAAAAAAAAATTGCAAAGCGGGAGGGGGGGGGGGTGTGTGGTCCAGAACAGATTGTAGTCTAGTTCCATGAAACTATATGTAATAGCAGATAACATATAAACAGATGATATGAAATATGTTAAAAATGTATATGCCACATGCAATTATTGTCTGAAAAGGTCAATTTAGTTCCATAGCTAACCACCGGACCGGTAGAAGTTGACAAGTGTTCGCTGAAGAATGACAGACTATTCTCTCCCTTACCAGTTCCTCTCCCTGACGGTTCTCTCCCTAACCGTTTCCTCCCCTGACGGTTCTCTCCCAAATTAGAAATATGCAGACAGTTCTCCCCCAATTTTATTTTTATAAGAAATCATTTTAGTTTTGACTTAATCTAATAATATTTCTTAATGAAGCTTATTAAAAGAATGTGTTTGATATTAACTGCATTTTATGTTTTATGTTTATCAGCTGAAAAGGGTTTGTAAATTTAACACCTTTTTTCAGTATTTTAAACCTATCAACACCTTTATAGTGAGAGATATAGATCATTGGTCAGTGATTGATGTACACCTGTAATTATGTTAGGTCTAGCTTGTGATGTTCATTCATTTGTTAAATAGTGAATAAGGTGGAAACAAGAATGTTCTAGAAAATAAATAAACAACAACTGGTATGCAAACACATTCCACATTTACTTTTTTACGAAATTGATTTAAAAACATGTAGTCATTAACTTGAAACAATATATAATACCAAATAACTAATATAATAGTTAATACTTATTCTTTTACACCTTTTCACAGCTATTTTAATCTAATCAACACCTTGATTCTTGAGTAATAAATTAATAAACACCTCAATTATCACTCAGACAGCAAACTTAACACATAGGCCTACATGTGTGTATTGAACTCCTTTTTTCATTATACAAAAGTTTAGCAATTATAAAAATAAGAATGGGGAGGAACTGACTTCTAATTTGCAAATATGCAGACAGTTCTCCCCCAAAATAGGGAGAGAACCGTCAGGGAGGAAACGTCAGGATAGGAACTGGTAAGGGAGAGAATAGTCTGACTACCTTCGCTGAACAAGGGAATATTGGGAAAGGATTCGTACCCTCAGGGTGAAATTAAAGGGATAAATTTTAATTCTTATTACTCTAGTATATGATTACTTGAATGACAATCAACGTTAGTATTATTGAGTCCGTAGTTTACGCATAAACCGTACTTTTTTACGAGCAGCCGCAATCTTCTCCCGTTTTGCACTGTCGGCCATGTTTGACAGGTGCGCACACGAAGACGGAAGTCTAAGGCTAAACTTTTACCATTTCCAGCATTTAGAGTACTAAATAGAGCTGGCTTTTTTTATATACCCGAATTTCTGGCATATTATGTTATACCCGCTGGCGTCCGTCCGTCCGTTAGCAATTTGGTTTCCGGAGCATAACTTAAGTTCCATTTGGCCAACAGTATTCAAACTTTATAGGATGATTGTCCGTATTGGGTCGAAGACCCCTATTGATTTTGGGGTCAAAAAAGGTCAAAGGTCAAGGTCACTATTACCTTAAAACTGAAAATGGTTTCTGCCACAGATATTATATTTAGCTCCATGTTTCCGCTCAATCATTTAAGTATTTATCAACCTAAGGCTGTAAAATTTTATAGGATGAACAGCCACGTCCAATACATGGCCCCTATTGTTTTAGGGTCATAAGGTCAAAGGTCAGGGTCACAATGATTTTTACACTGAAAATTGTGGTTTCTGGAGCATAACTACAACTTGGTGATGGTGCTTTGATGTTTCATCCTTACTAACAAAAAACACTTTTGGGCATATAATATGCTCCGCCTAACATGAATTAGTAACAATTCACCGCACTAACGATTTGCCACAGAACAAAGTGGGTAAGTTTACCATTTATTGATATGAATTAGAAAAAAAAATATTGAAGTATTATAAATATTGTTTAATAAATGGATGAATTACAGAATTTCAATGACTAAACACATTTACAAGTATACGTTAGATGTAATAAAAAAATTAGAATACATGTAATTAACATGGAGCTAAATATATTGTTTATATATCTGTATAATTAATAATATCATATATATGCTAAAATATTATTTTCTCTTCCTAATTTATATCAATAATAAACTTACCCATTTATTAAACATGTCACAGGGTAGAATTAATAATAACAACTCCTGGCGTATGTTCGTCAATTTAATATAATACGAAGATAAAGCCTAGAAAAAATAAATACATGATTAAAATACAAGTTAATTAAAACATACATAAAATACAACAATATAACAATTGAACGATGCAAATAAGAATTATTTCAAGTAAATGAATCAAATGAAAATAATCTTACCACAGCGTCTCAATACAAAAAGTAAATAACTTAATAATAAGTTATTTCCAAAAATTCTATTAAATAAACTTACAGAATTTATGTACTAAGTAGAATAGTATATATTAACTCATAAGAGAATAAAGACGAAGTGAAGTGAAAAAGGAAAGTTCGCGGGAATTTGGAAGAAAGGAAATGTTAAAAACCTATCTAAAACTTTCTCTCAAAACTCTTTCATACAACGTACAAAACAAATGGACATACAAAAACAGTTCACAAAATTGCACGAGATACAGACATAGTTGAATTGTTTTGTTTCGGCTGTTTCCGTGAATTTCCGCTAATAAGCGTACATTACGGAACCATCCGATACAATACAATAGCAGACGATAACAGACGCCACAGAGACAAACGATAATCGACGCATGCGCGGACATTAAGATTACTTTTCCCGCGACTAAATGACGAACATTGCACGGCAAAATGAACAATTAACATAATAAATAAAACGACCCGTGACAAACATCTAAATAATTCAATAACATATTTTTTCTCTAATTTGTATCAATTAAGATGAGAATAAAATTTATGAGAAAAAATGATAATTTAATTTTAATTGCTAAATTTCATACTTTTGTATAATGAAGAAAGGAGTTCAATACACATCTGCATATCTTTGCTATCAGAAATAATTGAGGTATTTATTAATTCATTACTCAAGAATCAAGATGTTGATTGGATTAAAATAGCTGTGAAAAGGTGTTGATGAATAAGTATTTTTATTAGTGATTTGGTTTTATATATTGTTTCATGTTAATGACTACATGTTTTTCAATTTTGTATAAAAGTAAATGTGAAATGTGATTGCATACCAGTTGTTGCTTATTTATTTTCTAGAACATACTTGTTACCACCTTATTAGCTACGTAACAAATGAATGAATATCACTACACCTTAACATAATTACAGGTGTATATCAATCACTTTCCAATTGTCTTAATCTCTCGTTAATAGGATTAAAATACCTGAAAAGGATGTTAAATTTACAAACACTTTTTAGATAAACATAAAACATTAAATGCTCTTAAAATATCAAAAGTATTTTTTTAATAATCTTCGTTAAGAATATTATTAGATCAAGTCAAAACTATAATGATAACTTATAAAATAAAATTGAGGATAATTGTCTGCAAATTTCAAATTTGGGAGAGAACCTTCAGGGGAGGAAACGGTTTGGTAAGGGAGAGAATAGTCTGTCATTCCGTGAAACGTAATAAAAGTGAAATAAAATTCAATTCTTTTTTTTAATTCTTTCAAAGTACTACTGTATTACCTAAATTAATCAGATTTCCATTATCACGGATTTAATTCGTGCCATTACATCCGATTATTATCATGCTTTAAACACCAAGCATCTATAGGCTATATTGTCCGTGTTTCGCTCTTTCTCTATTATTATTGTGAGCATTTAGACTGTGCCATTGTATACATTCTCAAATGTTGGATTATTTTGTATGTATATATCAGTTAAAACAATTTTATTGCGTTTTTATTAATAATTTATACAACTTAAAAGAAATTGCATTACTTAATGATACAATATGAGCATTTATAAATATCTATCGACTTATTTATACATACCGGTAAAAGTAACCAGTACTCGGACAGGAGATGTAACTGGTTAACAGGTCTAGGATTTCATGATATGTATGGATAGTCTAGAAATCTACAGATGTTTAATGTGAAATTTGATGTTTTTATTTTTATACTATAATCCGCAGCTTAATATGAGTTGTTTATATTGATTCTTTACATTATCAAAGGAAATGAGGTAAGTTTCAACTTTGTATGATAACTTTGAAATTTTTGTTATAAGTGGAAATTGAAAGTCATCAAATTGTTCTAAATCTTACCATACTGCTATATTTTATTATATAATCAGTAACCTTATTCTTTTTTAACATGCGGTTTAAAATTTTAAAAATTAAAACAAATTCAACTATTTTATCACCGCTTTATCAGTTTAATGTCTGTAAATTTACAGATGAAAAATCTCTAGAGTACATGTAAGTAATAGAAGAGAAAAAAATCTGTATAAAAGAAATACTTTTTAGTTTAATTTTTATGCTCCCCGAAAAATTTTGGGATCACCATATTGAGACGACGTGTCGCGCGCAACATTTGGGTCGCTACCTTGAAGGTCAAGGTCACAGCATGACCTTGCAGCAAAATCGTGTCCGGTCCATAACTTTGTTATTTGAAGTCGGATTTTAAAACTATTTCACAGAAAGGATCACCATATTGAGACGACGTGTCGCGCGCAACATTTAGGTTGCTACCTTGAAGGTCAAGGTCACAGCATGACCTTGCAGCAAAATCGTGTCCGGTCCATAACTTTGTTATTTGAAGTCGGATTTTAAAATATTTCACAGAAATGATCCCCCTATTGAGACGACGTGTCGCGCACAACATTTGGGTCGCTACCTTGAAGGTCAAGGTCACAGCATGACCTTGCAGCAAAATCGTGTCCGGCCCATTACTTTGTTATTTGAAGTCGGATTTTAAAACTTTTTCACAGAAATGATCACCATATTGAGATGACGTGTCACCCGCAACATTTGGGTCGCTACCTTAAAGGTCAAGTTCACAGCATGACCTTGCAGCAAAATTGTGTCCATTCCATAAGTTTGTTATTTGAAGCCGGATTTTAAAAATATTTCACAGAAATGATCACCATATTGAGACAATGTGTCGCGCGCAACATGTGGGGGGCTTCCTTGAAGGTCAAGGTTACAGCATGACCTTGCAGCAAAATCGTGTTTGGCCCATAACTTCGTTATTTGAAGTTGGATTTAAAATGTATTTCACAGAAATGATCATCGTATTAAGGTGACGTGTCATGCACAACATTTGGGTGGCTACCTTGAAGGTCAAGGTCACAGCATGACCTTGCAGCAAAATTGTGACCGATCCATAACTTCCTTATTTGAAGTCAGATTTTTAAACTTTTTCACAGAAATGATCACCATATTAAAATGGCGTGTGGGGCGCAACATTTGGCTCGCTACCTTGAAGGTCAAGGTCACAGCATGACCTTGCAGCAAAATTGTGTCCGGCACATAACATCATTATTTGAAGTCGGATTTTACAACTATTTCACAGAAATGATCACCACAATGTGACATTGTGTCGAGCGCAACATTTGGGTCACTACCTTGAAGGTCAAGGTCACAGCATGACCTTGCAGCAAAATCGTGTCCGGCCCATAACTTCGATACTGGAAGTCGGATTTAACAACTTTTTCACAGAGATGATCACCACATTGAATCGACGTGTCGCATGCAACATTTGGGTCGCTACCTTGAAGGTCAAGGTCACAGCATGACCTTGCAGCAAAATCATGTCGGCGCATAACTTCGTTATTTGAAGTAGGATTTTACAACTATTTCACAAAAATGATCACCATATTGAGACAATGTGTCGTGCACAATATTTGGGTTGTTTTTACACTTTGAACTTTGTCTGTGACATAACTCTGACACAACAAGAGGTATACCTTCCTGTGTCCAAAACCTATTCGGGGAGCATCACCCGGTTCAACCGGCTCTTGTGTTCATAATGAGTTATATGCACTTTAAAAGACAGTCTTTATTTGGACATAGTCTAATACACAGGTTTCATTGTAGATTGATTTTTCTGTAGCAGGTCTACAATTTATGAATATTTATAAGTATAACTATTCAAAATGTATAAATGTATAGAGTGTAAATTTTCTATTGATTATTTCTAGTCATGATTTGGCGTCATTAATGGGGACACATACAGATTTATTCACCATGGGGCCGTTTAGCAAGAGGCCACTGAGAGAACAGGTGAAACCTTTTTAGTACAGTACAAATACTTTGATATAAGCGCTTCTTGGTTTAAGTCAGGAATATCATATTTTATCTTCAACTGCATGATATCATTTTGTATAATTCCTTAGCCTCTTGATTTTGGGAAAAAATATAACTAAATTTGTTATTTGGGAAGTAAAAAAGCAGGTTTATGCTACAATTTTTGGAAAAACTGTGGTTTTAAAGAAAATTTCTGTTGGGAAGAGGCCTTTTATTGGAGTCTGTTCATATTATTTATTATAAGCAGGAAAATCACTGTACACATGTATCTATTTTTAAAAAAAGTGAAAAATTGGACTGAAGATAATATTATTTTTCTAATTCTTGCACCACAGGTAACACCCCACAAGATGTCGGTGATTGTGCTGATACAAGAGTACTGTTCACTAAAAAAAGCCGAGTCCCCTACCTTCGCCTCTTCAAATGAGAGCAGTCTTGAGATAAAATTTACAGAGAAAGAGAAAAGAAACTTTATGATCACAATACTGCAGCTTTTACAGGTTAATATTTTACTTCTAGGTCTGCTACAATTCAGCTTTCTTTTTCAAAAGGACTGGTCTTCCTTCACCAGTAAACCTTATAAATTGCAAAATACCTTTAAAAGTATTGGTGTGACTAAGAAACAAATCATAATGAAAAATTTAATCATAAATTCTGTAAAATGTAAATGATTAAAAAATCATGGCAGTTCTTTGTAGTTACTTGTTTTAATATGTACTGTATATATATTACACAGACATCTGATATCACCCTGAAAGAATTATGCATGAAAATAAAAGACAAGATGAAGTCTGATCTCTACACGATGTTCATAAATAAGTAGGTTATTTTCTTGTCTTGTTATTACTAATGAAATTTTGTTAAGATTGTATTATTTCAGATTTGATCTAGAAAATCAGTCATTGATATATTTTTGAAACATCATTCTAATTATTGATTATTAATGTATAGTACATTGCTATCTTTTAATCAATGTAATTGGTTAATAGACATGTTCTTTAATAAAATTTTGATCTATTTTAAAATTCCAATCTTTTCCATTCAGTTATTGTTTAGAACATTTCAATGTTATGTTACATGTAGTAATGTTGTTGTTGTTGTTTTTACTGTTGCTAGGTTGAAGGAGTTTATTGAAGAAGGTGTTGGTGCCATCAAAGACTATTTCCAGAATATCACATTTCTACTTATGCCCGACACTCAGGAGCCACCGATGATAACAAAGTCGAGTGTCCTAGGTTTGTTTGTTATGTTCGGTCATTCTTAACCTTTAAACCTTGCTGACCCTTAACACTGCTGGAACCAAAAGTGATTTCTACTAATAAGATTTTGCTGTTTTATGCCGTCGCCTCACCAATGACACCAAATGTGACAAAATGATTATTCTCATTTAGTGCGAAAAATTTTCATTGGCAAATTTTACTGGGACCATCAAATTGTAGGACACTTTGTGAAATATATTCAGACGCAAGTGACAGTGTGTTAATTTGAGTAATAAAGTCAGGCCAGCTTGTATTTTCATGCAATATAACCAGGCTCTGTTCTGTTGGTTGGCTGTCTTAATAGTTTCAGCTCGCTGTCCCCAAAATTGATAATGAACCATTCTAGAAATAGAGCTTGGACATGTCCATTTATGAAATTCAGCATGCTAAGGTAGAATTATGAATCAAAAAGTTATTTTTGTTTGTTTGATTAATTCTAGGGTGAGTTAAACATTATATCAGATATGGACCGACATGCCTTTCTAAGTTTCTACCTTAACTGTTTGATACTGTTGCCAAATTGCCTTAGAGTAAGACTTGTTGTGAAATCTTCCAACATGAAAGGATCCAGAATCCTGGGCAGGATTTGAACCCACAGAGGTGTGGGGCAAGTTATTTGAAGTCAATGACTTTAACCACTATGCCACGGAGGCCCCAGACATTGTTCTAGCTAATATCATATCATCTTAATTTTTCCAGGTTTATTTATAAGACGGATGATTCTTGCATTTGAGAAGTTGTCATTCAGCCAGATGACAGACTTATATAGCAAGTTTAAGCGTTACTATGAGACGGCGAACTTCCAGAACGGCTACGATGAGAGCCAGGACTTTGGTGGGTCTCTTACTGACTCTGCCATGAGCCTGTCAGGTGTCCGGTTCAGTCGGTTGGGCAGGTCCCTGGATCCATTCCAGCTAACAGCTGATAGGTGAGTTTGGTAGCTGTCTGGGTGGTGAAGGTCATCGACATTAAACTTCTTGCCTATAAACTCTTCGGGTTTGAATCATTTAATGAATTTTTGATTGTGTCAAGTGAGTTAACTGATTACCTGGCTACATAAACTTGATTTCTCTACTCAGATGCCTGTTGAACAAATGCACATAATCCTCCATCAGTAAAGATGGCATAATCATGACCTTAAAGCTGCATTCCTCCAGATGAAAAAAAATATCTCAAGAAAATCAAAGTTGAGAAAAATACGCTGAGCTTTAAGAAAAGTGAAAAGATTTAAGATTAAAGTAATATTTTCTGTGCGATTAATGACCGATTTTGCTGTTTCTTCATCATATTTCTATTCTGTTAGTACATGTATTTGTACTGCGTTATTTCTACTGCATTAATAATCTCATTGCGTTAATATTTTGACCTCTTTTTGGTAATTTGCATTGGCTGTTGATGCTGTTTTCAATGTGTAAATTATTTTATTTGTTCACTTCACATAGTTTTTCATGAAAATTAGCAGGAATTTGGAGGTGTGCTGCTTAAACTGGCTCCGGATAACTTAAAACCTTACCAGAAAAAAACAAAAAAACAAAAAAAAACACAAAAAACCAAATTAAATTTCTCTTTAACGATTTGTCAATAATTTAGTAATTAAATAGAAATATGACCCTTTATAGTGGTCATTGTTTTTACAAATGGCTTAAATTTATTTATTTTAAGGCATATTCAGAAATAATTTGGCTGTTTTGTAATCAGAGGATTTCAAGTCTATTTCACCGTGGTAAACCATTTTGAATATGGTATTATTGTCTCTAGTTTAATATTGTTAGCAAAATTCTAAACTGATACAATGAAACAAAAAATTAAGCCGCCTCACGACAAAACCAACATAGTGAGTTTGCGACCAGCATGGATCCAGACCAGCCTGCACATCCACACAGTCTGATCAGGATCCATGCTGTTCACAATCAGTTTGTCTACTTGTAAGAGAGTTGGTAAGCAAACAGCATGGATACTGATCAGACTGCGCAGATGCGCCAGCTGATCTGGATCCATGCTGGTCGCAAACACACTATGTTGGTTTTGTCGTGACGCGGCTCAAATATTTATTTGATGTTTTTCCACATTGTTCTTTTTCTCACTAACAGAAAGATGACTGAAGATTTTGGTGGTTTTAATTCACAAAGACAAGCTGAATATTTTATTTTACAACAGGTAAATATTGATGTAACACTAGCTGTAACTTAGTATCATATAATCTGTAATAAAGACCAAAGTAACCTTATACATTGTAAACTGTAAGTCAATGGAAAAAAATCAGCTTAACCATATACATTAAAGCTGAAAACTGAATCTTGCGTGCAAAAATAAAGGTTAAATTAACCTGGAATTAAGGTTAAGTTACCACTGACATAAATCCAAATCAACCTGAAATAAAGAATCAGAAAATAAAAAATAAAAGGTCAACTAATAATTGGAACTTATTGCTGTTGTATTGTGTGCTCAGACTAACAGACAAAGCTGTAAGAAATTAGAAACACATGCTATCATAAACAACAAATCCATGAGAAAAATATTAATAAACTTTATTCACAAAACATGAAAATTTGTTTAAAAAAAGTGATATTTCCATTTAAACAAGTTTGTTCTCAGATATTGTCTTGACACGCAATGAAAAAACAAATTCAGTATTTATTAGATCTATATTTTCTTATTTAAAAAGAAATGACATAGCACACAAATTACCTGTCTGGGAAAAAGGATTGTGCTTAGATGGTAAATTTATCCGAAGTGAAAGTGGAATTAAACTACATGTACATACAACTGGAAGAAAAAAAAAATGAGTTTTTTTCCCCTGTTTTTTTTTGCAGGTGTTTCTATTACAACATAACCAGAAAGAGGCTCTGTCACCATGTGATCTACAGGATAAGATAATGGACATGTTAAAGTCAAACCCTGACATGGCTGAAGCGGTAATTACATTGTGATCTTTCATTAAAGGCACATTATGTCTCAGAAATCCATAGTTTTCAAATTCTTTAGACATGTAAAACATGTGTTTAATAATGTTTTAATAATGGATTAAGAGCAAGTTAGATGTTTAACAACTGTCTAAAGTTGCGCTGAACATGCAGTTATGTGTCATAAAGGTAGCAAAATGTAAACAAAGGAGTACTTTGACTTCCATACAAAATACTAATTCACTATAATTATACCAATTGTCCAACAGAGCAACAGAAGCAAAAATAGTTCATCTATAATCTTTTAGTAAATTTACTGTAAACCTTAAACTTTGATTATGTTAGCACACATTTTATTGTTGTTTTCCTTTCCTTTAATTCTTGGGTAACATGTGCATGCTTTGGCTTTATTTCAGCATTTTCTCAGTTATTTAAACAGTCTTCGAGTCAAGGAATACTGCACAGCACTGAATAACCTTTACCATTACTTTGATCGTAAGACGTCATTTTCTGTGGAACAGACTCCGCCCCAACAGGGACAAAATAAACCCAAAGATGACGAAGTGCACAGAAGATATGCTGCACTAAATTTAGCAGCTCTACACTATAGATTTGGTCATAAGTAAGAAATGGTCATTCTTTGTAAAATTGGTACCTATTTGCAGTCAGGATCTGGTCCAAAATATTTTTAAATTTGGAGAATCAGTCTCTAGTGAAATTGAATCTGTATAAAATAAAGTTTGTTTTAAGTATTTACCATAGTAAATAAAGCCCTTTTTATAGCAATGATTTCTTTATAAGAACATAGTCAGTTCTTTTGAATTTAAAACTTTCATAAGACATTTAATCTCTCTCAACACCAGTCACATGGGTGCAAATTTTCTGGCATGTGCCGAAAGTTCCTTTTTTTTCAGATGCCGAATGGATCAGGTTTTGCAAATTTCGTTGAAATATTTGGAGGGGTATGGTGTGGGTCTGCTCTTTCAAACTGATAAAAAAAAAACATTGATCCAAAGTTCTTAATTGAGAACGCTATAGACATTAACATTAGGGTATGCATCTCTTAACTCCAGCAGGTTAGGTGGTTTTATCATCTGGTGTTTTGTAACACCCAAGGTTTACCAAAATCATCTTTCCTGTTTCGTCACCATATGACCTTAATTGTGTTGATGCACCATAAAACTTAAGTAAACTAGTGGGCAGCAGAGAAATACCATTGATCTTCCATTTGCTCTCTGGATAGTTTATTCACAAATACCAAAGTAATATATTGACTTGGTATTGGCAAGTCACTATAGCTTATAAGCTTAATAAGCCCTGTTTTTATTCATTTGGCATCTCCTCAATATAGTATCATTAGTAAATACATTTTCATAACCTTTGCTGACCCAGCAACTATATAGCAGACATTACATCTGTTGTAATACTGGAATAATTGTGTTGTATTTGTAGAGATGAGGCCATGGCAGCACTTAGAGAAGCAATTGGGATGGCACAGGATACAAATGATAATGTTTGTCTGCAGCATGCTCTAGTAAGTCATACAGATTGTCATTCTTATGGCCTCGTAAAGTATTTTTGGTGCGGCAGTTTTTGTTGCTGGTTTGTCTGTCTAACCTTTCTGTTATTCTTCAGTCTAACATACTTTGCGGGGTTAGCCAAAATCATTTTTCCTGTTTTGGTGCCATATGGCCTCAATTGTGTTGGTGGGTCATAAAACAAAACAAAAGAAAAATACTTGTTTCGTTGACTTACTCTTTTATGGTTGACTTACTCTCGTTTGGTTAACTGTTTTCATGTTCATGTATTTCTTTATTGAAGACATGTATAGCTTAAACAATATTCATCTGTAAATTCATTTTTCCTGTTAAACAATTCTGACAGGGGGTGTCCGTGGCCGAGTGGTTATGGTCGTTGACTTCAAACCACTTGCCCCTCACATCTGTGGGTTCGAATCCTGACAGGGACTTTGGATTGTTTCATGTGAGGAAGCTATCCAACTAGCTTATGGAACATTGGTGGTTCTACTCAGGTGCCCGTTCGTGCCTGAAATAATGCACGGAAGGGCACCTGAGGTCTTCCTCCACCAGTAAAGCTGGAACGTCACGATATGACCTATACTGTTTTGATGTGATGTAAAACCCAAAACAAACAATTCTGACAGTTATTGCAAGAAAAAGAGTAGTTTTTTTTGTAATTAAATATTAATATATGAAAAGAAATTAAAACAAAAGATATGATAATGGAATTATATTTATGACATTGTTTTCTGTGCTGATAAACTGAATGCTCACATATATTATACATGTAAGTACATATATATACTCACAGGGTTGGTTACACAGACTTAGTGAACAAGGAACTGCAAGGACGGAAAATCTTCTTGAACGTGCCGTCGCTAAAAGCAATGAATTGAATCTCCCGGTAAATATCTCTAAAAATTAAATTATTACCATCCTTACTTACCATAAAACTGCTTGAACCAAAAATGATTAGCCATTTTCCACCAGTATAGAGCCAGGCCAGCCTGGACATCTTTGTCTTCTTACCAGGCTTTATACTATTGGTATCTCAATTTTTGTATTTTGATGCTGTAATCCCTTAAAGTTAGAATGGACTGTTCCCAAAATTGAAGCACAAATTTAGGGTTCAATTCTTGAGCTGTCTAAAAGTAAGGCAGACATCTAACAAACATTCTTCGATTTGATACGGGTACCACCATATTGCCATATTTCTTGGTACCGCCATATTTCTTATGCCAGTAATTGCCAGATGCTCAATATGACACAATTGGTAAATTCTCTTTTCCTATCTGAGCTTATTTTCATGTCAGATTTAGACTACTTATAAATAATCATCTATTTTAAGCTCACCCGAGGACAATCTCTAGGTGAGCTTTTGTTATGGCTCAGTGTCCTACATGTATCATCAGTGTGTGCATCTATGTGTCATAAATTTCTTTAAACAACTTCTCATCTTTAACCACTTGGCCAAATGTGTTGAAACTTTGCAGGGATGTTCCTTGCATGAAGCTCTACCAAACTTGTACAAAAAATTAAATTCCATAAAGAACTCTGGTTGCCATGGCAACCTAAAGATTTTTTTTACAAAAAATCTTAAAGAAATCTTCTTGTATAAAACCGATAGAGCTAGAGCTTAGATATTTGGCATTAAACATCTTCTAGTGAATGTCTACCCAGTTTGTACAAATAAAAGCCCTTTTATGCATTGGTTATATCATCTAAATTTCCTGCTTGGCCGGCCTTATCGAGGTGTTTGAAAATCTTAAAGTCCAATTTATTCCAAGGGGGAATGGTGAGGGTGAGGATGGGCGTGGTTACAATTTACTGGTGCATTATTAAGGTAAACCAATATTCTGACTTTAAAATTTTGTGTTTTATTTTCCCCACACAGAATCTGACATCGATAGGTATTCAAGCTTATGCCAGACATAATGCCTTTGCTACCGCAAGACCATCGCAGTATGTATCTTTCATTTTTTTTGTTTATTTATAGTACATGTATTTGATTGCTATCTATCTGCACTTATTTTATCATCAATCTCCAGTGCATTGTTTGTGCTTTAGGTCGTAGGTCTGATCCTCTACTAGGTTATACCAAAATGGTATGAGTGGCATCAAGTTTACCTCTTGGCATTAATCAAGTAATTCAAGTTTCTGTAAGGTGTATGATTTATTCAACTGGGTAGTTCAAGGGTCTATTTCGTAACCTGCTGTACAGATAGTGGTTCAACATCTCTGTCAAGTATATAGCCAGGCTATTCTCTGTTCAGTCTGACCAGGCTCTATGCTGTTTACTGACTAAATTAAAAAAATTATTGTGGTATTGCCAAAACTTGATAATGGACTGTCCCAAAATTGGAAGCTGGACAAGTCCATTTAAGAAATTTAGCAAGGTAAATATGTGGGTATTATGCCTACTATTGAAAGTAGGCATCATTTCATACATTGAATAATATTTGTTATAAGTATTTCTGATATACGAAGGAGTACTGAAAGGATAGTTCTGGTATATTTAAGGGTATGTGAGTATTTAAGAAAGAAGTTAGGAACAGTTTAGTGTTTTTAAGTTTTCACAATGGACTTTTGGTGTATTCCAGGGCATTTAAGTAAATAACCTGGGGTTGTTTGCTATTGCAGGGTGTTATGAATTTTAAATGAGAATGTTGGTATATTGCAGGGTGTTTCTGCGAAAATTTTATTATTTAAATATGAGAATTTTGGTATATTGCAGGGTATTTACTCAAGAATTTGAGTAGTAACATATGAGAATTTTGGTGTATTGCAGGGTATTTACTCAAGAATTTTAGTATTTACATATAAGAATTTTGGTATATTGCAGGGTATTTCCTCAAGAATTTGAGTAGTTACATATGAGAATTTTGGTGTATTGCACGGTATTTACTCAAGAATTTGAGTAGTTACATATGGGAATTTTGGTATATTGCAGGGTGTTATTAATTTTGTATGAGGATTTTTGTATAATGCAGGGTATCTACTCAAGAATTTGGGTATTTACATATGAGAATTTTGGTATATTGCAGGGTATCTACTCAAGAATTAAGGTATTAACATATGAGAATTTTGGTATATTGCAGGGTATTTGAGTACTTACAGAAGAGTGATGTGTTAAACTGCCAGCATTCACAAGCAGGTTTTATGTGTACAAGCTTTGCTAACAAGGCAGCATTATGGCAGATGTATGGGAAAAGGTGAGGAAGGTCACTGAGAACTTACCTTTCAGAGATTTTATTTTTGTGGCTTATTTTAATGCCAATATTTGGTTATATTCACAATTGAAACAGTATATTATTTTCCCAATCAAGAGGGAAAAATTCCCAATTGAAAGTCACAAAATAAAAATATTGAATAACAAATTCTAAAATCTTTGAAAATAAGGGCTTCTTCACTGTTATAGTGCTTAAGTGTTTGAAGATGCCATCCTAGACAGTGATTGTTTGCATTCATTTAATCACTGCAAAATTTCAGTCATGCATATTTTCCCAATTTTTGACAAAAACATAGCTGAAATTCCCAATTCCATGGGTATGGGTAATGTTCTCAAAATCCTGGGGTAAATAAACTGCATTTTTTTTTTGATATACAGGAAATAAATATCATTTAAGGTCACTAATTTCAAATCACTTACCCCTCTGCCTGATACTTCTGTATGTTCGAATCTCGTCAGGGACTTTGGATTTTTTCTTGTGAAAAAAAAACTTTGGATTTTTTCTTGTGAAAAAGCTATCTAGCTAACATAGGTATAGTAGGTGGTTCTACTCAGATGCCAGTTTGTGCCTGAAATAATGTACAGAGGGTCACCTAAGGTCTTCTTCCACAAAGTCCCCTTATGACTGAAAATCAGACAAACCATATAAACAAACAATAATCAATTTTGAGGGCGTTGTTGAAGCGTTAATGTGCAGAAATATATACATGAAGGTCGTATGGAAGATTATGCACATCATTTTTACTTTTTCATCAGTGAAAAAATGTGGTTGTTATGGTTATGGCAGTCAGTTTAAACAATGAAACTGGATAAATAAATAAGATTCTGTGACAACACAAAAGTTAAGATAAAGATAAATAGATAATCAGATAAGAATTATGTTGATGTCCTTAAAATTACACTAGCCAAGTATTCCTTTCTAGCTACATGTATGTGAACAAAAATTCTTGAAAGTCATTCCACATTTGTTTCAGTTGAGGTAGGGTCAGGAATTATTCTACTGTTACGGGGACTGCTACATAGTCTGTGACAAGCTCTTGTTTCTATTAGTTATTGCAAAATCATTATTATTTGTAGGGCACTTATTTTCGTGATTTTCGTGAATAGGTCAATACACGAATTTAAGATCCAATGATATTTCCTTTCGTCTGCTGTAAGATTATTTTTGCATCACATTGTTTACATTTAACCTTTTGGAAAAATAGAAAGTCCACAAAGTTAAGAACCCATGAAAATGTTATTCGTGACAAAAACACGAAATTTCATGCCCCCAAAAATTATGTGAATATACAGTATGTTGTTTTATTTTCAGAGATTGTATGTCAATGATGAGTCAGCTAATTCTACATTTAGATACCACAGAAAGTGGGCTGTATTTTAACGGAGAGTCTGTGTGTATAGCTCTGTGTAATATAGCCAAACTTCATGCTGATGGTGTAAGCTCAATAATGTTTCATATTTTTTTAAAAAAAAATTAAAACAATGTATTAAAGTTAATTGGCTTCGTCTGATGAAATCATACTCACATTAGGTTATAGGTAAATGTTGAGGAGTTATAGGTAAACATTGATGGGTTATAGGTAAATATTGATGGGTTATAGGTAAATATTGATGGGTTATAGGTAAACATTGATGGGTTATAGGTAAATATTGATGGGTTATACAGTGATTAATCTAGAAATTCCTTGCAATGCGTCGGACGACGCACATGTATGAAAACAATGAGTCCTGTAGCAAAATCAATGAGTCACGTAGCAAAATAATTGCGTCTTAACAGAAAAAAAAATTAATAGCAGATCCTTGACATGATCTGCATGTTTTTTAATAAGGGATTAAATAGTAATTAGTGTATAAAACATTATTTTTGGTTCTAATATTAATTGCAGGCAAAACATCTTCTATTGGCTGCTCAAAAATCTTTTTTGCATAATTTATTTTCTTACTGCTTATGCCTAATACTGTGCATAATCCATTTTAATTGTTTCTAATTTACACAAACTGTCCCTGTCACACTGTTTACTGATGATTTTGCTCCTTGTATGCCTCTGTGTAGAAAGCATACACCAACAGACCTTTTGATCATATAAAAAAGTCATGCACAATGTGTCCCTGATTGGTTAATCTCGGTTCTGATGACGAAATAGACTATTTTTACACTTCATCAGCCAAAGCTTGCGTGAACTTGAGTGACCTAAATAGGGGAAATCAATTTGCACACCTGTCAGATTATACTGTAACTTACAGCATTTCTTAAAATAACACACTTTTTTCAGTTACCGATAATTATTTAAAGTATTAAGTAGATTTATGATTTTTTGTTTGCTTTATTAGATTAAATTTACGGTAGTAGAAATGCGTTTCTGTGTGGGAAAGGGATTAAGTAAGTAGATAACATGGAAAAAAGCTATAGGGAAAAATATGCATAATGATAGGGGAATGGGTAACCTGTTGTTGTTGATGGCTAAATAACATACGATATAAGTCTGGGACAGATTTTAGATGCCCCCTTGGCCCTTTGCTGATGATTTTCCTGTGCCATTTTCATTTTTAGCGCCAATGGCGTAGGCAAATCTCTGCCTTAAGCATTTTTATATTTCACCATTGTAGGCGATTTCGCTCTCATGCAAAAGGGTCGCTCTGATTTGCTAATGCCAATAATGGGTGGTTGCAGATTACAAGCAACCCTTGCTTGGGATTCAATGTTTTAAGCAAATGGGGGATGAGTCTTGCACCTGTTATCATCGGAAATAAAATTATTCAACTGAAGAAATTGATGATTATTCAACTGATGAAATTCAACTACCAATTGGTACATAAAAATCACTAATCGGATTATAAACTACCAGATTTGCATGGGTCAAATTGTATGCACATATTTTGAAACTGTGCGTCTTTTTCCATTTTTATGCGTATTTTACGCAGGACGCACATCTAGATTAATCACTGGTTATAGGTTTCTGTTGATGGGTTATAGGTTGTTGATGGGTTATAGGTAAATGTTGATGAGATATAGGTTTATGTTGATGGGTTATACATAAATGTTAACATGGGTTATACATAAATGTTAACAAGTTATAAGTAACTGTTGATGCGTTATAGCTAAAAGTTGATGGGTTATTGGTTTATGTTGATGGGTTATAGGTTAATGTTGATAGGTTATTGGTAAATATTGATGAGTTATAGGTTTATGTTGATGGGTTAGAGGTTTATTTTGATGGTTTATACATAAATGTTAACAAGTTATAGGTAACTGTTGATGCGTTATAGCTAAAAGTTGATGGGTTATTGGTTTATGTTGATAGGTTATTGGTAAATGTTGATGAGATATAGGTTTATGTTGATGGGTTATAAATAAATTATGTTGAGATATAAGTAAATGTTGATGGGTTATAGGTAAATGTTGATTGGTTACAGTTAAATGTTGATGGGTAATTGTTTAATATTTATGGGTTATTGGTTAATGTTGATGGGTTATAGGTAAATATTGATGTGTTATTGGTTAATGTTGATGGGTTATAGGTAAATGTTGATGGGTTATAGCTAAAAGTTGATGGGTTATAGGTAAATGTTGATGGGTAATTGGTTAATGTTGATTGGTTATAGTTAAATGTTGATGGGTTATAGGTAAATGTTGATGGGTAATTGGTTAATGTTGATTGGTTATAGTTAAATGTTGATGGGTAATTGGTTAATGTTGATAGGTTATAGGTTAATATTTTGAAGTAATTTCTGTATATTACAATTAGAATCACACTAACCTTAATTAACACATATAATACTGAAGAAGAACCACATAGGTGCGAACCTCCTCTGTGGTCAAGGGGTTAGAGTCAATGACTTCTAATCCATTTACCTCTGACGTGGGGTCGATTTAATATCTTGTTTTAAAGTGAAAAGATTAGGAAGTCAGTACCACTATGAATATCTGAATACTATATTTATTCAATATCTTAATTCAATATTGAAAATTAAGGTAATGTAGCACATCTCAGTACAGATCATGTATTCAAAATCTATCATGACAATTTAGGGAATTGATACTTCATTTTAGATCAATTTATAGTGCTTTTTTTTTTCAAAGGATAAGCAAAAGTATTTCCGGATTTTTGTTTCTAAAGGACAAGTTCAGTTGTATTTACAATTAAGTAATATTCCTGTTAGGTCTCAGTAACCCAGGGGTTCTTGTTTCTGTCTTTGAAAACCTTACCTGTCACTGCTGTCAGCTTAAATCCTGTTTAGGATTTTGCGTGGATTCTTTCATATGATATGAGGAAGTTTGGTTGTTCTTCTAAATAGTCTGCAATAAATTTTCCTCCATCGATGATGAATTTGAATAGCCATTATATAGCCTTTACAGTTATTGTTTGACTTATTGTTTTTTTAAAGGGAAAATTGAAGTGGTAAATCAGAAAAAAATTTAAAAATGTAATCATTATTAAAAAACAGATTAAAATTCATTTTGATAGGGGTAGTAGGATTTGGCGCTAAGATCTGATAAATTGTTGCGAAGAAGAGATTTCCCAAAGAACAGTTTACACCGGAGACTGGATGGAGTGCGAGCAATTGATTCGATCGGACAGGACGAATGTTCAACCGTAAATTTGGGTTTGTAGCCGAACTGGCTGTCCTAATCTTAAAGCATTAAAATCAAACACGAAGCGGAACTTAGGGTTAATCTTTTTTCATATTTAAATAAATGTTCATTGCATTGATAGATTGGAAAGCATATTGTTTTTGCAGGGTGTCTGAGGCAAAGTTGTTATGGTTGATGACTTTGAGTCACTTGCCCCTCGCCGCTCTTCCCAGGAAGAGTTTGACCTCAAAATGGAGAGACGGCAAATGAATGGACTTGAGCTTCTTGACCATGTATTCAACAAGTTCCAGACAAAGTTGTTGATGTAAATTGTAAGAACTTAGTTCACAATAGTGGTCATCCTTTTTTAACCCACTATCATATCATGTATTTTTTCACAGATGTACCAGTATAGAACTTAATTGGTCTTTTCTTTATAAAGTACTTATATATCAGTTATTTGTTTTCACAGATGTGCCATATTGAATAAAGAGAAAGGGGACATCACTCTAGCATTACAGCAATTTCTCCACCTACTGGATAGTTGTACCTTACAAAGGGGAGAGAATTCAGTATCCTCTGATTTTAGATGCAGGTACAATTACATTCTAAATTTCTAGATAATATTCTAATCAGACCTTTGTTTGTTTATGCAAGTGAAAGGCGTAAAACTTTTGTAACCTATATGGTTTAGATGATGCAAAATAAAGGTGAAGGATACAGGAGTAGAACGGTCTTTTCATAAGCTAGCTGGATAGCTTTTTACACATGAAAAAAGCCCTAACGGGTTTCGAATTTATAGGAGTGTGGCGCAAATGAATTTAAGTCTCTGACCTCAACTACACAGCCTTGAAGACCCCTTCTGGCATGAAGCAGCACTTCGAAGGTAGATATTGAATTGGTGGGTACAATTTTTAAGTAGACACTGTATCTACATATATATAACTAATAGATTTTTAGCTTGACTAGTTGAAGAATAGGGAGAGTCGTTGTTCTCACAATGGAGTCAGTGTCACACTTTGGTAAAGTTTTTGTGTGCAAGTTACTTTCTCCAAAAGTACTTAAGGGAATGGTTTGAAACTTCTCTTTGAGAGTATAATACATGGTCATTGTCCAAGGCCCATAATTCAAAAACTTTGACAGAATTATGACCCTTTTTGAACTTTATTCAAATTCTACATTATCCAGGCTCTTGTTTTACAATCAAGCAGTTAGAACAGTCAAGAACGCTATTGTACAAACAGCTCTTCTTAAAATTGACAATATTGTTAACCTCATACAGTAATACTGTTGTTATTGTCTATTTTCAGAGTATTACTGGCTCTAGGAGAGTTGTACAGTCAAACAGGAATAAATGTTAAACTCAAACAATAATAATATATTGTTGTTATTGTCTGTTTTCAGGGTATTACTGGCTCTAGGAGAGTTGTACAGTCAAACAGGAAATCCCACCAACGCCACAACTTATATACTAGAATGTATATCTTTAGCCAACAAACATCATTTGGAATACCTCCGTGCTATAGCATCAGTGCAGCTTGCCTACATCCAGGTTAGTTGGCAATATAGGCTTAATTCAAACAATTTTATACCTAACTATGCTAAATATCTTAAATGGACTTGCCCATCTTTCAATCAGGACAAAACTATTCATCACTTTTAGGGAAAATTTCAAAATATGTACTGACTGACACCATGATCAGACGGCACTGATAAGGATACACATTATTTAATTATGTTGATTGAGAAGAAAGCCTGAACCTCATTTGAACTACTCTTTGAGTCTACTTTCTTGAACTAACCAGTACAGGCCTCAAGGTTATAAAACTTTAATCGGGAGTTCTACCTCGAATCTCGGGATTTTCATTGGTTAGTATACATTCTGTGCTGCTTTCTGACCAATCAAATACCTGAGATCTGAGTTTGTGTCATGTAAGGTAATTACACTTGTAGGACTCGAACTCGCAATTCCTGGTTTGAGCAGCAGGCACCTTAACCAGTTGGTCACCGCTTGCCTGAAAACAACTTTCATAACCATTATGTAAAGGGTTCCTTGTAGATAACACTCTCAGAATTTAGGTTTTAGTTTTAGTTTTTGAATTAATATATTTGTTGTTAATGTTAATATGCATCTGGATGGGGTATCATGGTATATTCTAGAGCTTGATGGTTACTATGCTCACTGCTAAAAGTTGAAGCCATTAACTATACAACTAACTGGAGGGTGATGATAAAATCAAAATTGTCCACCTTAGTCCTGAAAACACTTAAGCCTATTACATAAGTCGGCATGGAACCTTCAAGTCATGTGCCCTTATGGTCATGTGACCTAGCTTAGTGACCTTTGAGTCTTTTGATCTAGCTTAGTGACCTTTGTGTCATGTGACCTAGCCATGGGACTGTCCAGTCATTTGACTTAGTCTTGTGACCCTCTAGTCAATGACTTTCTTGCCATAGGACCTCCTAGCCTTGTGGAATTTAAGTAATGACCTTTAAGCCATGACCTAGCCTTCTGACCTTCTAGCCGTGTAACATAGCCACTGACCTTCTAGGCATATGACCGAGTCAGTGACCTTCTAGACATATGACTGAGTCAATGACATTCTAGGCAGTGACCTGGGCATATGACCTAGCCACTGACCTGGTAATATGACCTAGCCAGTGACCTGGCAATATGACCTAGCCAGTGACCTTCCAGCAGTATAATTTTCTAGCCATGTGATCTTCAAGCAGTATATTTTTCTAGCCATGTGACCTTCAAGCAGTATATTTTTCTAGCCTTGTGACCTTCAAGCCATGTTTCCTTTGTCTTCTTACCTAGTCATGTAACCTTAAAGTACAGTCAGTACTCATTACAACGACACTGTTTGTTCCCAAAGGATATGTCAGTACATCGAATTTGTCAGTATATTGAATTTCATTATTCATAATATTGTAATTGTAATGATATGCTTATTCACTGGTATCTGAACATTATGTATTTAGATCTATAATAAACATCTAAAGTGAAACAGACGGACGGACACCAAGGGGTATAACATAATATGCCCAAAATTCTTATTAATATCACTTTGTGTAACATCCTTTTTACTTTCTTTATATGAAATGATTTCGTATTTTCGTACAAAAGTTAAATTAGTCTGTTGACGTTGAGCTGGAGGTTCTGCCATTATTAGTCCCCTACCGGTTTACCGGAGGGGACTTTAGGTTTACCCTCCGTCCGTCTGTCCGTCTGTCTGTCCGTCCCTCCGTCCGTCTGCACTACCGAAAAGGGATAGGGGGCCATCTAACTGTAAACAGAACAAAAGAGAACAATTGAGTTCATTCCGTAACAATAGAGTTAGGGGCCATTGGCCCTCTATTAAACAATAGAAAATAACAAAAGAAATGGCCCCTTATTCCATTTCGGCCGGACGTCCGTCCGGACGTCCGTCTGTCCGTCCGTCAGTCCGTCCGTCCACAAAACTGGATCCGGCGATAACGCAAAAAGTACTGAAAATATTTGAATGAAACTTGATATATGGATAGATGGCAGTATGGAGATTATGCACGTCTTTTTCTTTTCTTCCTATGTTGAAAACTCTGGTTGCTATGGCAACAAATAGACTGAAAATATGGCAAATTTTATACATAACCTGGATCCCGGGATAACGCAAAAAGTACTGAAAATATTTTTATGAAACTTGATATATGGATAGATGGCAGTATGGAGATTATGCACGTCTTTTTCTTTTCTTCCTATGTTGAAAATTCTGGTTGCTATGGCAACAAATAGACTGAAAATATGGCAAATTTTACACATAACCTGGATCCAGTGATAACACAAAAAGTACTGAAAATATGTTTATGAAACTTGACATATGGGTAGATGGCAGTATGGAAATTATGCACATCCTTCTCTAATATCTTCCTATGTTGAAAATTCTGGTTGCTATGGCAACAAATAGACTGAATTTCAAGATTTCTGATTCTAGTTTTTAAGTTTTTTCACTATAAGTTCTTTATTTCTTAAGGTATTTTCTTCAAACTTTAAATATAAGTTGCTTGTCATCAACCACATCATATGTGACAAGGTTTACAACTCTAGCACAAAATTTATCAGAATTACCTCCCTTGAACTTAAAATTTTCATGAAAAAAAACATTGTTTTTTTTAATAACTTCATTTTCTGAATGTATCTTAACTTCAAACTTCATATAAATGTTTCTTATTATCACTCAACATTTGTGAGTGTTCAATACTCTAGCAAGACTATTTCCAGAATTATGCCCCTTTTGAACTTAGACTTTTTTTTGAGAAATTGGTACTTTTTACTCCAACTTCTTCAATCATGATATGATTTTAAAAATGTTATATTTTGATAACAGGGATGTTTAAAAAATAACTTTAGAGTGTCCTTCAGTCTGTCTGTCTGTACATAAAAACTGTTTCCTGTGATCACTTTTAAAGAACTTTTTCAACAAATTAGGAACCTAAGTGAATGGCCAATGGCCCTTCAAAATGTTGCTTGGGCTCTTACCGGTAGGGGACTTATGGATTGCTTGCAATACTATGATAATTGCTTGTTTTAATAAAAAAGTCACAAGTTGGCAAGTGTAACAAAATTCAGCTGACAACAACACATTGGTATTGTAATAAGGTGTAACAATCAACTGACCAAGGTACAATACCTGTTTTAACACCTTGCAGCTTTTGTTCAAGGCTCAATGATACACGCGCTTGACTGACCAAGTGTCAGTTTAACGGGTACTGATTGTATAGAAAATAACAGGTTTGGTTACCTATTTTATTGTGTCGGAGTCGGAATACGAATTTTCCGTTATAGCGGAAAATAATAACGTTGAAAAAGTTTGGTTCCCACCAATTCACTGTCGTTATTTGAATTTGTCAGTATAATGGATTCTGATGTATTGAGTCCTGACTGTAGTGTGACCTTGATCATATTCATGTTAGTTTCATCTATTCTTCATAAGTCCTTCTATTTCTTCTTCAGTTTCAGATGCAGTTACCTGAACAAGCTGTCTCAATTTTAACTAAAAATATGTTAACTATACTATCCCATGGTACAGTCTGTGATCAGGGGAAGTTACTCTGTTGTTACGCAAAATGTCAGGTTGCCATGGCAGCAAAGTGCAATGAAAAGGAGAGGAAAGCAGGTAAGGCCTTCTATGAAATTTGAAATTGTAAGATTGAAATTATAAAGTAATAATCCTTATTTCCTTGTATCATTTCATTTGCTAGATTTGAAGTATCTTTTAAAATGCACCCCGAATGAAAGAGCTCATTTGTCAAAGGTGGTTAATAATTTTTCTTCAGTTTTAATTTTCCCTAATAATAAGTCTTTTTCACAAATGAAGTCGTGTTTTTCATGTCTAATACAAACCCAAGTAACCTACATGAATATAAGAAGAAGGAAAAAATATTGTATTAAGCAAAAAAGTCCAATTCAAGAGCAGATAACTAAAAAACGAGGAAGGTCACTCAAAAATTTTAAAAAGTTACTGTTAACAACATTCCTAGTCTAAAAAAATTCTGTATAACAGTTTTGATTTTGCCTAGAAGTCTATATGTAAAAACTCCTGATATTGTCTTTAATTAAGATAACACAATCTAAAAATTATGTAATATATCGCATATACTAAATGTGATTTTTTTTTTTATTACATGCTTTTCGGTGGTTTATAGAAATATATCAGTGATTTAAAACTGGTAATTTCACTGTTTGAAACAGTGAAATTACCACTTTGATAATTTCACTGTTTTGAATTTAAGCCCCTTATGTTGTTTCAGTGAAATACCAGCGTGCACAGTACTGGGTACCAACTTAATGACGTGACGTCGTAAATGACGTCACGTTGTATTATTATTTGGCGCGCTTTTCATTCAGTTTTAGGTGAAATGTCTTTTTAAAACGTTTCTTTGCATATAATAAAAAGAAAATTTGTTTAGTTTAGTGTAAGATTGAAATATATTTCACCTTGTGAACACCAAAAGTTCATATTTCACTCGTGGCTGCGCCACTCGTGAAATATACCTTTTGGTGCTCACTCGGTGAAATATATTCCGATCTTACACTGAACTAAACAAATATCCTCTATATATTCATTTAGATATATCTTTTTTCCTTATATTTTCAGCAATGCTAGCAAGTGTGAATCTTCTATACACAGTAATAGATTTGTACCAGTCAGCCGAAGCATTTCTACGTGTTAAAGACACTATGTATTACCAAGCCAGGTTATATCACGAGCTCGGCTATTATTTTGAGCGTAACAAGTGTTCCCATCAGTTTAGACAATTAGACGCTCAATATCCTACACTTAGTCAGATGTCCGTAAATGTGTTATGAAAAAAGAAAATTACGCAAAAAAAAGTAACACAGAGATTTATAGTGAATAAAATCTGAATTTCGTTAAGTTGTTAAATTTATTATGTTTCCTTTTTCAGCTTGAATAATGTAGCCAATGGGTGAACACATTTAAGAATCTTACACTGGCTGCCGGTACTGACCTGAATATCTAGCTCGAGGGTGTTTATGGCGGTAGGAAGGCTCTGCTTATCAGATACCCCAGAGTCAGATATTCATGTCTGTACTGACAGCTGGTGTTTCTTTTTTTTCTGGTATATTACATGTCAATTGTTTTTGGAACAGAAATTACGCACTTTTTTCTGATAATAGCGTATGAACTTACAAACTTCATTCATAACTGGAAAATGATGTCATCCAAAGAATGCTATTCATTCATAAAAAGGGCGAGACAATGACATCATTAAAAGCATGTGACTTGTCTTATAGAGGGGGGGGAGGGGGAGGTGTTAGCACCGGTGTAAACGGTAGATAATCCTGTGGAGATAATAATTTTCATTTTGTGCAGGCTCCTGATTTATAATTGTCATTTGTGGCAGTAAAATAGTTCGATTTTAGCATTTTGATACCAAATCCCCAGAATCAAAATCCCATACTTTAAAGAAACTCGACTAAGGTCCAACTACAAAAATCTCTAAACAAATAATATTTCCAGTCCTGTCCTGTCAAAAAACAAAACAAAGCCTCTCAGTGGAGTCCCTTTAAATACATTGCATTTAAAAAGTTCAAAGTAAGGTTTTAAGTCCCATTGATGCAGAACTGCAACTTTCAAGCTTTACTGGTGGAGATATAGCTCAGATTATATGAAAAGATGTTAAAACTTTGAACAAACTGTATGTACAAATCAGCCTCCATAAGTACAGGATTTGAAATACAATATGCGCTTTGGTTTCAGAGCTCCTAATTTGAAAAGGTTTATAACATACAAAAGAACTAGTGTTGAAGAAGATATGTTTTATTTTCAATCACCATTTATGTGAAAAATGGCATGTCCATGAAAGATATCTATACACAACATGACAAGATTAACAAGGTGAAAATATACCTAATTCTATTTCAATTTGTTTATAGAATGAAGTATTGCACATGACCAGCATTGTGACATACTGGTATTAACAATAATACAAAGTATAGGCTGCACAAACTGAAATGTCTTAAATAAATATAAGTATAGGCTGCAAATACTGACATGTCTTTTGAAATGAAAAACTAGCAATTGTGTAACAATCAAATTTATAGGCAGCACAAACTGAAATGTCTTTAATAAATGAAAATCTTGTAACCTAACAACAAACAGATTATTATAGACGGTACAAACTGAAATGTCTTTAAATAAATGAAAAACTGGTATATCACCAATTAAAAGTATAGGCTGAACATACTAACATGTTGTTTTGAAATAAACTTGTAGACTTACAACAATTAATCAAATTTATAGGCTGCACAAACTGAAATGTCTTTAATAAATGAAAAGCTAGTTTCATCAAATGAAAGTACAGGCCGCACATGCTGAAATGTCTTTTTGAAATGAAAAACTTGCAGCCTTACAACTTATCAAATTATAGGCTGCACAAATTGAAATGTCTTTAATAAATGAAAAAAACAAAAAAACTGGTATCATCAATTACAAGTATAGACTGCACATATTGACATGTCTTTTTGAAATGAAAAGCTTGTAGCAATTGTGTAACAATCAAATTTATACCTAAAATTAAAAGTACTGGCTGAACATACTGACTTGACTATATTTAACACATAAAATAACAATCTGCATTCTTGAAAATATAACAGTAGTTTTCAAAGAAAAGTAAAAATGCACATCATTTGAACATACATGTACTATGTCTAATAGGAAAGCATATATTATACATCAAAATTTCTTCACAAAACTTTTGTACATTTAACTTGAAATGAAAAATATAAATAAAAAATATCCGAACATTTATATTTATATTGAAAAACTTTCATCAACACAAATACATTTATATTAAAATCCAGACAGATTTTAATAACTTGAGTAAATATTAATTGAATTAAATCTATAATTTCTACAGCTCTACTCAATGTACAAAAATAACTGGAAAGCATTTTTTTTAAACACTCTGAAAAACAATATATTTGAAATTATCATTTAACATTATTCAAAAACTCAAGAGATATGTTTCAAACAGTATAAAAGCTATATCTGAACGAATTATTTTTTAGAAAATTCAAAAATGATAAAATTATGTTCTTTCCATAATTCTATGAGTGATTATCAAAAGAGTTTTATCATAGAATGTTTCTGTTATTTAACATTGATGAAAACTGAATATGTACAGAATAAAATGTTCCTTAACAAGCTTTTATGCTGCAATTTTAAGTAGGATTCTAACGATTAAGCACAGATTTCATGCGTGGGCTCATAAGGAAAGATACCAACGTAATTTGTTACATAGTTACTTTTTGGAATTAATCTTTTTAAGATTAAAACAAATATTTTATAATCTGCAGGCAGCAGATTTTATTTTAAAGGGAACAATTCATTTTTCACTGGTTCCAATTACAACAACATGCTTAATCTATATTAACGAACAGCAAACAAAGAAACACCATAAAACAATAAAATGATACAATTTTCAAGATATAATACAACTTAAAAAATACAAAATAAATTCTATTCGTTAACAATGAATATATTATAGTATAGGCAAACTTGAGTTAAAGACCACCGCTAAAAGCAGCCCATACAAAAAATCCTATTAATACCATTTTCTCCACGTCCGAAATTGAAATTTAGAAGCCTCGCCATTCCCGACAAGTTTGACTGTTGTGAATTTTCAAACAAATTCTAAAATTCTATCAAACTTTCTTTCAATTATGGTGAACATATCATGAAAAATGCATGCAGTAAGTAGATAAATGAAACATTCTAACATACATATATATATATATTATCACAATTCCTTTATCCTTTAAGAAGCAAATTTTGGATTCATATGCATCACAGTTCTTAATTATCGTACATTGTAATATAAATTTGTGATACAATGTAAAATCTATATTTCATCTCTTATTCCAAGAATTGTAGTTCGGCACTTCTAAATTGAACCCATCCAAACACACATTCTTACAAAATAGACATGTATATAATTATCATACATAATGATAGCACTTGTTAAAATAAACCCACCCAAGCTCCAAAATCAATTGTTGATATGAGTATATGTATAACCATGGATACACATTATGATACGCAACCTTTCTGGCATTGACCATAATGTCATAATGTAATGATATAAAGCAAACTAACATATTATTTCTTTCTTACACCCATGCTTTCATTTGTAATTTTTTTACCATTTTAATATCCTTCATTCCTTTTTTTTTCAATCTCTTGTTCACTTGTCCTTCATTCTCCCTTAAAAAAATCTCCATTTTTTTTATCCCACTCTTAATTTCTTTTCAATCTATTGCATCTATAATTCCCTCCACTCCAATTTCCTACACTCCTTTAACCCCCAATCCAATTTCTCTATCCAATTCTTTATCGTCCTCTCTTATTACAACTTATCTCTTCTTGCCTCTCACCTCACCATATTAATGCCCCACCATATTAATGCCCCCCCCCCCTTCAACATCCTTCCCACCCCCACCCCAAAAATCTCCTCAATCAGCCCCCATTTCCGACCAATATTCTTACCTTTATCTCTAATAATTCCTAACTATTGGATCTCGGACTTCCTTAACCTTTCCTTGATTACATTATATAAAGCAATACTAATAATATAATACTTTTTTAGGTCATTTCACTGACTTGATGCAAGAAATTACCCTGAAAAAATGCTATCATTAATACATTAATATTATTTTTAAGTTAACTAACAGTTTTTCAGTTGTTACAGTTCAACCTTTGCAGAGCAACCCCCTTTTGGAGACAAAAGAACTTGGTTGCTGCAGAGAGGTGTTGCTGTACAAGTTATTGTAAAACCTTTCTTTGGGAAAAAATGATTTTTCTTGAAGATTTCTCTACAAAGGGTGGCTGAGTTGAGGTTGAACTGTATATGCATAGGAAAAAAAATATACTGGTAGAAGAACAAGTGGTATAAAATATACCTTAACTTTGGTAAGGAAAGATTTTCTGACTGTAAAATCATATTTGTTTGCACAGCACAAATTTTCGTTAAAACTTTAGCTAGAAAAATGCATTAATCAAAGCACAGAAGGCGCTGAATTTGTTTTGGTGTCAGAAAGGTGAAGGTTGTGAGATTATAAACCAATTTGTTTTTGTATAGTGCCACCAATGCTTTCCAGTGTTTTAACTGTAGTAAATTGGCTATAAGACTAATTGCAACACTGATAGTCAATTCAATGTTTATTTATCCTGGATTGACGGGTTTTCGATACGACAAGATATTTTTGGCAATTTTCTTTAGTAAAAAACGAACAGAAGTACAAAAAATATAGCCTTACCTTTAATTTAACTTATTTTCTTGTCAATCACATGTTTTCAATTATTTAATCAATGTTATTCCTTTTGAAAATATTCCACAAAAGTCATATATAAATCTGTCCTTCCAGAAAAAAAATTGACGTATATTCGAGACTCCAAAATTGAAGAGTACCACATGTACAGTCACTACCCAAAAGTCTTGTAACAATATAAAAATAACTGGAAACATTAAATTTAAAACATTTATAAACTGTTTGAACTTGTAGTGTTATTTCTTATATGGATTATACCTCAGTATTTTCAGTGTTATGGCATGGACAGATGAAGACATCATGTGTCCTCACTACAGTCTCTTTGCAACAGTACTTTAGATGTGTCCAGTGATTGCAAGACTGGAAGTCACATTGAGCCCATGAAGTGAACACCAGAGAAACACAGTTTTGTAGTTCTTTTGGTTGAAAAAGTTTACAAACACAACATTTCTCATCATCTGAAACATCTGAAGAATCTTCAGAGTCAGAGCTAGCAACCACTTTTTGACGTTTATGTACCTTATTTGTTTTACCTTTGCCACTTGCAGACCTTTTAGTTTTTGATTTTGAATACTTTGAACTCATTTCATTTTGATGATCAGTAATTTGTTTTTCAATTTCAGAAGTTGTAATTGATTTCCCAGAAACAATTTTACTCAAAGTAGCGTTTTTTGTCTTTTGTTCAAACCTTTGTTTATTTACTATTACTGTCTCTGCAGCTTTAAAGAATGAATGTGGTTCTTTTGAAATTTGGTTCTGATTTTCAGTAGAACACGCTGGCTGAGGTAAATCAGATGAGGAGCATGATTCAGACTGTGGTGTTGAATAGGCCTTAGATGGTGCCAGTTGACTGTCTGTAATAACAGCAGGGTTAAAAGGAAATATACCACTGCGTTTAAATGATGACCTTAGATTTACAACAGACAGAGCTGAAGCATATGCTGGACACACCAAGGAACAAATATTGTACCTTGTAATTTTAGATGCTGGATTGTTCCTCAAAAATTTTTGACATTCAGAATTGTATATTCTTTGGAGAGGGCCAAAACATCCAACATCTAAAGGTTGTAGAATATGACTTGTATGAGCTGGCAATACCATGAGGATAACATGATGATCTTTTGCCCAGTTGATAACTTGAAGATTTATATGTGACTTATGACCATCATAAATGAGTAGAACAGGTGTTTCACTATTGGGTCTCTGTACATATTTAAGAAAGTGAGTTTCCAGATACTCAAGAAAAATGGCAGTATTCGACCAGCCACTGTCTGTAACGGTGCCTTGTGCTCCTGGTGATGACCCCTCCATTAACTCACTCCTCATTCTCTGTCCCTTGAAAATAAAGTAGGGAGGAATTTGAGAACCAATAGCATTACCACAGGCTAAAATAGTAGTGGTGGATGAGCGGGCAGAGGTTATTGCTGGAGTTGTTTTACTCGTACAAACAATGTAAGGTGGACTGTGTTCAGTCTGGACACCCTTCTCATCAACATTATAAATTAGTTCAGGGCTGTCCATCAAATTATTGTCCTTCAATACAGACTGGAGGTTATCAAAGAAAGAAGAAATTGCTTCCTTAGAAGAAGCCTGTGCTCTGTAATTGGAAAGTGCTCTTGGTTTCAAAACTTTCATCTCAGGCCATCTATCCATAAAACCACGGAACCATCTATCACTGAGTGGATGATTCTTATCCCGTAAGCCAAGAAATAAGGCAAAGTTACTGGCTTGAGAGGTGACTTCAGTACGGGAATACCCATACCCCAATTCTGCCATGGCTTTAAGATGCTGAACAAACAAAGCCTCTTGCTCTTGTGAGAATAAAGCCTGTGGTCCAGAGGATACAGTATCTGGATCTATTCTACCCAGGACACGGTCACGTAGTGTAGTCTGGGGTACACCATACTGGCGAGCAGCAGTTTTAATAGGCATACAGGCATCTTTCACAGCTTGGTAAGCTGAAGTCATGGCTGTAGGACTATACAGCCTATACTTCATGGATGTTTTCAGAGAATTTGCCTATAAGAAAAGAAAACCAAACTATAAATAGTTGTTATAATGTTAATTTAAAGATAAAATACTTTTTAATAATCTCAAAATGTTATAACAGGTAAGTATTTTTCAAACACCCTGTACTTATTTATAGACCATGGAAATCACATGACGATCATGTGACCTCAGATAGCAGACGATGCAGGACCCCCCATGAAGCTTTTTTCTTTATTTGCAAAATTATTATTCATAGAGCTTTTTATTTTGAAACATGTAACAAAAGTATTAGTAAAAAGTTAAGTTTTATTCATTTCATTTTTAAAAGTAAATAAACTTACGTTTTTCTTGCGCATTTTGCAAAATTTTATAGTGTTCGATTAAAGTTAGGAACTAGGTAGTTTTATGAAATCCCGTGTGACGTCATTCCACTTCCGGCGGTGTCGCGGTAAACAAAAAACATAAAGTATCGAATTCAGGTCAGTATCGATTACACGTCAATCCACGATAAAAAAAAAAAGAAAATGAGTTGCCTCAACTGGGTTTTGAACTCCAGTCCTCTCGATTCATACGCGAGCGTGCAAACCACTCGGCCACGGTGAAGTTATATGTTAACGGCCTGAAGAAAACCATATTATTCTAAATTAGGTTTTGTAACTCTTTATTATTTCGACACTAAACCTGTTGTTTAACACAGATGTAAATAATCATGGAGCTTACTGTAAGCATGTATATCTATAAAGAATGAAACAATATAAGAAATATTCGACCATTCGGGAACTACTTTGCCTGAAAATTAATGCGCCTGTCATTTGACCATCTTTACGCATTGATCTCCCCTAAATTTTTCGGCGTTGGTGTACATATAAAGGGAAGTAACCGCTTCAAAAAAGTGGACTACTTTAGGCATTTGCAATTAACAGCATTAGGCTCTGAAATTTCGCTACCATTATTTGTTTGGGTCGTCAAAACCATTATTTGTTTGGTCTGACGACCCAAACAAATAAAAACTGCGCATACTTCCCATTTATGCTGTTTGCATGGAAATTAAATGATTTTACTGTAAGAACAATACTGTTAAGATTTGTACATAATTATTTTAAATGTCTGCCTGACACACTTTTCTTGAAAAAGAAATCGAAAATTTAAAACAATGTTTACAAAAAGAAAAAAAAATCATATGAGCCGCGTCATGACAAAACCAACATAGTGTGTTTGCGACCAGCATGGATCCAGACCAGCCTGCGCATCCGCACAGTCTGATCAGGATCCATGCTGTTCACTATCAATTTCTCTACTTGCTATAAGGTTTGTAAGCGAACAGCATTGATCCTGATCAGACTGCACGGATACACAGACTGGTCTGGATCCATGCTGGTTGCATAACCATTATGTTGGTTTTGTCGTGACGCAGCTCATATACACATTCACTCAACAAAAAATATTCATATATGCCGTACAGATATTTGTATGTGTAAACTTTGAGCATACGTTTCTGTTTATATAATAAATAAATGCCATGATATATACATAAGCTTTTCACAACATGATCTACACTTTACTGAACAATAGTGAACATGTAAATAAACATACATAAAGATTATCGACTCGAGTTAATTTTTGATAGGAAATTAACTCATCATTTTAACACATTTATACTTAAAACTGGTAAATTTACCCTTAAATTTATATAATAGACTTGTCAAGGTGTGTTTTTCGAACAGTCCATTACTATTTTAAGGGATATCGATATTTAAAATACTAAAATTGTTCAGTGGACAGTATCGATGTGTATTCTAGTATGACTATATGCTTGTTATAATTCAGTGTACACTCACATGATTAAGCCCTGGCCTACTTGATTTTATTCACACGATTAAGCACTGGCCTACTTGATTCTATATTTTAAACTTTTTTCAGAACGAAATTCTACAGATTTGCCCTATTCGACTAATATATATTCTTCTTAAAATTTTTAACTGCTGTATGAATAAAAGAATACAATCATATTAAACAAGAGTTTTTTTAACACCTATGTTAGTTATACTATGTGACTATGCTGCATTTACAAAGCTAAAATAAAGCACCTTAAGCAAAGGAAAAGAAAGAAAATCTATTTTTGACCTCAGTGACCTTTGACCCAATCCACATAAACCCCTACCTGAGGGTATCATTTTATGAAAGGTATTAAAACACTAAATATCTAATACACTGTATATCAGTCAATTAGTAAAGGTGCTATGAGAAATGGAGTGTGATGAAAAGACAGAAGGAAAAACGAAATGTCATATTAAAATCCATATGTGCCATCAAAAATAAATCTTAAAGGGACTGCACTTATATGCGCCATCAAAAATAAATCTTAAAGGGACTGCACTAATATGCGCCATCAAAAAATAAATCTTAAAGGTGCTGCACTAATATGCACCATCAAAAATAAATCTTAAAGGGACTGCACTAAGGTTTTTTTACACGATGGAACTAGAAATAATTTTTTCATGATTGGTTGACTATTTGATGTAGGTCTATACAGAGATTTATTTAGCTTATCTTTTAGATATTCCCAAAGAGAAATATTGTATAATATTTTCCTAATCCACAGGAAAAAATTCCCAATTGAAATTACAAAATAAATGATATATAAATGAATAATGAATTCTACGAGGGATGTCCGGAAAGTTCATATACTTCTTCATTTTTTATTGTAGAACAATACATACGTTGAACAAATTTTGTCAGCAGAAACATACATATCTAGCGAACAAATTTATAAAAAATTACTGAACTGTGACTAACGTTTGTATTTTAACAGTAATTACATACAACATATATACATCATCATGGAGCACTTTGACAACGTCAACGGCGTCAAATTAACTTCATGTTTATCCGCTATTCAATTTCTTCCGATTTCAACAGCCATGGTACATGTCTGGCTTATACAAAATATATGTTGTGTTGCTTTTACTTTATGAATTTCATATTTAAAATTATTATTTAAAAACAAAAATGTCACTGGTTCCCATACTGTGTTGTGAGATGTCTGTCTATTTCAAGGTTGTTGTAACGCAATATACGAAATCTCGCCCATGCTACCTTTAGGCGTCTGGGGCGTTTCTTATACGATATACTGTCATCGCCGCTTCTTAATCTTGTTTGCCATTTAAACACAAGTTGCCTTCAACATTTTTGGTTGGTTTTGTTTTTAAAGTAAAGATTAAAATCTCAGCTGGTGCCATATTAGCGTTGCTATGAAGGTAAATATCATTACGTTGCTCCGTCCGTAAATTTGACGTCATTTTTTCAACACAAAATTTACGCACCTTCATTGCCTATAATCGTCGTTAACAAGCTGTTTATTTGCGTATGACGTCATAATTTTCACTAAATATCATGTAATAGTATCTCATGATGTCACAAAATTAAAACGACAGTTTGAGTTAAAATTACAACTTTTAGCAACTTATTACTCAAGTAGCTATCGTGATGAAATCAAAGTGCTCCGTGATTCGTTGATCATGTTGCCATGGTGATCGACGCTTTGCGAATATTACTGTTATGATGTTTTTTAATTTAGAAATATGTAGCAAATAAATACATTAGCAAATTATTCAATCTTCATATTGATAATGACTGTTCATAGTAATTTAATAGTCTTGTCTACGAACTTTCCGGACAACCCTCGTAAAATCATTGAAAAAAGGGCTTCTTCACTGTTATGGTGCTTAAATGTTTGAAGGTGGCTGATGCCATCCTAGACAGTGATTCTTTTATTTCATTTAATCACTGCAAAATTTAAGTCATGCATTTTTTCTCAATTTAAATACAACAAACATTGATAAAATTGCCAATTCCATGAAAATGGGTCATGTTCCTAAAATCCTGGAAAAAGAACCCTGCTAGACCAATAACTTGTGCACAAAACTCTAGATCATTTTGCTCCCTTTGTTTTTCTAGAAAAAAAAAATCATTTACATTCAGCATTATGACCCAAAAGTAAAACGTTATTTGCTCTTTTAACTCATATGGGGATTAGAATTGCATGAAATATTGCTTTTCAATTTTCCTACAAATATATTTCTTGATTATCTTTGTATAAATTTTCGTTTTAGATGCCTCACTTCATCTATATAATATTTTCAGATTTTATGATTTAAGGCTTTTGGACCTCAGTGGAGTTCCTTTAATAATGAGCATTAAAAATATCAATACAAAACTATTCATTCCGTAAACACCATTCAAAAAATAAATACTAACAATTTATTATGTGATTACATTTTCCAACAGTCTCATTTCCAAACTGAAGAAATAATAAATATACTTGGTGGAGAAGCCATAAAATATGTGATAACCATATAAACAGCACTCAGAAAAATATCTAGGATAAAAAAAAATTACATTTCCTGTCCCTTGACTTTAAAATACTTTGCAGAAATTTCATCACATTTGTTGTATACAACAACAGCAAAAAGAAAAATTCAAAATTTCAGGAATGCTGTGATCTAAATAGCCAGATTTCACAAAGCTTGAGGAAGACTAAATGTGCTTTAAAATTATAGACAGCAAAACATATGTTCACCGCTTTCCGCATTTTCTCGACAACATTTAATTCACAAGTGAGACTATGAGACTTCACAAATATCTATTTAAAGCTATCACGGAGATCTTTTCGTTTCCCTGACCTCGTCTGAGGAAGACTTTATGTTCTCTTTATTATCACCTAGTGCATCAGATCTATCCGTGCTTTCATCACTTTTAACTTGAGCACTATTAACACTTCTAGAATCGGATGATTTCAAATTACGAACCGTCCGTTCATGAACTGGTTTTTCGTATTTTGGAACAGCTTGTTTGGGATTGCCGGGAGAATTGTCACTCTTATCCCCAGTCTTATAGTGGTGTATAACAATCCTATTGTCACTAACTGGATCATTTTCTACTTTCTCTAAAATGTTTTTAATGCCCTCTGCAAGATGCTCATTCACACCTTGTTTTAACTTTTCAAAACTAATGTCGTTATTATCGGGTTTTATTTTCACATCATTTTCTACAGGATTATAATTATCATTTATTCCAACTACATTTGCCTCCTTTTGAGTCACAGACTCTTTTATATATACATTATCTATATGTACACTATCTTTTTTATAAATATTTTCTTCTTGTATATTTTCATTTAATTCGGATTCCTTATTACGAGTGGATTTCACAGACAGAGGCTCTTCAAAATCAGTCACATCTGCGTATGAGCGTGACTCGTCTATATTTATTTCAGTCGTTGAAGGCTCTTTGACTGGTTTAACAATTTTTGTTTTAATTTTCACTCCCATCCCATTAAGATTAATAATCTTTACTTGACCGTCTTCCAAATTCAGGATTTCGGGAATCTCTACAGAAATTTTATTCTTTTTATCTACTGTATCATCCACTTCTTTCTGATCAACGCCATCATTACCTTGTATATAATCTTGTTCTTCTAATTCCATATTCTTAGCGGCAGCTATTTCTTTCTCAGATAAAATTTCTAATTCATTTGAAAGTTCCTCGAACAATTCTTGAGATTTTGAATCTAACGATTGCTTTCCAAAGTAAGCGGATTCTAAAAGGCGAACAATAGCAGTTAAGTATTCACTCTGTTTTTCAAGGAGTTTAAAATTCGTTTTTTCTAACAATGTTGCTCTTAGATTTTCGTATATTTCTTCTAGGGAAGGAGCACTGTCCTGATTCTTTTTTAATTTATCAAATCTAAAAAATAATTGTTTCGATCCCCCAGGTAGTGTTCTTATACTAATTATACCATCTTCGTCTTCGACCGAGTTCGGTGTGATAATTCCATCGGCAAGCTCCGGTTCTATTGGCTGATACACTCCGTTCTCAATTTGTATCATTTTGTTAAGTTTCAAAGTTCGGCCTGGCACAGGGTGGTTCGGTTCAATATTTTCCGACACTATTGTTGTCTGTGATTGGTGACTGCTGTCATGTGATGTCCAAGACTGGTCACTAGGATTTTTAGGAGTGTCAGGTCCTAAATTTCAAGTTCATAAAAGTTAAGTAATTATATCTACAAATTTGTTTAATTCTATACTGGCTGCCGGTACAGACCGGAATATCTAGCTCAAGGGTAACTATTTACCTTTTTTTAATTATAGAAATAATTTTGTTATCCCTAAAACTTCCAAATTAATATTATGATTGTACGGTAACTTTAATTATAATGAACTTAAATCAAACTTCAATTTTTTTCTTTTGGGATAAAACTTTATTTACTTTCAACTTTATTTTTAATATCAAAGTGGTTTAATAAAAACTTTTAAAATATTTTGAATTAAAGATCTAACTTTATTTTACCTAAAACTTCAAATTTCGCAGCCATGACAACTTCTATATTTGGATTATTTCGCCACATTTGAATGATCTGTTGTCCCTCTACGTGGAACAAGAACAGCAATGGAATATAAACATCATCAGTGCCGTCCCCGGACATTGCAAACAGTGGTGACCCATTTGTTGTGCTGCCTGGATTATGATCTACAAAAAGAAAGCAAACTTTTATTATAAAAATTCCACGAATTCAAAATCTGGCACAATGTAACAGTTTAAATACTCTTTATTAAAACTAACCTTAAAATAACAAGTAACTGTACAAAAGACAGCGCCCTTGACTATTCTCAGTGCTTGACAGTAAGAAAAGGGGCATAACTCTGTAAACAAGAGCTGTCCGTAAGACAGCGCGCTCGACTTTTTTATTGCTTGCCAATAAAAAAAGTTTTTGCAGTAAAAGGCAATACAAGAATCTCTGTATTTTTAAAGTGAACAATGGCCATGAGCATTAAGATATTTAGTGAAGAATTATTTTACTGAATTGTGTGATACCCTTGAACACTGCAGCAAAGTTTGAAATGTTTAAGTCAAAAGAGGGCTGGTAAGAAAGAAAAAAAAACTGAGTTGAGCCTTAAATAAATTTAATAGTATTAAACCCACTTTGAGAGAATAAGGTATTTTTACGTCACTCAGAACACCTTGGTAAAATGACATAATAACATAATTTTTCAAGAAATCTATGCCAAGGAAGCAGTATATTTTTGTACAATCAGCATAATATATAGATTTGAATTTTTTTTAGATTTTTTTAAGTTTTTTAGTGCTTGCCTATAATACAAAACATTGACAGTTAAGGGCCATAATTCAAATAAAATCTTTTGACAGAATTACCTTCTCCTGGACATGTGTGGGAATCATGATTGTAAACAAGTATTCCAACTTTCAAATTAATATCTCAAACAGTTCAGTCAAAAAGTGGACTGGTACTAAAAACTTAACCAAGATTCTAAGTCGATAAAAGGCCTTAATTTTTAAAACAAATCCTTGACAGAGTTACCTTCTCTTGCGTACAGATGGGGGTAATGATGTGAAATAGCATTAAAAGTTTCAAAGCAATATCTCAAAGGGTTAAGGCAATAAGTGGATTTTACCCATATTCAATGTATTTTCTAAGTCAAAAAGGGGCATAATTCTGTCAAAAACCTTGACAGAGTTATGTCCTCTTGTCTGTTGATGAAGGTCGTGATGGTAAACAAGTATGGTCAGTTTCAAAGCAATACCTCCAATGGTTTTGAAATAAAGTGAGGTGGTACAAAAAACTTAACCAAGCTCAATACACTTTCTAAGTCAAAAAAGGGCCATAATTCTGTCAAAAACCTTGACAGAGTTATGTACTCTTGTCTGTAGATGGAGGTTATGATGGTGAACAAGTATGGTAAGTTTCAAAGCCATACTTGTAATACTTCTGAAATAAAGTGGGGTGGTACGAAAAACTTAACCAAGGTGTGACGCCGACGCCGACGCCGGGGCGAGTAGGATAGCTCCCCTTTTCATAGAAAAGTCGAGCTAAAAAGTAATTCAAGTAATGAATGTGTCTATCATGTTGTGCCAAGGCATGTAAGATTATCACAGATAACAAGTGTCTGAAGTTTCAACCCATTCCCTTCAGTAGTTTTGGAGATACCAACTTGCATGCAAAAAAAAAACTTAACCCAAGTGTGACAGCTGTGCTGATGCCAGGGCAAGTACAATAGCTCTCCTTATTCTTCGTATAGTCAACCTAATAATGGACTGTTCTTAAATCAAACCTAAATAAATCCTTTATGTGAAAGGGTTATATTAAAAGCATGGTGTTTAGACATAATACATGTGTCAAGAAACAAGCCCGAATAAAACCACCACTCCATTACAATACAACTTCTTCAACACTTTCTTTGTGTTTTTGAAGTATTCAGTGTATTAAACTTGTCTTGCTTGGAATTTTGACAGGTCAACGTCAAATAAAAGTTCAATATCAAAATAATAAAAATGGACCAGGGAGACAGTATATGATCTGGGCAGACTCTATATAATATTTTAGTTCCATTTTAAGCCTCACCAGCACTTGTTAATGGTTATATGGTAGCTTTCCGGCTTTACTGGTGAAGGAAGACCTGAGGTCAACTTCCAGGCATTCCAGGAATTAAAGGAAACCTGAGTATAACCATTGATTTTACTTTACATAATATTGATTGCTAACCAAAATGAAAGAATACAAAGTTACTAGCATGTTTTCAGCACACAGTTCTTATAAGCAAGACGTTTGCAGGCAGCAACTTTTTCCTATCAACCACAGAGGTCCTAAACAATAGATAACTGTAGACTGGTATAAACCTAACCATGTGATATGTCATATCCACTCAAACAATTACAAAATTAATATAACTAAGTTACCTATAACAATTCCTCCAATCGCACCAACTCTCTGTAAATTTCTAGCCTGCAAAACATAATACAGATATCAAATATACATGATATCAAATATACATGATATCAAATATACATGATATCAAAAATACAGAATGCTATAGCTTTGACAAAGGCGATAGACATTTCAACAACTAAACTTTCAAACGTAAGCTACAAAGCTTAGTCAAACATATAAAAACATATTCTTGGGGAAAAAAAGAGAGAAATAATCAAGCAATGTTTTCAACTTGATTTTTTACCTTGTCAACAAACATACAGTTCCCTCGCTCAATCAGAACAATTTTGCCTGCCAACAGTTCAGGATTCTGCACTTGGCTACTGCACATCTTATATGGTTGACCTATGGCCAATTTTCCTCTAATATTTGGTCGTTTCTTCAGATCGTAACCAAATTGTGCTGGGCCCGCCTTAAACACCTGACTGTCCTGTTCTGTGATAATAACCTTGAGTAATAAAGGTTCATTCTGATCTGAAATGTAAATTTAAAATTTAGTCTGCTGTGTTCTTGTAATGGACTTGTCCTCGGTTGAATCTGAAACTGTCCATGGTCTTTTCATAGAATTTCAATAACAATATGTAACAACTTTTTTTTGTTCTGTGTCAAACTGTAATATTGCATATTGGTAGATTTACTTGCGAGTACCCCTCTGTGCAATACTTTAGAGCAGAGTGGCACTTTAGTAGAACCACCATTTTAACCCACAGCAGTGAAAGGCAAGATGTTTATAGTCAGCAACTGTAAAATGCAGAAAATAAGCAGCCTAACAGAACACTTAATACAGGAGCAGGTTGGCTAGCTCCTATGGTGGTCACAAAGGACTGTCTCTATCCTAAGTCAGAGACTTAAAAAACTCTCACATTCGAGGTCTCATTATATAGGTAATGTTAGAAGAGCATTCATTTTGGAAATCATAAGCCAAAATCAAGGAGTAAATGACTTCCATTAACAGAAACCCTAGATTTTGAAAGGAGAAACAATATGTTACCCATTCATGCTAAGACTGCCACAGAAAATGAAATAATAAAACCCTACTGCCACTGAGAATAAAATAATAAAACTCCACTGCCGCTGAAAATGAAATAATAAAACCCTCCTAAATGTCCTATTTTCTTGTTGTTTCTTGAAGATTTAATATAACTAGACTTTAGCATGACTTTGGCCAGAGATCAAATCAGAGACTTTTACTTTGTAGGCCAAAGCTGCAATTTGAAATTTAAATTTAAGAAATCTTACTATCTTGTGGCTGTTTCTTTGACAGTTCAATCATCTCTTGCATGAACAATAACCCCTCCTCGGCTAGTTGTGGAGAGAGCGCCTCGGATGCCGTATGCAGTAACTGTATGCGACCATCTGCCATTGTCATCAGACGTATGCCCATTTCCTTTAGCTGCGTAAGCTGATCCTGGTTCCCTGCTACAAAATCATTAGCTTTAAGCCTGGAGCCGCTGACTCTAAATTGAGAACATTGCTGACTGGCACTGAAAGTACAAGTTATTAAATATGGGCCAGGAACCATTGACTCTTACCTGAGTATATTTCTGACAGGTAATGTAAGTAATTAAGACATTTGTGTCACATTTTTTTTTTTTAATTTTCATTGGATTTTACTTGACATCAAGAATTGCCATGATAATATGATGACTTTTCAACTTCCACTACACAGGGTCCAAGTTTAAATTAAAAAAAAAACTTTCCTCAAAAGAATACAAATATGTCATTCTTATTTCTATATAAAAACTAGAAATGTATTCACAGGATTCAGATACCCCCATATGTCACTGTTTTGTCAGTCTTTAAATGGACAGCTGAACAACAGGACAGACGGACACAATGGAATATGGGACTTTTTCATTTGTTATCTTCTTTTCTTCAATAGACGGTCATTTTCCCCTTATTCTATTATTAAAGAATGAACTCAATTGTTCTCTTCAATTCTGTTTACAATTAGATGGATCCCTATTTACTTTCTGTAGTGCCGAACCAATCTATATGAAGGGGGCATAAAAAATTTCGTAGTATTCAGTTCTGGACTCATAATGTTTTACTGTATTTCTAACTCAAACTTGATACTTACGGAACAATAGGCTGTGACAAATCCACCATATTTTTCATACTATCTCTAAGATTGGAAGCGTAGTTCATTCTAAATTTGACGAGTGGATTAGGGCAAGTGTTGTGTGGGCTGTCACCAAACTCATCGTGGTCGTGAGTCTCCTCGTCTATCTGCTGTAAATGGCTGTACATCTCACGGCTTAGACGCTGAATAGGATGAAAAAAATTTACACCCTGGTTAACAAGCATTTGATAGTATTGCGGGCAATACAGTAGTCCCCTACTGGTCCCTCAAAAAGTTCTTTAATTGTCATACACTCCTGTGTATTGCCATTTATAATGAATTTGAGGATGAAGTCTGTATTTGAAAATATCGACCACAAAACATAATAAAATAAGTTTGTCTATATCACAGTAATGTGTTAAGTTTCCATGCTTAGCAAGGAAATTATGTTTATACAACCTTGTCATATTATTACGATGTGGGATTTTAAAGTTGGAGTGAAAATACCAGTTTCTCGAAAAAAATCTAAGTTCAAGGGGGACATAATTCTGGAAATAGTCTTGCTAGAGTATTTAACCTTCTCAAAAATGTCGAGTGATAATAAGAAACATATATATGAAGTTTGAAGTAGATACATTAGGAAATAAAGAAGTTATTTAAAAAAGACAACATTTTTTCCACTAAAAAATCTAAGTTCAAGGGAGGTAATACTGATATTTTTTGTGCTAGAGTTATAAACCTTGTCACATATGATGTGGTTGATGACCAGAAACTTATATTTAAAGTTTGAAGTAAACACCTTAAGAAATAAAGAACATATAGTGAAAAAGCTGAAAAATTTAAATCAGAAATCTTGAAATTCAGGCTATTTGTTGCCATAGCAACCAGAATTTTCAACATAGGAAGAAAAGAAAAAGATGTGCATAATCTCCAGACTGCCATCTACCCATATTTCAAGTTTCATAAAAATATTTTCAGTACTTTTTGAGTTATCACTGGATCCAGTTTATGTGTTAAATTTGCCATATTTTCAGACTATTTGTTGCCATAGCAACCAGAATTTTCAACATAGGAAGAAAAAAAAAAGACGTGCATAATCTCCATACTGCCATCTATCCATATATCAAGTTTCATAAAAATATTTTCAGTACTTTTTGCGTTATCGCGGGATCCAGTTTTGTGGACGGACGGACTGACGGACTGACAGACTGACAGACAGACAGACAGACGGACAGACGGACGGAGGGTAAACCTAAAGTCCCCTCCGGTTAAACCGGTAGGGGACTAATAAAGCATATTGTACCAATCTTTTGGGGCTAGAGGGTGTAAAAACTTTAGATTGCAAAATATGCATTAAAAAAATCAAAATCTGTACAATCACTCATATTCTTATGGTTGTTTTTAGAAACAAAACATCACTGACTAGTTATTAACAGCTCTCGGGATGCTGTTTTGTTAAAGGTTTAAAAGTGATATGATACAGTTTTCCAAGATGAAATTATTGAAATATTTAGTTAAAAACAACACAGAATTGTTTTTTCCAACAGAAAATAAAAACTTAAGGCCACCACATCAACAGTGTTAATGTCATACAGCAACTTTCCAGCTTTACTGGTGGTAGAAAACCTTTAGTGCCCCTTCTTGCATTATTTCAGGCACATCCTGGCACCTGAGTAGAACCACTGACAATATGTAAGCTAGCTAGTTAAATTCCTTGCATGAAAGAATCCAGACTTCCTGATGGAATTCAAACCCACAACGGTGATTTGAAGTTGGTGACTTTAACCACTTGGCCATGCAGGCACCTAACAAAGTGCTAAATTCACTGTAATGTCAAAGGTAACAACAGACAGTTGTCAGTGGAATAGCATGATCAATATTCCATTGTGTTTGAATGTAATACAAGGTCCATGAAGGTTTTTTGTACATTAGTAAAGGGGAATAGTTTGATGAATTGAATGCTCCAGTTATGGTTTTTGATCAGTAATGTACACTAATGACCCAGAAGTTAATATGAGATTCAAGTGAATAACTTAAGTGGTTAGTTTATACGAATTTACTTTAGTTGGATCGTGTTGGAAGCTTATTGAAACACTCTCAAATCCGTTCCTGAAACCAGCCAGTACTTAGTAACGAGTGTAAAGTTTCTTGCTCACAAAAAATTAACAGTTTGCCCCTGATGGGGTTTGAACCTACACAGCCAGCAATCCTAAATTTACTAGTCAGAAGTGTTAACCACTTGGTCATGCCGCCACCTTCAGTGGTTTTAGAGATAGAATTCAAAACAAAACATTACCTACAAAAACTGTTTTTAAGTTTAAAGGAAAATAATTCGGTGAAAATAAATGCTCAAGTTATGGTTCTTAATCACTAACCTACACGCATGAGTAAATCTTCATATGAATAATTAAAGTAATGAATAAAAAGTGAAATTTGGATGCAAAACCTTAACGAAAATTTACCCAAACAACAAGGTGAGGAGGATAGCCCTACTTATCTACACTACAAATAGTCAATCTAAGAGAAACTTAAAACTTACCATAGAAGCAGGTTTAGACCCGTTACATCTGGAGAGTGAGAGTGGTAGAAGATGGGCTTCCGTTGTGAACACATAATCATCAATGTCAAACAATATGTCACTTTTATCAGCAAACATCAGATATAAATACTTGAATGTCTCGGCCAGTACAAATGAATCCATCCTTGAAAAAAAATTGTAATATTTACTGCATAAATTTTGAACGAAAAAAATGCGTAAATGAATTATCAATTTAAACAAACAAACTCTGTGTGATCAAGGCAATGGATTTTTTAAGCATTCTTTTTTATTCCATTTTCTTACTTCTTTTTTATTCCATTTTCTTATTTCTTTTTTATTCCATTTTCTTATTTAATTCAATTTTTTTTATCTTTTCAGGCAGAGTCTGGTCAACAAACTTCCATATCATAGCTGGCTAGCTTCCATAAACTTGCTTTTTAGATTAACTTGCTTTTTAGATTCTTAAAGTCAGCTGGTTACCTTTAATAAACAAGCTTGCCAGCTTCCACAAACCAACTAGTAACCGTGCATACACTAGCCGGTTAATTTCCATAAACTAGCTGTTAAGCTTCTGTAAACTAGCTTGTCAACTTTCATAAACAACCTGACTAGCTGGTAAACTTCCATAAACAAGTTTATTGCCTTAAGTAAACTACCTGGTCAGCTATCACACATGAGAGAATCAAAAGTCCCTTGCAGGATTTCATCCTACAGCTATGAGAGACCAGCAAATAAAAGTACAGGGTACCTTGTAAAGCAACTATGCTTCTGTAATCTATCCATAAAAATATGATCAAATGACTTACTGATCTTCATGTGTGCCTTTGGTAACATCTTTGATGGCAGCAAATCCACATGGAACACGTGCAAGTTCATCTAGATTCTCAATCACCTTTTGACCTACATCTAGATAATGCTGATCCCCGGTTGCCTACATATACAATGTATCAATAATATTTATATACCAATAACTTGGTTCCCCTTTATATAAAAGAATTGCAAACAAACATAAAATATTTGTGATAAAATTATATTTAAATTAAGATTCTAAAGCATGGTTGAATTAATAAAGTTTACTGCTCATATAATTAAAGTTTTGCTACTAAAAGAATAGGGTATCAAGTGATAGCTATCTCACATATACAGATTAAGTCTTTGCCAAGACTTAAAGGGCAAACCATTTCTCTTTTTTACTTGTACATATATATTTATCCCCCCCCCCCCCCCAGGGCCAATTTTAACCCAAGGGCTTTTATTTGAACAAACTTGGTAGACACCGATAAGAAGATGTTTCATGCTAAACATCTAAGCTCTAGCTCATTGGGTTTTTTAAAAGAAGATTTTTAAGTTTTTACTATACACATACATGTATAGTTAAAAACAATGACACCCCTTGGGCGGGGCCAGTTTTGACACCAGGGCTTTTATTTGAACAAACTTTGTAGACACTTACTAGAAGATGTTTCATGCTTAATATCTAAACTCTAGCTATTTATGTTTTTTCAAAGAAGGTTTTTAAGTTTTTGCTATACACATATAAGGAAAATCAATGACCCCGGGGCGGGGCCAATTATGACCCAAGGGCTTTTATTTGAACAAACTTTGTAGACACTCATTAGAAGATGTTTCATGCTTTATATCTAAACTATTGCTATTTAGGTTTTTTCAAAGAAGATTTTTTAAGTTTTTTGCTATACACATATAAGGAAAATCAATGACCCCCGGGGCAGGGCCAATTTTGACCCCGGGGCTTTTATTTGAACAAACTTGGTAGACACATTAAAACATGTTTCATGCTAAATATCTTAACTCTAGCTCTTTGGATTCTTTAAAAGAAGATTTTTTTCTAAAGTTTTTACTATATGCATATAGGAAAAATCAATGACCCCCTGGGGCGGGGCCAATTTTGACCCCGGGGCTTTTATTTGAACAAACTTGGTAGACACTCATTAGAAGATGTTTCATGCTAAATATCTTAGCTCTTGCTCTTTGGATTCTTTAAAAGAAGAGTTTTTAAGTTTTAACTATATGCATATAGGGAAAATCATTGACCCCTGGGGTGGGGCCAATTTTGACCCCAGGGCTTTTATTTGAACAAACTTGGTAGACACTCACTAGAAAATGTTTCATGCCAAATATCTAAGCTCTAGCTCTTAGGTTTTTTTTAAAGAAGATATTTAAAGTTTTTCTTTCGGTTGCCATGGCAACCAGAGTTCTGCATGGAATTAAATTCTTTGAACAATTTTTAAAGGTGACCACCAAAGGAACATTCCTGTGAAGTTTGGATGAAATTTGCTTAGTGGTTTATGAGGAGATGTCATTTAAAGAAAAAGTTTACGGACGGCCGGACGCCGGCCGGACGCTGGCCGAAAAGCTATCACAAAAGCTCACCCTGTCACTTTGTAACAGGTGAGCTAAAAATTCTTTAGTTGTAAAAATTTTAGCTGAAATGTTTTCAAACATCAATTTTAATATCAAGTGGCATTTCTTTACCTTTTAACAGATGTAACTTCCAAAATGTCCAAACATATTATATCTTACCTTATATAAGAAATACGTAGACTCTACAAATTCTGGTCGCAGTGGATGGTGACCCCAATGTACGTGAAAATCGGAGGTAAAAGCTTCGGGAAGAAAATTATGTCTTTGTATTACCTGATACAACATCTCGTGTACCTCAATAGCTGGCTGTATATCTCCCTTTAATACCTACAATATATATATGTTCATTATATAATCCATAAATAGCTTTGAAACGCGGTTCTCTGGTTGGCTAAGGAGTAACTTTTCGTTAAAAAAATAAACATGTCATATTAGAATATATTGACTAATTTTTCACTAAAAATAAATTTTCAGAGCATACTCACTGTTATTTTTTTTTTCATTTAAAAATAGATTTTCTGGAAATCGCCCAAAAAGATGCGATGCTATCAAGTGAAATCATTCCAAGTTTATTTTTATATTTGTGTATCTACCATCAATACATGTACTTGTATATCTCCCTTAAAATCAGTTACAATTTATCTCCCTTTAATACTTACAATATTTATGTATTTCACACTTTCATACCTACAATATTTATAGCATATCTCTATTCAATACTTCTTTAATATTTGTACATCTCCCTTTAATATTTGTATAAATACACCCCCTCCCCTTTTAAGTCTGGCCTACCTGTAAACCTGGCCAAAAAGCCAGGAGAGCATCCATAAAGTTTCTTGAGGTAGATAAAGGTCTATGCATATGAACATCGACAAAGCGTGGTCCTTGACTAATATACTTCTTCACGGCATCGTAATGCTGCAAAAATGATGAGAGACAAAATATGTCAAATGTCTGTAGTGAAATACAAAATCTTATTAACGATCACAACTCTTATCCAATAGATGATTGGAAAAAAATTTTTCAATGATTCTAACCAAAAATTAAATCTTTTAAAAAATTAAATCCTTATCATTGTTGCTATTATATTTTTATAAGGTTCTCTTTTTCTCTAAAGAAAGAAAGGAATTTATTAGTGAGATGTTATATTATACAATTATATACATAAGTTTTGATATAAATATAGCTTTTCAGAGCCAAGAAAAGTTATGTTGACCGTGAACAATAGTCCCAGAGCAACAATATATTGACTTATACATAAGTTTGCAACTGTTTTATTGTATACAACTAGCTATAGAAGAGAAAATGTTTATATTTTAAATAGCAAAGCATCTAGTGATAAAACCATCAATATATATACTGACCTTATTAAATCTAGTGAGGTAGGTATCGTCTCCTAACAGAATATAAGCCTTTAAAACATACTCATAGTATGAATCTATTCCAGCCCCGACACCACTCTCTGAAATATATCATATAATACTTTACTGTGAATTCACTTAATTTCGTGGGTATGAAATTTCAAGGTTTTGTCACAAAGAAGATTTTCCTGGGTTTTTAAATTTAAGGATTGTTTTTTCCCCAAAAGGTTAAATGTAAATAATGAGATGCAAAATAATTTAACAGCAGATGAAATGACATTTTGTTTGATCTTATGTTCGTGGGTTTGACCTATCCACGAAAACCACAAATATTAGTTCCCCACGAAAAAAAATGATTTTGCAGTACATTATTCCTATTTTATTTTTGTTGTTGTTATATTATCTTCTTTCTTTTTCAGTTGGTTTATATGCTACACTGAGACCATGGATGTTTTTCACATAGCAGTTATTAGCTCCCTTGGTCACCATTTTGGTGGTAATTCACACATATATTTCATGCTTAACATAAGAATTAAATCTCTATAAATTATATCATTACAAGCAGGAATCTGAATTAATCTATAGACATTCCATAACATAGATGGATAGCTTCGTAACGTGACAGAATTTTAATCCCCTGGTGGTATTCAAACCAACAGCGGAGAAAGGGGAAAGTAGTTTTGAAGTCAATGAACTTAACCACTTGGTACTGGCATCAAGAGCGCTAAAAGATCAGAAAATTGGAACAAACCTCGTCTTATCCAGTCACCATTATGTATATTGATGACTGTCCCAACTAGGTCACTGCTGCGATGTCTCTGGTTCCATAAATAATCCATCGCCTTATGTGCTTTCTCCTGTAAGTACACAATACTGCACATTTGTAACGTCCTTTTTCACTGGTTAATCGTGATGTTTATTTAATTTTTATACACAGTCGCTTTCAAGTTACGAAGATATTTCTTCATTTTTTTTTCAGTTTTGCTGTTCATTGACTGTATATATGGCTGCATATAAACAGTTGATGGCTCAGGTTACATATACAAACAAGCAATTATCATAGTATTGCAAGCAATCCATAAGTCCCCTACCGGTAAGAGCCAAAGCAATATTCTGAAGGGCCATTCACCTATGTTTCTATTTTAAGTTGTTATTTTGTTGAAAAAGTTCTTTAAAAGTGATCACAGTGAACAGTTTTTATGTACAGACAGACAGACGGACTGAAGGACACTCTAAAGTTATTTTTTAAACATCCCTGTTATCAAAATATAACATTTTTAAAAACAAAAATTTAAAAAAAAGAGGAGATAACGATGTCATACATGATGTGAGTGTAACAAAGAACAATTAGTAATGAAGGTATGAATATTGAATGTTTATTTTGAATTTGAAGTAAATGAAGGTTAAAAGAACGAATAGGAAAAATTAAAAGTTTAAGGAGGAGATAATTCTAGAAATATGGATGCTAGATTTATAAACCTTGTCATATTATTATGATGTGGGAGTTTGAAGAAAATCCTATCATGATTGTAGAAGTTGGAGTAAAAATTACCAATTTCTCAAAAAAAAGTTCAAAAGGGGCATAATTCTGGAAATAGTCTTGCTAGAGTATTGAACACTCACAAATGTTGAGTGATAATAAGAAACATTTATATGAAGTAGATACGTTCAGAAAAAAAGAAGTTATTAAAAAAAAACAATGTTTTTTTCATGAAAATTTTAAGTTCAAGGGAGGTAATTCTGATAAATTTTGTGCTAGAGTTGTAAACTTTGTCACATATGATGTGGTTGATGACTAGCAACTTATATTTAAAGTTTGAAGAAAATACCTTAAGAAATAAAGAACTTATAGTGAAAAAACTTAAAAACTAGAATCAGAAATCTTGATATTCAGTCTATTTGTTGCCATAGCAACCAGAATTTTCAATACAGGAAGATAAGAAAAGAATGTGCATAATTTCCATACTGCCATCTACCCATATGTCAATTTTATAAAAATATTTTCAGTACTTTTTGCGTTATCGCTGGATCCAGGTTATGTGTAAAATTTGCCATATTTTCAGTCTATTTGTTGCCATAGCAACCAGAATTTTCAGCATAGGAAAAAAAAGAAAAAGATGTGCATACTCTCCATACTACCATCTATCCATGTATCAAGTTTCATAAAAATATTTTCAGTACTTTTTGTGGTATCGCGGGATCCAGGTTATGTGTAAAATTTGCCATATATTTAGTCTATTTGTTGCCATAGCAACCAGAATTTTCAACATAGGAAGAAAAGAAAAAGACGTGCATAATCTCCATACTGCCATCTATCCATATATCAAGTTTCATCAAAATATTTTCAGTACTTTTTGCGTTATCGCGGGATCCAGTTTTGTGGACGGACGGACTGACGGACGGACAGACGGACTTTCTCACAGGACAGTAATTATGTGGCTACTCTATTGTTCTCTCTATTGTTCTTTTAGCCACGCAAAAGAAAAATAGCCACATAAAAGCATTACGGAATGAATGACATCAAAGAGAACCTATTGTCCCTCTAGCCACATAATTACTCTCCTGTGAGTGCGGACGGACGGACAGACGGACGGAGGGTAAACCTAAAGTCCCCTCCGGTAAACCGGTAGGGGACTTATTACTGTTTATAGAGAGGCATATAACCTGCCAAAACCTTACCTTTAAAACTTATAATATAATAATATACCCGTGTGTTTTTGTTATTTTGTTTATAAAAAAACCTCAATAATAATTCATTTCTCTGCCTCCTGATTCATTTTAATTTTCATTAAAATTTTGGAAATGTATTTAAAAGTAACCTATTGTGAGGTGAACAAATAACGCAAATTACATATTGCAATTGGCACTTACATTCCAAGAAAATCAACAAAAAGTGGTCAACATATGCAAAAAAAAAAAAAGCCCTTAATGCGGTAGTAACACTAATGCAGTAGCAATATGGTGATAAAATACTGCAATAGCAGTCTTAAACCTCATATAACATGTAAAATATCACATGGATTTTAAATGTTTTACCTTTCTTAAAATTTTAGTACATTTTTCTCAATATTGATTTTCTTGAAATATTTTGGCACATCTAAAGGCGGCAGCTTTAACTGTAGTACAAGCTAATCATCCGGATCTTTTTTCTATATTTCATAAATCTATACATAATTAAAGAAAAACAACTATGTCATCTCAGAATTTCTTTATGAGGCACTTTTAATATAACACCTGCTGGTGGCCATGCAACCAGAGCAGACTAACAACACCCTGCACAACCATGCCACCCGATAAGATTTATATTATCAAACAGGTTACTGACCTCATATACAGGATCTCCTGTTAGACGACTGAGAGCAGCAAATTCTAGAATCATCGTTCCTGCACACGCTGTACAGGTGTCACGATAGTTGGCACTCACATCTCTACTAATACCATGCTTCAAATTGATCTGTTAATATATGAACATATAAAACGTTAGTGCAATAAATGACATAACTATGCCAGGAGTGTGCAGACTACAGCCAGGTTCATTTTATCTCACTGTGGGCAGATTAATTATTTATATATAGATCAACTGTAAAGGAATTTAGTAACTTTTGAAAACCAATTTCAAGTGAACTTAATAGGTCTGATTGGGACCATGTCAGTTAAGGAAACATAATTTTGAACACAATAAAGCTCAAACCTACAATCCCCAGGTTTAGCGGCAGATGCATGAACAACTAGTTCCATGCCAATTAAAAGTAGAGCAAATTTCTTTACACAAATACAGTTGGCTAAAAATTAATTAAGCCAAAGTTTCAGATATACAGGCAGAGGAAGCCTTGTAGTTTCTATAAGTTTACATCAGCTATATGCAAGCACCTTCATAACAAGTGATGATTAATGGGGATATTTTTGAAAAGATTCTTTGGCAAGGAAATTTTAAAATGGCAGCATGGCCTAGTGAGAAACGCACAAGATTATTTATCTAAGGATTGCCAGAGCATGTGGGTTCAAACCCGTCAGGGGGTAAGCTGTTGTATCAGTTAGCAAGAAAATTTACAATCATTGCTTAGTACTGGCTTGTTTCATGAACAAAGTCATATGAGATTGTTTCAATAAGCTTCCATCTTCCAACACAATTGAACTAAAACAATTCTGTATAAACTAAACTTAGGAAATTTTAATCATAAATGGCCATAAAAAAGGGCGATATATACTCTAGGGTATGGTATCCCTGTGGTGGTATTAAAGGCAGGTAATAGCCGGGTACCAATGTCTTTCGCCATCACTAACAACTCGTCTTTATACCAGTCCATTGATAATTTCCTCTTCTTGAAATATGACGCAAGTACGTGACCTCCTAGCAATCCACTGAAATGTGACATAGACAAATTATATACATGCAGGGGTGACAAAATTAATTGTCAGTATTATCTAAGATTGTCCCCCAGCCATTCCGGACAAGTAAAAAATTTAAAGAATTTACTATATAAATGTCACATGGACAAGTTACAAAAATACATTAGATTAAAACGGACAAATAAGTAAAAATCAGATTTTGGCGGCCCGGTACATGTATTGATGTAAATTTATGTTTTTTTGTATAACAGGATAAAGAAACTGCATAATGTTTAACAGTACACTTGGTACCATGATCACAAAAATAATCTTAAAAAAAAAAAAAAAAAAAAAAAAAAAATTAGCATCACTGATAAACTGTAACAAACACAGTCAAAGATCTTTGCCCTAATGCAGTCCCTGACTATTACACATACTCAGGGAGAAAAAACAGGAGCCAGGGTAAACAGTCCATTTTCAAACATAATTAGAGCTGTCATTGATTAATAGCAAAGCATATTGATGATACATGTACATCAATATTGGGTGAAAAATATCAGTGAAACACCGATATATATCGTGTATAGCCATCGGTGTATAGTTCCTAATTTCTTGAACATATTACACTTTCATACCTGTTAAAATGACTTTAGTAAATTATTTGTTCTGTTCATACAAATATATTGTGCCTATAACAAATCTAATTGCATGATTTTTTTCGTAATCATTTTTTGTCATCGCTGCTATGAAATGTGTCTATTTTGTAACAATAGCATAGTGTTAGACATGCCCACCTGCTTTTGTATATGTTTGGGGTGAATTTTCATAATTTATAGACATTAAAATAATTTATCAAAATATTGATTTTTCCAATGTGTATCAATTATCAGTATCGTCTCTATCGATGACAGCTCTATACATGTACATAATGCACAAAATTATTCAAGACTACATGTATTATAAACTTTGGGCAAATTTCAAAAATACAGAAAAAAACAATGACTCACCCTAGAACTCTAATGTTGGTCTCAAACACTGACACTATTACATCAGTATCAAACTTTGTTGTATTGATGACTAGAGACACGGCCCTCTCAAACTCCGGTATATCTCCAAGAACCTACAATCAGTAAAAATAATTGTTTTTCATTCACTGCAAATTTGTGCTCAAGGGCGGGAGAAATTTTGCACTTTTTCACTATCTCTCTTTAACAGACTCGATTAAATCAAGTCTGTAATTATCAAGTAATTTTGCAATGCTTTATAACCATATTCTCACAAATTGTTAAAGATAAATTCAGACTATTAAGTATTCAAATTCAGATTTTTTAATGATTTATTCAAATTCAGATTTTTTAATGATTAATTCAGATATTTAATGATAAATTCAGATTTTAATGATTAATTCAGATTTTCAATGATTAATTCAGATTTTAAATGATTAATTCAGATTTTAAATGATTAATTAGGAGTAAAAAACTCATTCCCTTTGTTTCATGTCATTGACAGGTCTTATGAGTAAATTTGCACATTATGTAATAATAATATAGAAAAGTTTTTACTTACTGCAAGTGTATCTAAACTGTCAATCAAGGAGAGTGTGAAACTGAAAACAAAGAAATCAATATTGATAAAACATAAATAGAAAATCTTCTACGATTAAACACATGTCAAGGCTTTTAATTTATATCTGTCTGTTAACTAACAATGTCACTGTCTTATTATATAGTCAGAGAGATTTTCATGTTTGTACGCTACCGTATTATAATATAAGCTGGCCACGATGTAACTTACTTTCCTAAGCTGTCATCAACATCGCCTCTGCTCGGCTCCGAACCTCGGTACCGACCTTTACAACTTAATGGCATTAACTCGTCCGCAGGAAATGCATGTTTCTGAAATATAATAACCATGTTAAAAGCGGTTATTTTTCACCAGTTCAGGGTCAATAACTCCTTATTAAGAAAAAAAAATATAACACACCTTCCCTCGGCAATATCTATGTAATTGAGATAAGAAACTTCTCTTTAACCCACCTGACCACCAGCCCATAAAAATATGCAGACAAGGTTTTCTTTAAAGTAGCACATCAAAATGTATTATACAATAATTGTAACCTGGTTTCTGCTTTAACCTTAAAACATTATGTCATTTCCAGTTCTCAAACTGAGGCTGAATTTTCATTTTATTTCTTTATTATATATAAAATACAGAAGAGTTAATATCCCATGCCAAATAAGCTATATCCTATCAGTTCAGGGGCAATAACTCCTGAAATACATGTATATCCGATGTTCTTATAAAGCAAATTATAAAGTCATACTTTTGGATGCTCGGAAATGTTCAAAAGTTCTTCTTAAAAAAATCAAAACAATTACAAGTTGAAGCTCTGTACAGACATTTTTCAACATCTCACGGGCAATAACTCCTTATTATGTAAAAAGAAATTACACACGTTGCCATATTCAACATGTACAACAAATTCTTTTTTTTTTTTTAAACTCTTTTTCTCAATTGCAGCTCTGGAAAGATGTTTATATGTATTCTCAGTAAGTTTAGAACTTTTATTAACTATTACAAGCAAGGCACAAATGATCTGCAAAAAAAGTGATAACACACACTGTAGTTATGTACAGCAAGACTTCAGAATTTTTTTACTGATATCTTTACCATACAAAAAGCATGTTTTACAACATTAATTTCTTGAAATTTTCAAACTTGAAACCTTTGTAAACAATGCAGACCAAGATCAGCTGGCCACATCCATGTGAAATGACCATGGTCTGCATTTTTCTTTTAATTCAGGACATTCTGTTTGAAAATTTCCCTAAAAATGATGAATGGTTTAGTCCAGATTAAAAGATGGACAAGTCCATTTAGGATATTTTAGTGGGGTAAGCATTATAAACATACAAGTATTATACAAATACTAAAATCAATGAAGTAATGATTACAGCTATTGTGACAGTATAAATTTTATTAAATTATTCAAACCTGACAAACATTAATTGGTTTAACAACTCATCTAAAATTCATAAAGTACGAAAAACGATATTTTATCTGTTGTGAGATACATGTAGATCCAAGCCTATTTTACGCAAATGAAAATATTTCATCACTTTCCAGGTCAGGTTACAAATTGAAAAGATCATAAAATAAATGCAATTATGATGTACAGTAGTAAAAGAAATCTAAGTCACATGATAATTTAAGCTACAGACTTGAATCTGAAAAAAAAGAAGAAACAAGAGCTGTCAGTAGGACAGCAAAGCTCGACTATTCTTAGTGCTTGATAGTAAAAAAAATGCTTGATACAGTTACCTCCTCCTGTCTACAGGTTGGGGTCATGATGGTGAACAAGTGTGCAAAGTTTCAAAGCCATAAGTCAATGGACTTTGAAAATATTTGAACTATTACAAAAACTTTAACGTAAATTCTAAGTCAAAAAGGGTCATAATTTTGTCAAAATGCTTGATAGAGTTACCTCCTCCTGTCTACAGGTTGGGGTCATGATGGTGAACAAGTGTGCAAAATTTCAAAGCCATATGTCAATGGACTTTGAAAATATTTGAACTATTACAAAAACTTTAACGTAAATTCTAAGTCGAAAAAGGGGCATAATTCTGTCAAAATGCTTGATAGAGTTACCTCCTCCTGTCTACAGGTTGGGGTCATGATGGTGAACAAGTGTGCAAAGTTTCAAAGCCATATGTCAATGGACTTTGAAAATATTTGAACTATTACATAAACTTTAACGTAAATTCTAAGTCGAAAAAGGGGCATAATTCTGTCAAAATGCTTGATAGAGTTACCTCCTCCTGTCTACAGGTTGGGGTCATGATGGTGAACAAGTGTGCAAAGTTTCAAAGCCATATGTCAATGGACTTTGAAAATATTTGAACTATTACATAAACTTTAACGTAAATTCTAAGTCGAAAAAGGGGCATAATTCTGTCAAAATGCTTGATAGAGTTACCTCCTCCTGTCTACAGGTTGGGGTCATGATGGTGAACAAGTGTGCAAAGTTTCAAAGCCATATGTCAATGGACTTTGAAAATATTTGAACTATTACAAAAACTTTAACATAAGTGGTTACGCCGACGCAGACGCCAACGCCGACACTGACGCCGACACCGACGCTCGGGTGACTACAATAGCTCTACTTATTCTTATCGAATAGTCGAGCTAAAAATATATGGCCACATTTATTAATGATTTTTGTATAGCCATTATCCTAATTTGTCCTATCACATTACATTTATTCCTTTATTTATAATACTGCATGTTTGTAACGTCACTCTTCATTGGATAATCATGACGTTTATATAGTTTTATATACACGGTTGCTGTCGATTCATGAAGAAATCACGCTTTAATCCATTAAAAATGATGCTTGCTGTATTATAAATTCGTCATATATATTTCTGACAGATTATATGGCCTTATATAAACAGTTGTTGGCAATATAACAGTTTATATAGGGCCATATAACCTGTCAACAATCTTTATATTATAACTAATAATATAAACATCACCATTATCCATTGAAAATCAACGTTACAAACAAGCAGCATTATAACAGGTAAGATAAACTTGATACTGACCATGTAAGCACCATATGCATGTTTGAACATCTCTATCACTTTCAACCTGCAAAATAAAAATGATACATTGTACATAATATTATATTTTTTACCTATGATTATTTCTACCTATTTCTATTGAAGAGTTTCTATCAGAAACTTAAAAATTGAAACAATTTTTAGTCCAAACGCAACTAAATCTAACAGCATTTGTTTGTTTTTTTTTATTTTGTTGGGTTTTCTCACTTCTCACTTTCTCACCAATATAATAGAGCTCATATGGCAATTTTCTAGCTTTAATGGTGGAGGACGACCTCAGATGCCGAACAAATCTGTGCATAATATTTCAGGCACAAACAGGCGCCAGAGAAGAATGGTATGACGGTCTGACCACCGGCTCCTACAGCATTATCAAAGTGAAAAGTTGTACATATAATATGCCAACTGTATGATATTTAAATTAAAGGTATCTGCAGTATGGTACAGAAGCTGTATATGCTCTAAAAGGCAAAGAATGAACCAATTTAGTGTTTGAAATTACTTTTTTACAAACAGTTGATTTACTAGACTGAATAATAATAAATGAATTAATGACTAATAAATTAGTAAATATTATTTACTAATGAATCATGAGTAGATTGACAGATATTTCATCTGGCATGGAGGGGTGCCAGAGGAGTCGCCTGCTTCACAATGGCATGCTTAGGATGATGTTACTTTACCATTATGAATGAAGTTGTAATTTCATATATTGTTGTAAGAAAATAGTTAAGGGTGTAATGACATAAATTTCCATGGAAAATTGTTTCATTAAGGGAAAGTATAAAATATAATGGAATATGGTAGAATATGCGAGAAAAAAAGTCTGTCATGTTTGCGGTTTGGGTCGAAATTTAATATCCAATCTGAAGCGCAACATTTGACAGATATTATTAATGTCACATGGAGGGAAAATAATTTTCTTAATTCTACACATTCGCAAATATAGAAAATTATTCTGAAATGCATTAAGTATCATCATTATGATTGGGGTAAATATCTTCCAATGTTTTTATTCCATTTACCTTTTTCTTATAATTATGTTTCATTCAAAAATGTTTTCAACTAAAGTTAAACCCTACATTAAACACTGAAGTTCACTGTAATTATAGTTTAACAGGTAAAACGTATTAAGTATTATGTGAACCATTTACCACATTATAGGTCATGTAGTAAAACCGACTAATATGTACTGTACATTAAACTAATAGTGTCAAATTTGTAAAATTCATCTTATATATATGAATCAAATCTAGTCCACAAATAAAATGTAGTAGCTATGAATGACTTACTCATGTACGTTTTAAACAATCTAATGATCTGAAGAAAATTATATTCAGATTGGGCATGGGACAGTGAACTATGAATCAAAATACAGTGGTACATTTTGTATTATACAAAATTAATAGTAAATACATATTTGACTCAGATTCTAACACTTGCCACAGCATACCTCCACACTGCAGACCTCTCAATTGCCAAAATTTGGTAACAGTGAGTCCCCACTCAAAAATGTTTACAAAACATACTTCCTCTCAAAAATTAGAGAGGGGGTGTTAAACGGAAACAATATGTCGGGTATGTATGTGCAGCAAAAACTGCCTAGAATTTCCTTATTCAAAATTCTGAAATTTCTTCAAAAAAAATTGGTTTAACATTTTACATGTATATAATGTACATTGATAAAAATCTATGTTTTCGATGTACATTGGTATACTTATGTCTTTCAGATATTCTTTAATACATATATGTATCGTAGAAAAGCCAGTATATCATTAAAAATAGTTGTAAGATTTTAGATTAAACATGTACATCATTCACTCAGTACACTGCACAGATTATTGACAATATAACAACAGCTGTGAGGAAATCTTTCTTAGAACTGGTCTATTAAGCTGATGAAGATTGACATAAATAATTTCCACTCGCCAAACCAACAAATTATAACTTTAAAGCAGCATGCCTCCAGATTCATAATGATTTTCATGAAAAGTCTAAAAATGTATTTAATAATAAAAAGTAAAATATTGTTAAGTGCACAGACTAATTAATTTAATTTGCACATAATGCAAATGGCGCTTGCAATCTATGTACATGTACATGTATAATTACCAAAAATATGCGAAAATAGCTGACATATTAATATATACTTTAAAATCAGTCATTGAAATTATATAAACATGTAAATTATTGCTTGAATCTTGAATCTTTTTACTTTTCTCAAAATCTTAGTACCATTTTCAAGTTTGATTTTTCTTAAAATATTTTGGCTTACCTGGAGGCATGCAGCTTTAATTGGAAACCAAGCAAATACATGTACGTGCGACTTAGATTAATTAAATGCCATCTGTTAAGCTGTAGCATATTGTGAAAATGGAAAATCATTTTAAAAATAAATAAAGCATTAAACCATATCACTTTGTGACATTTCTTTTTCCTAATTTGTTTTGACACATGCCTTATAAGAAGGTGACAGGTCCTATGATCATTAACACATATCAAAAACTATAACAGTCATATACAGGTTGTTTTCAACTTTTAAAATTTCTAGAATTTCCCAAAGATACATATAATCAGTTCAATAAAAACAAACGCTTTTCTTAAGCTTTCGACGTTTAGTCTTCTTCAGAAAAATTGACGTTTATAAAATAACAAATGATGCAACGTCCGTTTAACTATACGCTAAACAGAAAATGACGTTAACGTTTTGTTTTTTTTCTCCAAAAATACATAATAATTTTGTCAAAATCACGCCTAAGGCCTTATGCTATCTGGAAAACACCCTGGTCTTTAAGGCTAGAAAATGAAGTTATTCCGTAAGACGATATTGCTTCTTTCTTATCTTTTTGGGCTACCAAACTTTAAGTAGCATGCCATTAGATTCATGCTTATTTTCAATGAAAAAATTTAAAAATGAATTTGAAGATAAAACATTGTCAAGTGAACAAAGAATTTAGACAATAGTACATGTAATCTGCACATTGCATTCAGCAATTAAAGTCTACGAAAATAACCAAATATAGATCAGAAATGCAAAAATAGTTAAAGTCACACAGTTAAAGTAGAAATATGGTGATAAATACAGCAAAATCAGTCATTAATTGCATATCACATGTAAATTATTTCTTGAATTGTGAACATTTTAAAATATCTTAAAATCTTTTTTCTCAAAGATGATTTTTATGAGGCATGCTGATGCAGATTATTTTTTCCTGCACATAAGTATATAGTTATAGTGAAATAGTATTTTGTAAGCAAGTCAATACATTTATAGACACCTTGAAAACTAACTTATTTTAAGTGGTAAAAAAAGTTACCTTTCTACTAGTACATGTACATTGTTAGGTGTCACTGTTACATGATACAGCCGGGCCAAATGGCATAGTATATTTATGACGCCTAACCTGCTAAGTTTCTTAACTTGTCACAGGGCATTTCACCTTCTAAAGCACTGGGCCATTTATGTGTTATGTGCCGATTCCATCTACCCCCCCCCCCCCCCCCCCGACAATTCTATAAAATCATACAATGCAGCAGTTTCCTGAATATAATTCAATTAATGTGGAGTTTTTTTCTTCCCCTTTCATGCTTTTGTAAAAACACTTGTTATTTTCCTAAAAATTTTACTTATTTAAGGGAAGGACACTTCCCCTAAACTACATGTTTTAAAAAAGCTCTTTGTCCAGTTTCCACTTTAAAAACTGTTCATTATCAATTTTGGGAATATCAAGATGAAAATAAATCAAGATGAAAATAAGTCAACCAACAGTGTAGAGCCTGCAGTCTGCTTATTCATGACTAGCCCATGGCTAGTAGAATTTGTGTCAGGCCTGTGAAATTTTCAACTAGCTGAGCACTGTGAAATTTTCAACTAGTAGCACGACTGGCCTGTGAAATATAGGTGGAACAACTAATTTATCCAATCTGAGTATCATAAGTCAACATCTACTTATTTCTTTTATGTAGATCTGATGACCACCATTTATGTTTTGCCTTCTGTATAATTCAGATTTCCCGAGACAGCTAATTTTAGCCATGCAATCAAATCAATTTTTACATAGGCATTAGAAGAAATATATAAAAATACTGTTATCCGTTGAAGTTATCCTGAATTCAAGGAAGTCAACAACAAAGAAACTATATATAACTTTAATTTGACCTTGTAAAACCATAACTGGGCTAGTATATATTTGTCAACAATAATCCCCAGTGTTTGGTCATTTTCTGGTTGTAAATTATTTGACTGAGCCTGGTCAGGCTGGCCTGACTCTTATACTAATAGTAAATGTTGATCACTTTTGATTTCAGTAGCTCTCAGTCTTTACACCAATAGTGCAGTGTATTGTTACTCTCGGAGCAATGGAGAACACTGTGATTGGGTTATGATAGCCAGCAGTCAGGCATATTGGCTGATACAACTTTCCACTTAAAACACCACAAACACCACAGTGTATGATGATTGCTGAGGACCTAATATATTTTGGTGAAGTTAACATTTCATTGTCCTTTCTGACAAAGCAAATAATTTGCCAATAATCCCTAGTGGTGAGCCAAAGCCCTTGTAAGTTTGTTTTTTTCCAAATATAATTAATATTTGTATTAAAATAGATTGTACATGTAAGTAATCAAATTGGCAAGTTAAATACAAGGCAAAGTATACAGCACAGCTTCAACTTTTTTTCCAAAGTCTGCCCATCCCTGTGATAAGCGCCATTTTACTACAAATGGTTTAACACTGCTAGGACACCTCAATAGCTGCTACTTTTTGCTCTACCGACTAGAAAAACAAGCACAGCAGGACTTTGTCACCACAGAAGGCAAGACAACATTAGTCATTACAGGTGACTGATAATTTGTCTTAATATATATAAAGATTATTAAATAAAATAATATTTATGAAATAACAAACTCCATATTTTCAATATTCAATGCCCAATACCCACATTATAGTCCATAAAATATATAATATTTTGAAAAAAGTTATCCTTTCTTTCCAGAAATATTGTTACAGACACCCTAAGGTACTTTAAAAAAGCAAATATCACCTTGTATGTTTAATTTTATTTATTGATGTAGAACTGATTACACATTTGGCCCATTTACTGTGCAGCATGCATTATAACTGACAGAGGAATATTGTGTTGGACAAACATTTATTTTTTCAATAGTGCTTTCAATGCTTGCTGTGCAAATCATCAAATGAATATTTTAATCAACAATAATTAACTAATAAACAAATGACCTAACGCCATGTACGTGACTCCCGTATGATTAGAACTTTTCACATTTGATTGTTCCTAAATTATATATTTTATATTTTCTTATCAGAATGAAAGGGTCAATTAACAGAACCTGTCAAATTTACTGATGTAATATGGAACGACTTCCTACCCAACCTACCTACCTAATTTTCATTAATGTCAAACAACTTGCGGGGATGTAGAAACAGTCCCTAGCTTTTACTGAATTTACCCCTTGGTTCTTTTACATGGCCAGCGCACAGCACTGATACATGCAAGGATTACCTGAATTTCTTACCAGTACACCTCCAGGTAGGTGCAGTGTTCAATCTAGAACAAATTCCCAGGGGGTCCTTCGGGCCCATAAACTTTTCAAAAGGGGGTCATTTGAGAAAAAAGGGGGCCCGCACTTAAAAGAACATCAAATTAAAATAAGGTATTACAAGTATCTTTTAAGTTACTTGTTCACGTACCATATATAGACTAAAAACGGTTGCAAAATTCCAAAACAATCAACTCACTAAAAAATTGACATTATTTTGACCATTTTTGAGAGTTCTGTTAGCGTTGATACAGGCTCAATTTTAAGAACTGATTGGTAAAGAAACGATGACATAATGTTCAAAGAAACATATGAATCTTATTTTAATGTTACCATGGATATTTAATAATAATGTTCAGTTTTTTAATCAGCGCCCGATATATAAAAGAAAATCATATTTCCCAATTAGCTTTGTTGATGAAGACTATAAACTTACAATAGTCGCTAAAAACATTTACCCTTCTCAATATATCCAAACGAAAAACAAAGTGTCAACAGGTGCTAAGACAATGTATATTGACATACCGGTACCTTTGATCTTTTGTCAGGGCAGCAGTTCTTACGTCACGTGTATTGATTAATGATATGCGCCGACCAGCCAAAGACCAATCAAAGTTTGTTTACTCAATTGTCAGACACCCCTAGCCAATCGTGTTTGATTAGCTCCATCTTTAAGACTTTTTTAATTGGATGAAGGCATGTTCGTTATAATTTATGCACACTTCTCTATAATTATCTCGCACTTTTCACAAATATATAGTTTTTTTCCTCCGGAAAGTTATGACATATTTATTTGTTTGACCGTGAAAAAACTATTACTACACGCACGTATTGGATTATCTGTGACGATTTGTTTTGTTTATAAAAACTGTGACTCAAAAGTAAGTAATAGTTACGGTACGAAGAAAAAGTCTACATAGTATTTACAGACCCCGGCCGAGAGAGTGTAGCGATCAAGGTTTTAAAAGGGTTACCGAGTGCGGTAACTATCTTACCAACATGCTCTTGTTTTTCTATACAAACTTCAGTTTTGAATTCAGTATTTATTAATATTATTCACAAGAAACTTTTTTATGTACTTAATCAGGTTAAAGAAAGCATTCTAATGTCATTTAGGGCATTTTCAATGAGTGTGCCCATCGGGCCCACAGTTGAATTTGTTTTGCGCCGGCGGTCTTTTCAGGGGGTCAATGGCGCAATGGCGCGCTCTAGATTGAACACTGAGGTGGGAAAAACAGAAAGTGTCTCTGAAAAGAGGCAAGGGTGTTACCAAGGTTCGAACCCAGGACCTCAACAGTGTAAATCAGTGGTCTATCAGACAGAGCTATCGCGCCACCTTTAATTTTAATTAATTAACTTTTTTTTTTTTAATGCTTTTATTTAAGGTCGCCGCCGGAAAGCCCATATAGGCGATCTTTCACTCAAGTCGGGCCATCCTAAAGCGTCCCGCCGAGATTTTTCGTCGATTTTTTCCAGCTTGATAGGTGTAGAACCACCGACCTTCCGTAAGCCAGATTGCTTCTTCACATGAAAGATTTCGACCCCAGTGAGGATCAAACCTACAGCGGTGAGGGACCTGTTAGTCAAAATATATTGACGTACCAAAGCTTAATTCTGAGATATTTTCGTTCCGGGCAGAATCTCATAGATGCGAGATATTGCCCAGACACGAAAATAGCACAATATCTCGTCTCGGAGTACAATAAGTTGGACTAGGGACCTGTGATCTGAAATCAGCGACCTTAACCACTCGGCCACGGAACCTTAATTAATTAACGATCTTTGAATAATAATTATATATTACCTAAGACTGCGTTTGGTAGATACGTCCATTCCATAACTTGGGTGTTCTTCCAAAACAACCAATATCAAAACAGTAAGCGCTAAATAAAGTGTTAATTTATTCGAAGACATTTTCATATTTGATAAATTTTTGTTTGTATAATAAAAACACACTTTTTGTCAATGAACAAAATTAAAATAAGTGTTTCAAAAATGTTAAAATTCTCATGTAAAACATTATTTTCGAATTCAGGAAATGTTTTTCTGCCATGTTGTCAAATAAGGTATATCCTAATATATATCCGAATATATGCCGTTTTTACTGTCGTCATCCGTAAATTTAAGGTACACATCCATCATAGGTTCGAAATCATATTGCATTCGTTTAGTCACGTTCTTCAAACTAGATATGGTTGATAGTCAGTAGTAATACTTATTTCTCATCCTATATTTCTAATATTTATGACGATGCAAATATAATGTTGTATGGACTTTTTTGTGTGTAGAGTACACTTATATCATTATATGCACATGTATGTAAATTTTGAAATTGTACACTGTGTGTACATTTAAACAAAGAAACATTATTAAACTAAACCTAGTATATATAATGTTTAATTTCAAATATCATTTATTGATATACTCTTTACATTATTTTTCATTGATTTAATTGATTTAAACGTAAATCAATCTTCCACCGTTACATGTATGTCCTGAAAAAGTAATTTTCACAATAATTACCTCTGTCAGAGACATAGATAACATCTATTATTTGTATCTATGTCTCTGCCTCTGTGCAATTTTCACAGAGTTATAGCCAAAGAGATGAATTTTGAGCCAAAATGAAGATCACTGAATGGCAATGAAATATATGAAAAAAAAGAATAAAGATCAAAAAGGCAAAGGCAACGTTCACAAGACGCGGCCCCCAACACACTTAAGTAGGGCACCCAAAAGGCACCAAACAAAAAACCTGGAGTGGACATAGGGGCGAAAGAATTGGGACATGTAATGTGAAATAATATAAACTAAAACGGGCCCATAAGGGAATTAAAGAGATAAGGGCTGTGGTCCAGTATGAAATAGCATCCTGCTCTACTATAACCTAAAAGTTGCTCTACTATAACCTAAAAGTTATAGTTTAGTAGTTACAGCAGCAATGTTTGCCTTGGTAACCGAAGTTGTAGGGCTACCTGAACGGTAGTCATCTTGGACAGACAAGTTACTAGTTTTCAAAGCTTTTCACCCACCTAATGGTTACGCCCTTTGAAAGACATGAGGTCCATATATACCACATGATTCAAATTCATTAAATATCTGCATTACAGCTATATAAAAAATAACAAGAACAAAGATCAACAAGGCATAGGCAACGTTCACAGGACGCCGCCCCCGGACACACCCAAGCAGGACACCCAGAAGCCGAATGCAACATTTAATGTAGCTTCGAATTTCATTTTACGTCTATTGTTCAATATCGTCAGTAAATTAGTCTATGCATATGCCAGTTATGACTGCATATATTTCAAATTGAATAGCAAGAAATAATAGTTACCAATTCACGTGCAATGAAGTTTCAAAATACTATGAAGATAAAACAACGGAAACCTACAAGTGACATAAATTATTGAAAGATCCTCATATATTAAAACCATTCAAGAGATGATATTAAATGCTTTATGTTTAAAACTTTACATAATTATGCTTCCGTATTGTATTTAAATAAAATAGTTGAAAAGTAAAACACTATAGCTAAATATTATAACATCATCCTCACATTAAAGGAGATAGAAATTTCTAATTTGCAAGTACACGGGGGTGGTTGGAACTTCATGAGAATCTCAAAATTGAGCATCGGTAAAAAATATATGAATTTCCGCTGCTCAATATGTCCAGTATAACTCGGTATGTGAAGGAGAAAATAGGTCAATCACAGGGTAAGCTTTCAACATTTATATAACATTCAAATCCTTTTTTAAGAAAATCGAAATGTGATTCTGCCCTGCTGGCTTTTCTCTATACATATTTTTACCCATTATGTTTGGTTTTTTATGCAGTCTTCATTGAGATATATGGAGGGCGTTCGTTGCCAAAATTCCAGACATGTAAAGTGTTCCTTTTAAAAATCACTTTTGAAAATGCGAACTTGTATGCCTACCATTTTTTATTGTACCCGTGCATAGAACATAACTAATATGCCTCTTAATTCATTCTTTTAATTGAAGGTTCCCGCCTTTATATAACAAATTTACATATAGATCGTTACAACTGACCTTTAAACATGAAAAACAGCAATAAATTTACAAGTTCGTATCTTCCATTGTATATAATACATAAGCATGTTAGCACAATTATCATGCTTATAGATATCCAACCGTACCTGAAAAACGAAAGCCCTCCATAGAGATATTCTTTCCGTCGTGGGTTCGGGTGTGCCAAAAATATGCAATGCGTATGTAGAAAATGTTGCTAAACGGACTCCAAATACAGTTTTTACAAAATATGAATTTAATATAAATGTTCAAAATGTTGAAAACTTACCCTGTGATTGGCTTATTTTCCGATGCTCAATTTTGAGATTCATATGGGGTTCCTGACCTAGAGCTAGTAATCTACTGAAATTGTCTGCATGGTCCCGAGTATATACAGACAATCATTATGTCGGCAAATTGCCTCAAGGCATGCAGTGTTTTTACTGACATAAAGGTTAGGGCTTCAATTAAAAAGGATTTAGTGACTTTCATTTATCTTAAGCCAGTTTTTGCTGATATTTTACTCTTAACTGCCCTTTTTGATACAAAACAATCCACATACATGGGCGTCTGGTAAGGGATTCCACTGGTAGTGGATCCATGCCTGAATGTATTATGAAGAGTTTAGGTTTGTTGTGGTATAAAAGCCACAAGTACCACGTAATAATAAGTAAAATGTATAAAAAGCAGTGCCGAATTCAGGCCCGCGTTTCAGGGCTGCAGCTCGGCTCCAACGAACGTTTACGGGCTGGGCTGAAATATATTTGTGTCAGTTTCATACATTATTGGTCGCAGTTTACGTACTCCCTTATCAAAGCACTTAATGATGTCGTCCGATTGTTAATCTCCTGCGTGGGGGCTTGGCAGCATAAGATCTTTTATCTATCATGCTTAAACGACATGAACGTTGAAACGGCATATCCAATTGGTTTATTACTTTCCAAACGTCTCATGAAAATATAGTCACAAATAATAGCGAACATGTGTGTTATACAATACAATATGTTTACTATCTTTGTTTTTTCATTTTTCTCCACGAATACAGTGTAATTCAGAAATTGCAAATTGTGATGTGAAAATTTTAAAAAAGGTGGGGAGTTTTGTAAAGAAAATTTGAAGGAATTGCATTTGAATTAGTAGTTTTACTTACATTTTCATTAAGATGAAATGATTAGTCACTTATTTTTTTAATATTCTAATGGCTGTAATGTTATTATGCCTTGAATTAAATTTAAAATGTAATGAACTCTTAAATATCTAAAATGGATTCATTGATGGAAAACGTCATTATTAGTTTAATATTATCTTATTGCCCTTTGAGTACAATTTAGGAACATTATTTTAACATAACAACACTTTTAACAAAGGGCAAATGGTTGAACAACAAGTTCTAGTAACATTAACAACGGTTCTTCCCTTAAGCATCATAAGATATAGAAACGAAAACATGTTTAAACAAAATACGCATGGGCAATAAAAAAGATTAAGACGGATACAAATATATAAAGTAGCAAAAAGAGATCGACATTAACTTAAAAAGAAGTATTGAACATTTAATACCAATCCTTATTAATACGTGTTAGTAATATTTTTTGTATGTAAGGCAGTTTTTCAAATAACACTACAGCTTTGTTAAATCGACTAACTATTGTAACAACATTGGCAGGGCGTTATAATACTGATAATGAGCATGATAATATGCAAAAACTTACGTTAGTGAGTTAACATAAGGGATGTTTCCCATATATAAGGACAGAAACCACTCTTGGTGAGGAGCTAGCTTTTCAACGACAGGGTTTGTGTGCATATAAACGAATGTTACACTATTAACAGAGTCTTTCAAAGAATTGAAATACCGACTATGAATAGCATGATATATTGTGTTTTAATTTTTATATTGTGATATAGGAGGAGATAATCTGGAAACAATGTAGTTCACTAAGTTAATATTATGCATAACTGAAGGTTTTTATGTTTTCTATGTGCTGTATTTGAAGATTTGATTTGGAAGTTAAGTGCAGAACTTTACTTAATTGAACTTCTCAGTACTTACTGTAGTCTCAACTGACTGTTTGGTTCCGTGTCGGTGGTTTGGTGTTGCCAGAGTTAATTGGGATTGGGGACCCCCGTGAGTGGGTGCATGGGGAGGGACAGGGGCTGCGTTCATTTAATGCTTTCCTGGTTGATATTTGTTCTAATACAATTATTTTCAAATATTTTGAATGATACAATGTTGTTAGATTTGTTTAAACATCATATATACAGAACGCTTATTTTAATTTCCTCTAGGCGGTCGGTCTATTTACCCCAATACACCCAAGACTACCCCAAGACACCCTCAATCGCAACTACTCGGCCCTTTCCGTCAGTCAGTTATTATAGATAATAACCGAGACAGTTCCGAATGCCCTAGACTACCCCCAAGACTACGCCAAGACACCCAAAGACTACGTAAAAAAACCAAGACCACCCCAAGACACTTTTACTGACATATATGACGTCTTAATTTTACATTTTTTACGGAAGGTAACTATGCGATTTCACATTTACACATTATATCTCTCTTCATTTATTTCCCTGTACTTTTTTAATGTAAGATTATAAATATATTCTTTTTTGTGCAAAATAGTTTACAGCAATGAAATAATGCCAATGTTGCTGGATTTTGGTGTAGTGCAAGTTTAATTCTGCGGCCTGTCATTTTATGAGTGACACATTTTTCATGCCTGATTATTAAATTGATCATATTCTGTTTCATAATATTGATTTTTTTTATTTCATCTGTTCCACATTTCATTAGATTTATAGATTAACATGCATAGTCTTGTTGTTTTAGTAAAGTCAATTTCAATCAAAATATTTTTTTTATATTAAAGAGTTTATCAATAAATATTTTAGTGATGACAGTTCCAAGTCAATACAGTACATATTAACAACATTTGATTTGACTGTAATTAACAAGAGGACACGTAAATAATCATTTGTGGTATATAATAACACTTTCCCAATTTACACAATATATAAGTTTGGGGGTATAATCCTGGCCACTCCTGGGACTTAAAATGTGTACCAGTGTGTCTTGGGGTGTCTTGGGGTAAATAGACCGATCCGGCCGTAGGTGATGGATGGATGCAAATTTCGACCTTTAGCTCTGAAAGATAAAATAATTTTCAATTAGTACAGACCTTTTAGATATTTATCCTCTCTTCTTATGAAATTCATAAATAATAAGTGAGCTTCAGATAATCGCGGACAAAATATAATTTAGATTTTTAGTCGACATAGACTATAATAACATTTTTGCGTATTCGTATAGGGTTTAGTCAGCTTCCATTTCCTGCGCACCGGCAATATTTATTTCTCTAAAATTTAATATAATTTCGCCGAAATGAGTAATAGCTGGTTATGTACGAGAACAAAAGTCCTGCAGATTTGTCAGATACGGAATTTAACAAATACCTCTTGGTTCCAGAATCGTAGCAATGTAATTATTCACATCGTAAATTATTCAATGCGTCTTATGTAACATGTTTTCGTGTGTGATGAAAAATTTGAAGGTCACAATGAATGTCTGTTGTTGTAATGTGAGAGAAAGTTAGACCAGCCATGTCCTAATTTCATGCATAATTTGTCGATTTAATATGAATTTTAGCTGTTTAAAATGCTGTCAAAGAGCTCGTTATTTATTGTAATGACCAAACACTTTTCCCATGGGAAATGAAACCTTCTCCCATGGGAAATCATGGAGGGACCAAAATTTTTTTTAAGCCATGAATCTTCATGGTCTTGTAGATTATCAGATGATTTAAGATTAACTGGAATGCTTTGGCTTTCAGCCATAAGATTTATTTTGTGGTCATGTGTTGTAGATGACCCCTTTACCTAGTCCAATAGATTAGACGTTACAGGCTTGTTATAGTTTTATGTTGGTCAAGCCTGACTTCTAATAGTTATTGCTCAAAAACGCGTAGCATTTTGAAAATTTAAAAAAATGTCTGTTGACTTGCCTTTCAAGCTTTATTCAAAAGCTTATCTTCTGTTCTTTCAAATGCATGGTCTATCATTAACAAAAACTTTCGAACAATGTACTTATCAATTAAAAATAAAATATACATATCAGTCTATTTCGCTCATCGGCCATACTGGTTAAGTAAAGCGTTTTACAGATTGATTCCAATTTTTTGAACGGAAAAATATATACGAACACACTGACGGTGCATGGGCAATTATTTCGTTGAAAAAATATTCCGTTAGAAACTTCTGGACTCATTTAAACGCTTGCATTTGAATTAGCCAATCAGATTTCGCGCACTGTATGGCGGCCATTTGTATATTGGCTGTACAAGGAATTTAATTAAATGAGAGGATTTAATCATGACTTTTCGGATGTGACAGTTCAATCATTTTGTTAAAAGGTATTTTTTTTTTAGTTTTGATCATAAATATGTCAAAATTAATGTGAATACACGCTGTTTTAATTGTTTAAATTCATTAGATCTAAATCGATGTCTAATGTCAATTTTTTTGCTACACGATTTTGCAAAGATCTGTTAAGACCTAACGTAATATGGAAAATGAAAAATGTAAAATATCAGATTAATGAATGATAAATATGAAATAGGTTACGTATAGGTCTTATAATTAGGACTACCCTTTACCCAGCAAACACAAGACGTCATACTGACATCAGATTTAAGTCAGGTTCTGACATCGGATGACGGTCGGAAAAACGGTTGGATTTGAAAGTTTTTTTGACGTAATAATCTGACGTCAGGTAGACATCAGAATCTAACCATTATTTAACCTTTTTCTGACCAAAATCTGACCTTTATCTAACCATTTACCGACCTCAATCTGACCATTTTCCGACCTCAATCTGACCATTTTCCGACCTAAATCTAACCATTTTCTGACCTCAATCTGACCATTTTCCGACCTAAATATTAACCCTTTCTGCCCTAAATCTGATCATTTTCTGACCTTCATTTTATCATTCCCCTAATCCTTTTTGTTTCACCACGTCATAAATATTTTCTGGCTAATCCTGATTTGATCTAATTTAATGTACCTCATTCTATTAAGTAACTTTCTCTCAAATGAAATGTATAACAGAAAACTAAAAGCAAAAATATGTTTCATGCTTTTTAGCTCGACTATTCGATAAGAATAAGTAGAGCTAGCCTATTGCAGTCACCCGAGCGTCGGCGTCGGCGTATCCACTTATGTTAAAGTTTTTGTAATAGTTCAAATATTTTCAAAGTCCATTGACATATGGCTTTGAAACTTTGCACACTTGTTCACCATCATGACCCCAACCTGTAGACAGGAGGAGGTAACTCTATCAAGCATTTTGACAGAATTATGCCCCTTTTTCGACTTAGAATTTACGTTAAAGTTTTTGTAATAGTTCAAATATTTTCAAAGTCCATTGACATATGGTTTTGAAACTTTGCACACTTGTTCACCATCATGACCCCAACCTGTAGACAGGAGGAGGTAACTCTATCAAGCATTTTGACAGAATTATGCCCCTTTTTTGACTTAGAATTTATGTTAAAGTTTTTGTAAAAGTTCAAATATTTTCAAAGTCCATTGACATATGGCTTTGAAACTTTGCACACTTGTTCACCATCATGACCCCAACCTGTAGACAGGAGGAGGTAACTCTATCAAGCATTTTGACAGAATTATGCCCCTTTTTCGACTTAGAATTTTCGTTAAAGTTTTTGTAATAGTTCAAATATTTTCAAAGTCCATTGACATATGGCTTTGAAACTTTGCACACTTGTTCACCATCATGACCCCAACCTGTAAACAGGAGGAGGAAACTGTATCAAGCATTTTTTTTACTATCAAGCACTAAGAATAGTTGAGCGTTGCTGTCCTACTGACAGCTCTTGTTTAATTTAAGATAAAAGTTGCAATTTTAAGCTGATAAGTGTAACTTCCGAATTCCGGAACTTCTGAAATCCGGAAACTTCTAAAAACCGAACAATTTTTTCGGTCCCGATTTTTTCCCTTCTATTTTCTTTTTATATAATACTTCTGAATTCCGGAACTTCTAATTTCTGAATTCCGGACAATATTTTCATAAAATTAGAGTCAAATCAATGCAATTTTACCTCCAAAAACCGGAAATATCCAAAGGTGTGAAATACATTGTAAACCCTGCAGGAAGATTTAATCTCCCTATCAATTGTTTACTAGTTAGCGGTGATCGTGTAATTTGACACGCGTTAAAATCACAAACTGTGAAATGGTATGTTTGAAGTGATGCGGTTAATTGAAGTAATTAACGGCGGTCAGTTAATTTGAAGTGTTTATTAGCGGATTAAATGACAATTAATTGGACAATGTATGCATCAAAAGTCTTTAGGGATTTTATTGCATTTGATGTAATAGTTTATTAACTAGCATCGGACGATATGTAAGTTTATGCAATAAACAACATTTCTACAAACTGATAAAAATTCAAAAGCATTTGCAAGTAAGATAAAAATGTATTCTTTTCATTCACATCTTTATCTTGATAAAAAGACTATTATATATGATATTACAGTAAAGGCCACTTCTTCCTTGACATTTATTGATATTAAGTGGCTTAGTCTTGTCCGCATTATCATAAACCTCTGAATTCCGGAAACCTCTGAAATCCGAACTTTTTGACAAGTCCCATGGGTGTTCGGTTTTCGGAAGTTACACTGTACATACAATTTTAGTAAATTCTGCAAGGTTAAATAATTTTCATAAATTAAACAAAATAAAACATAAAATAAGTTAATTACAAAACAAAAAATATTACAAAAACAATGACATAAATGAAACTAAGAAAACATGTACAAATATTAAAGAACAAAACAATGTATGCACATTTCTATCAAAGTTTGCCTTATCAAATAAAACAATGAAAATATTATAATTTTAAGAAAAGTTAAAAGATTCTGATAATAATGTTTCAAGCAATTAATGACAGATTTTCAGTACTTTAACTATATTTCTACAGCATTTCTAAAACATTTAGTGCCATTTTGCATATTTTGACCTCCTTTGATAATTGTCAGTAATGTATAAATTGCTGCCTTTTAGTTACTTCACAAAGTTATACTTTTAGATATCCATGAGAATTAGCACGAATTTTGAGGTGTGATGCTTTAAGATATGACCGTCTTTCAGCACCCCTCGTCTGTCCAGAGGATATGTAGCGTTTGAAGCGCCCAATAGCGTGTGTGACATCATTTTCACTGAAAAAAAAAGAAATTTATGAAACATGTAAAAATAACAAGCAAAAATGTTTTCATGGTTATCTTAACTTAATGAACAATTTTGCCAACTTTTTATAAGAGAGCTTTAACAAAAATTAAAAGTAAACATAAATACTCAACATTTAAAAAGCCGCTTTTAAACTCCAGTTTAGTATGGATTAAAGTATGTAATAGAATTTACAAAAATCTTACTTTCATATATTTCTTTTTACATATTCACGTGTTTCTGTCCCTCCGACCTTTGAGAGCATGTCCAACACTTTAACTACCTGAAAAGAAAATTATATTCTAACTTATGTATATATTCTACGTTTGAAATATAACAGTTATGCAAGTCTAAAATATTTCATAGTTTTAAATTAAAGATTTAATGGCGAAATGTCTGGAACAAAAACGTCTTGCGTTATTTGGGACGGAACGTTTTGGGTTATTTGGGACCGAAACGTCTTGGTCCGAAATGCTCGAAATCGTACAAATTCATTCTCAATTCTCAGATTTTAACTGACAAAAACATCATAGTTAAAGAAAAATATGAAAACTAAGCATTCTCTTTGGTAGTACTGAAAGGCATATTATAAACTCTTCACAAGCAGAGTTAAAACATGTCAATTTAAAAAGATTTATTATTAGACATTATAGCGAATTTGTGTGACATTTTACTTCAGCTGTTCAAATAATGATAATTAAATTTAAGAGTGCTTGCAATCATGCAATTATTTATCAAATACAAAGTAGAAATAAATCTAAATAAATTGAACTGACCTTTTTGTTCAAGAAAACCTATAATATTCACTTATCAATGCATCCCGATTCCTGACCGACAGCCAAAACGTAACGCCTACGAATTTGAATTTCCATCCACGTGACTTTAGATTCGAATTAAAGGTTAATTATGTTTTCTTTCCCTTTTCTGTCACTATGATTAAATGTAAAAGCACTACCACAAATGATAATATTACAACGTTAAATGATTGGAACTTGTAAACAGATCTGTAGCTATAAATAGATTTCATAACAATAACACATGTAACTTGCGTATATACAGCGCCACCTTTATGTTTTATTAGGTTGCAGCGCCGCGATCATGGTCTGTATTTATATAAGAACACTTCATTTGTAATCCAAATAACATTTGAAAAAAAGTTTAAATGATTACAACAGCGAATATAGGATTATTTTTTGTTATTTTTTTTACCTACCGTCAGGACACCTACCATAACCTGACGTTAGTACGACGTCAAAAAGAAACGTCTATTAGACATCGGTATTTTAACGTCAGATAAACGTCGTATTTTGGTCGCCGACGTCGTGACCAAAATCTAACATTAATCCGACGTTATTTTAACGTCATGTGTTTGCTGGGTAGGTTTTTTAGGTCAAAGGTTAAGTGAGCAGTGGCCTTGACCATTTATATCTTTAATTAATAGAGAAGGCTTTTGCTTATATGTAACTTCTAAAAGTTGGTGTTAATGTTGGTCAAAACTAGTAGATGAACCCTGAAGTCATATTCAGGTTTCGGGTCAATTATCAGGCTGCCTGGTCATATTGCCCGATCAAGGTTATAACATAAATACTTTTATTTCTTGAATAGCAAAGAAGATATTTCTTTTACACTAACTTTATTCATGAAACATGACACACAAATACACTGAAATTAAAAGGAAAATTGTGAAAGACCATTCGTGATTGTGAATGGGCCTGTTATTTCTTACCACTTTTATAAGGAAAAAAATCGCTGCAAGTCAGTAATGAGATTGGGAGGTCCTGTTTCAGCAAGAAAAACACATTAGTCACTTTCATCTCAACACGTTCCCAAAGTGTCAAACAATTTTATGATACATTTTGATAAACAAACTAATCACACTTGACCTTTCATTTTTTGGCCACTTATGTAATTTACGCGGCTCTTATTGATTTTTAAGTGTACTAGTTGGCAGATTTTTTTATCTTACGTTAGTGCCAGTAAAATCTGCCAACTAAGGATTTTATGCGCCAGAATTAATATTTTGTCGCATTTGGTGCCATTGGCAGGTGGCAGCTGGTGGCAGCTGCCATTGGCTCCAACTTTTCTGATTGGCGAATGGGTAGAAAACCCTGCTGTCAAGATATTATAATTTTAGTAGTAAACATTAAACATGTTATGACCATTACTTTTTGGGGCTTGATTTGCTTCGCAATATTCTTGGGTAACTATATGATTTTTTTTTTCAGACCTTATCTGTGGGTCTAGGAGGAAATGTGGCTAATGTGCAAGATCAAAGTTGTTTGATTAACTCGGATAACAGCTTATTCTCAGTGCAACATTTAAAATTTCATTACCCCTTTCTGGAGGGCAAAGGGCATAAACCTCAGTTGCAGTGTATAGAAGGAAACAGTGAGAAGCTAGTGGGACTAAATTCAGTCTCCAAATACGATGTATTCACATATTTGAGACCTTTTTATTCAAGGAACCAGGACTTGTTGAAATGCCTGGCTCGAGTTGTGGAACCAGCAAAATTTAATGACACAATTCACGTAACAGGAGCAGAAAATAGTTTGTCTCAAAGCACGCGGGAGATAAAGACACGCTTCAATTCAGATAACCATGCTCTTGAAAGCTTTGATGCATTCTCTGCAATAGAACATGAAGTGAACAAAGACTTTTCGAACAGTTTACATATGAGTTTACCACAGGGTACTGTAAAAGCTGAAGAAAAGGATACATACATGAACAGTTCAATGTCAAACAACAAGAATGATGACACAGAAGGTGATAGTAATAGGCCATCATTAGAACAGCTGGAAACTGTGAAAGAATACTATATTGAACAGGTAGGTTGCTTTACCATTTCTTCACTTCTTTTTTTAATTTTTCTCTTTTTCATATAGTTTGGCTTGATAGCATTTTTCCCAGTGGCACAAATGCCTGTTTTTAGGTGTGTTTTTTTTTTCAAAAGAGGTATGAAAAAAGGACAAAACAGTCCATTGATTGTTAAATTGTTTGTTTTCTAGGATTTTGGGAACATGACCCATACCCATGGAATCGGGAATTTCAACAATGTTTTGTTGAAAATTGGAATAAAATGCATGACTTAAATTTTGCAGTGATTAAATGAATGCAAAGAATCACTGTCTTGGATGACGTATTCAAACATTTATGCACCGTAGCAGTGAAGAAGCACTTATTTTAAAAGATTTTAGAATTTGCTTTTCAATTATTTTATTTTGTAACTTGGGAAAATAATGTACTATTTTCAATTGGGAATATGACAGAATATCGGCTATAGAATAAGCCCAAAAAAAAATCCCTGAATTTTCTTTTGTTGAAAACTTTTCATGTTTAGATTCAATGCTTTTTATTGGGTCGTTTTGGGTTGTTTGCCCATCAGCAAAAGTTTAAATTTTGGGCCCCTTTTTTTTCAAACTTTTTAAAAAAAGTTATAAACAGGGGAAATCTTGGTGTTTTGTTTCTTTTCATGATATGGTGCATTTTGTTAAGAAAAGGGGGCATTTTTTTTCCCTGAGAAATTTTTTTTGGGAAAATTATCCCCTTCTTTAACTTAAAATTTTTAAAACTAATGTGTAAAACCCCCCATGGGGTGTTTAAATTTTTTTTAAGATAAGAGAGAAACCCGGGATTTGAAAACATTTTTTAACTTTTTTTTTCTTTTTCTGAAAAAAAATTTAAACACCTTTGCTACCAGTAAAGGGTAGGCCCCCCCCTTCACACCCCATAAGTGCCCTGGACTTGAATAACTTCAAATTTTCTTCTCAGTACTCCTAAAATTGTCAATGGACAGTTTAAAAAATGTGAGCTGGACAAATCCATTTCAGAAATTCAACTGGTAAAGGATTAAATCTTTTCCGTTTCAGGTGCCTAAAATGCCGACACAGACTGAAAATTTCTCATCAGGGTTGCACCATCATGAGATTGTTTTTGAGAATAATTTCTTTAAGAAGCCTAAAGTGACAATGTAAGCTTTGTTTTTAGAATGTTTAAATATGTATATAGTCAGAAATAACTTCAAATAAGGTGAATGATGTGTTACATCATGGCATAGTGAACCTCTACCAAACTTGTTTCATTTCAATCATGGCATATGATTGAAAATTATATGACATTATGGCATATGAGTGAAAAATTTGTATCATAGATATTATGACTGTAAAAATATAAATTTGTGTCATATGGCATAATGGCTCTGTGAGTGAAAATTTATGTAATAGGGCATTATGACCGTTTTAGTGAAAATTTATGTCATAGGGTATTATGGCTCTGTGAGTGAAAATTAATGTCAGGGCATTATGGCTCTGTGAGTGAAAATTTATGTCATAGGGCATTAAGACCGTGTGAGTGTAAATTTGCGTCATAGGGCATTATGACCGTGTGAGTGAAAATCTGTGTCAAAGGGCATTATGGCCGTGTGAATGAAAATTTATGTCATAGGACATTAAGACCGTGTGAGTGTCAATTTGCGTCATAGGGCATTATGACCGTGTGAGTGAAAATTTGTGTCAAAGGGCATTATGGCCGTGTGAATGAAAATTTATGTCATAGAGCATTATGGCGTGTGAGTGAAAATTTATGCCATAAGGCATTGTGGCTCTGTGAGTGAAAATTTATGTTATCTATATAGGGCATTATGGAGTGTGAGTGAAAATTTATGCCCTAGGGCATTATGACTGTGTGAATAAAAATTTGTCATAGGGCATTATGACTGTGTGAATGAAAATTTACGTCATTGGGCATTATGATCGTGTGAATGAAAATTTATGTCAAAGAGCATTATGGCCGTGTGAGTGAAAAATTAAGTCATAGGGCATTATGGCCTGTGAGTGAAAATTTGTGCCAAAGGGCATTATGACTGTGTGAATAAAAATTTGTGCCATAGGGCATTATGACCGTGTGAATGAAAATTTATGTCATAGGGCATTATGACTGTGTGAATAAAAATTTATGTCATAGGGCATTATGACCGTGTGAATGAAAATTTATGTCATAGGACATTATGGCGTGTGAGTGAAAATTTATGTTATCTATATAGGGCATTATGGTGTGTGAGTGAAAATTTATGTCATAGGGCATTATGACTGTGTGAATAAAAATTTATGTCATAGGGCATTATGACTCTGTGAATGAAAATTTATGTCATAGGGCTGTATGACCGTGTTGGTGAAATTTATGTCATTAGGGCATTAAGACCGTGTTAGTGAAAATTTATGTCATAGGGCATTTTGGCTCTCTAAGTTAAAAATTTGTATCATATAGCATTATGGCCATGTGAGTGAAAATTTGTGTCATATGGGAGGGAACATTCATTCAAGAAGTTTATTTTTATATTACTTCACATGATGCTGTTTGTTTGTAATATAAATTTAGGGAGAGAGGCTTTGTAAATTATTTATTTTTTATGGATGTACAGTAACCTCCACAGTTGGGACCTCGGCAACAACATATTTATAAGCTGTATATTGTTATAAGTAATAGAAAGAGCACCGAAACACGAGGTTATCTGATTTGTACGAGGGGGTATTAATCAGATTACCGAGTGTTTTGGTGTTCTTTCTCTTTTGTATCATAGTCAAACATAAAAACACGTTCCCTGTTGTCACAATATGAAACCCCGGCAAAAATGAACCAATGAACGAACATCTGAATATGATATTTCTGTCGCTTTCCCTTTCTCTGCCGTCACAATATGTAAACCCCAGCAAAAATGAGCCAATCAATGGGCATGCTCTGGAGTGCGGGTAACTAATACCCGCACTCCAGTTAACGCACTGTGCATGTATATGTATACGATTTAACCCTGACACATTTTCAACAGAAAGGTCCCCAAACTATGATACAAGCTATAGATATTGTTATAAGTGGAGTTTACTGTAACATAGGCATATAGTCGATTGAGATATTTAAACTGTTAAAAATGTTAGTTTCACTATATATCTGTCAGATTCTTTACAAACATAATTTTTTTCTCTACATTTTACAGGGGTTTAGCCAAATATTCACTACAGTTGACATATATGAAATGTGTTGCAGCTATCATGTTTCCCAGAGTAGAGTTGGAGGTAAGCCCTTTAAGATTTATCTTTATCTTAATATAATTTTGTAGGGGACTTGTCTAATAACCTTATAAATGTAAAAGATTTTCCCTAAAAAAGGTGAATGGTTATGTCCAGATAGAGTTCGTGGCCAAGTGGTTAAGGTCGTTGACTTCAAACCACTGTGAACTCGAATCCCGACAGGAACTTTGGATTCTTTCATGTGAGGAAGCTACCCAGCTAGCTTACGGAACATCGGTGCTTCTACTCAGGTGCCCATTCGTGCCTGAAAAAATGCACAGAGGGGCACCTGAGGTCTTACTCCCTCAGTAAAGCTGGAAAGTCGCCAAATGACCTATACTGTGTCGATGTGACGTAAAACCCAAGTAAAAAAAAAAAAAGTGTATGAATCCTGTTAAGTTTGATTATCTTGTAATATTTTTTGGTTCATCTGGAGGCATGCAGCTGTAAGGTTTTTATGATATGATTTTTATTTCATTTTTTTTTCTCTTTCAGATTCAGAGTATTTTATCGAATTATGAAGAAGGTTGTGTAAAAATGCATTGGAGAATGTATATGTTTACAACACTTGACTTTTTCAAATATTGGATACCATTTGTGAAGGAGGGCGAAAAAAAGTAAGTAATTTCTAAATTCTTGTCAGTTTTTTTCTGTTCTGGTTTTAATTCTTAATTTGCTGAATTTAATTTTACAAAATGAATTTTCACTGTGTTGAATATGGAACAGTACCTGCAAATTAATTTTAATATCAAAGTAAGAATTTGAGATACAGTAGTAAGGTGGCGGGTCGGACTGCCCAGATGATCTGTCTGGCCTGACTTGTTGGTGGTGGCAAAGGTTATACACTGTCGGTTTTCAGCAGGTTAAGGTGGTAAAGAGTCTGTGGATAACTGCCTTCTACCCAGGGAATGTGGGGTCCAGGTGGCAGACTTGAATGTAGTTAATAAGAACATGTTCAATAATCAACCTTTAATGAGAATGTGTTTAAAAAGAAAAATAGTTTTGATGGGCTTTCATTTGAAGATATCCATTAAAATACTCATAAGTACATAATGATAATACTTGTAGTTCATTGATTTTTTTCCCCCAACAAACTGTATTAAAATTTGCTGACGTTCATCACCCATTGTGAATTGAAAAATTAATTAAAAGTCTTGCAGTATTTGTATTTATAAATGGTCATTAAGCTTTGGAATATATTATATTTGTATTTTACGTTATTTATTTCACACCTGTTACCAATGAACTTTCAGCGTTTGCACCATGTGATCTTCTAATAAAAATCTAAATCTGATCCATCTTTATCAATTTTGGCCTTATTTTCATTTTATAAGGTTAAAAAAAAAAATCCTCATCAAATTGTTTTGTACTCCATCTAGCTTCCGAGTCCAAAACATCAATATCAAATCCATATTGTATTTGAAGTAACAAAGTTCTGACATAATGTTTAAAAAAATTGCTAGTGTGAAATAAAGAAGTTGTTAAACATTTTTAAGTACAAAACTGATTCTTTTATAGGACAAGCCGACAAGGTGCTATCCAAGTCCGATTTAGGTTTTGCACTTGTGTACTCATTTTATAAAATTCAGTATTGTACTCTATTTTTACCTCACATGTTTTTCAATTCAAGCCAACAATTTTTTCTTTTTTATGAAAATGCACATTTAGTGGCCCTGTTTTTGGTTGTTGTGAATTTCCTTACTCACAAAATGCTTTCTTCTATTTGTTTACAGAAGTATAGATGCTATATCAACATTTTATCTGAACAAAGATGGGCTGATAACCTTACACAGGCTTGACAGGGTAATCATTTTTAGCTTGTCCAAGCACTTCTCTTTTGTGAGCTTTAAGAATCTTTCATTGTCTTGTCGTCAATCCATCATCCACAATTGTTTCAAATGACATGTTCTCTGTAACTACCAAACTTGCCTGTAATGTTCCTTGCATCTTGCTCTACCCAAAATTGTTCAAATGGTTACACTTCATTGCACTTAAGGGTGACAGACCTAAAAATAGAGTGCCAACTATAAATCTATTCTTCTGCAAAACTGTAAGGTCTGAGGTTCAGATATTTGTTAAGTTGCTGCTTGCATCTCCTAGAATGTGTGCTAAAAATGTTTGGTTTTGTATTAAGTTCAAATCTTTTTATATACGCCCGTTTGAAAAACGGGACGTATTATGGAACGCCCCTGGCGGGCGGGCGGGCGGGCGGGCGGGCGGGCGGCGTCCAATTTTGTCCGGAGCATATCTCCTACATGTATGGAGGGATTTTAATGAAACTTCATATAAATGTTCACCACTATGAGGAGCAGTGTCGCGCACATGAACCAGGTCTCTAGGTCAAAGGTCAAGGTCACACTTAGAGGTCATTGAAAAATGCTTGTCCGGAGCAAAACTTCCACATGTATAGAGGGATTTCAATATTACTTGGCACAAATGTTCACCATTGTGAGGCGGAGTGTCGCGTGCAAGATTCAGGTCCTTGCGGCCAAGGTCAAGGTCACACATAGAGGTCAAAGTTCAGATAAAAATATGAAGATGTGTATATGGACCATTTAGTCATCATTAATTGAGGGATTGTAACACAAATGGTCATTATCAAGACTATGGCTGTGATACATATAATTTAGGTCAATATATACAAGGTCAAGGTCACTAAAGATGATGAAATATCCAGATTTTGTAAATAGAATTTAATCAAGGGAGACAACAAAGTTATTACTTTGTTCATAAATGACTTACACAATTACTCCCCTTGATCTAAAAATAGAATTTAATCAAAGGGCATGAAATAATCCTCTTTCTTGGACTTGAGTATGTTGTAAAGAATGTAACATTTATTTACACATGTTTCATTCATTGGTCAAGATTCTTAACTGTGATAACTATGGTGTTCTGTAGACTTGGTATTTGTTCATAAAGATCATACAGTAATTACCTTATCAAATGTAAATACTTTCTCATAGAAATTTAATTATATTTTAATTTTCAAGTAAATATCAGTTCAGCTCATTCAAAGATTAAGAATTGTAATGAAATGTATTTCCCTAGAATAAAATCTTAAATCAGAATTTTTTAGTTATTAAATTACATGTACTTTTTATACGCCCGTTTAATAAAAGATAAATATATGAAGATGTGTATAGGGACGATTTAATCATCATTTATTGAGGGATTGTAACACAAATGGTCATTATAATGACTACGGCTGTGACACATGTACTTTCGGTCAATATATGCAAGGTCAAGGTCACTAAAGATGGTGAAATATCCAGATTTTGTCTGGAGCATATCTCATACATGTATGGAAGAATTTTTATAATACTTTATGGAAATGTTCACCACCATGATATGTATTGCTCCATGCATGATCCAGGTCTCCAGGTCAAAGGTCAAGGTCACACTTAGAGCTCATTGAAAAACGCTTGTCCGGAGCAAAACTTCTACATTCATAGGGGGTTTTCAATATAACTTGGCACAAATGTTCACCATTGTGAGGCTGAGTGTCGCATGCAAAATTCAGATCCCTGCGACCAAAGTCAAGGTTACACTTAGAGGTCAAAGTTCAGATAAAAATTTGAAGATGGTTATAGGGACCATTGAGTCATCATTTATTGATGGATTGTAGCACAAATGGTAACTATCATGACTACAGGTGTTACACATTTAATTTAGGTTAATATTTGCAAGGTCAAGGTCACTGGAGATGATTAAATATCCAGATGTTGTCCGGAGCATATTTTCTACATGCATGGAGGAATTTTAATGTTACTTTTATAGAATTGTTCACCACCATGAGACGTAGTGCCTTGCACATAAACCAAGTCTCTAGGTCAAAGGTGAAGGTCACAGTTAGAGCTCATAGAAAAACACTTGTCTGGAGCAAAACTTCTACATGCATAGAGGGATTTCAATATAATTTGGCACAAATGTTCATCATTGTGAGGCTGAGTGCCGTGCATAAAATTCAGGTCCCTGCAACCAAGGTCAAGGTCACACATTCTGTGCATATCTTCCCTATTGATTTGTTTTAAGGTTCATTTAACAACACAGTGCCAAGAATAAAAACTTGCTTGCTAGATAACACTTATCCATAATGCCCCCATCTCCATCTAAAGCTTTTTTGTAAACGGGCGTATTTTGTGACTATGGCACCCTTGTTTAATAGAGCATATCACTGATGTGAAGGTCAAGGTTTGAACCCTGATTGTTGCTAGAAGTTACCTGGCATGGCACTTGGTAGGTTACAGGGATTGTTCTAGGAGGGGTACAGATTTATATCGTAATTAGTATAATGAGATAAATGTGTCTATATATATGTATTAAGTTTTATAATGCCAACCCACTGTTTTCCAGTGAACACCATTCTCTAGATAGGGCTTGATTTCCTAGAACTTTACTCAACAGATAACACTTCATTACATTTTGAGATGTGTAAGTGACAGAATGCGGTACAAATATAAATATTATTGAACATGTTAAACCATTAAGACTTCTGGAGGCAACTGTTTTTACCTACCCCTTACCCCTGAGCAGGGTCTGCACTGTTAGCCATTCAGTCAGTATATAGATGTGTTATGAATTATTCCCAAATGAAAGGTTTTGTAGAAATTTGGTTTTGCCGAAATTAAAAATGGGAAAGGGGAAAGTCCATTTAAGATAAAGACAGTGATGATGATAATTTAGTGGTGATGAAAAATTTGTGAAGATCATGGAATGAGGCAAACGAAAAGGGAGGTAATCCATATGGTCCTCTGATTTATTTATATGTTGTGAATTCACTTAAATTAAGTGGCATAAATTTCATGGTTTTGTCAGAAAGGATATTTTTGTGAATTCTTTAATTTATGGATTGTTCGGATTCTTTAATTTATGGATTGTACATGCATAAAAGTAAAATGCAAATTACATTGTATGTTATTAAAACTCTTACAACAGACAAAATAAAAATTCATTAAAAATTCATTGGATCTTAAATTCGGGGATTGACCACAGAAATTAGTGCCCCACAAATAATTATGATTTTGCTGTATTCTTTATAAATTTTTATTTTCAGAGACTTCCAATATCAAAACCAAACAAAAATCCTGTAGCAAAGATGGCAGGTAAAACAGCGCAAATGTTGGGCTTGGCCCCAAAGTCCAGCTGTAAAGAATCCTCTAAAGAACATTCTAATCTGAGAACAGGTTAATGGTTCTCTGTTGTGATAAATACTACATAGGTTTTATAGAATAATAACGGAATACTGGTGAACCAGTCTCACAAGAGAAGAGGTCATGTGATCAGTAATAGCCAATAGGATCATTCTTTGTGCTCTGGGCTGGTTTTTTTCAGAGAGAAACATTAATCTTGTTTGTTTCAAGATGGCGTGACGGGTGTTTTCTATAAAAAGTGTAATACATAAAGGGTTCTTTTTTTTATAAAAGCAGTTTTGAAAACTGGCAACAAAAAGACTATAATAAACCATGTGTGCAGACTTAAAATTGTGTTGAATAGGAAAAATAAAGAATTTTAATTGGAATGTATTTATATAGGATTATCATCATATATTATCATGTTAATATTATAATGAGTGTGATTAATGTTTTCAACTTTTTTTTAATGACTTCTAGTTTAAGAATTATGCATAGAATGTCGCTGAAATCCTGTCATATTCTGTTATTGTTATATCCTGTTGCTGAAATACTGTTGTGTAATGTATCAAGTATAAGACAGATTTATGCATGTTTAACAGGGCTGCCGATTTTCCACGGATCCGCAGAAATCCGCGGATTTCGTGAGCTCCTGGGTCATTTTTGAGATCGATGTAAATTCGACAAAGACAATAAATTCATTTGTCATATTTTATACAGTACCTAAAAACCGGCACGCTTCGGCTTTTATCGTTACGCTAGCCGCCTATGGTACGTCTGTAAGCGCTTTTCTCATTGGTCATATCGAGTCTTTTCCAGCATTCTATTTTAGAATAACCAAACAAATTACAGTTTACATTGTCGCTCTTGTATTTTGTCAAAATGTCGGATATTTGTCAAATTTAGAGTCCAGGAAATTGATTTTAGGGCATACCAAATTGGCCCCCTTGACCCCCGCCGTATTTTCCGCTGATTTTGCAATTTGCTGTTGGCAGCCCTGATGTTAGAAACTTAATTTATAAAACTGCACTAATGTAACTTAGATCCTCATTGGATAATCTAGATGTTTGTATTTTATTTAAACACTACTGCTACAATTTTATGGATAAATTTTCATTTGTACTAAGCCTTGATAACTTAAGACTGGTTATATGGCCATTTTTTTTTAATGCTCCACATTTAATAAACTCAGGCCCCGCGTTCATTAAGGAAAGATCACGAGCAAGTGATCCTGATTTTATTTTCATTATTTTGTGTTACTAAAATTAATCGTGTTTTGCTAGAATTAAATGGTAAATATTCAAAATGTAAAAAACTGCTGATTTGAAAAGAAATCAAACTGATTTTGAGATAAAATCAACAAATAAAACAAATTTACAAAACTATTCAGATCAAAATGAGGATCAGGATCAATATTTGGACCAACTGTAAAATGCCTTGCTCTTGTAAAAATAACAAAAAAATTTATTCTAAAATTTCATAAACTTACTATTGCAAGTCCAATTTTACCAGTTTTATCAAATAATATTAGGTATTTAATCTACGAGGCTAATAGAGGTTTTAAATTTGATCTTGATCCTTAAATCTTTGTGAACACGGGGCCAATTTTCATTGCAATAGTCAATAGTGTAACATTTATATAAACTTTATACACGATTGCCGTTTATTTATGAAGTAATTCCATTTTTTTTCTCGAACAAAGATGGAAGTTTGCTATATTCTTAAATCGCTATAAAGATTCTTGACAGGTTATATTGTTGTATATAAATAAGTTGTTATGCCCCCACAAAGTGGGAGCATATAGCGTTGCACTTGTCCGTCCATCTAAACGTCTGTCTGTACATCCCGAAATCTTGTGAACGCAACTCCTCTTAAACCGGATGGCAGATTTTGCTTAAACTTCCAGGGATGAACAACCTTAATGTGTAGATGGTAGTTAAGGAATGAATTTTCGCTGCGACCAAATTTTACAGAATTATGGCCCTTTGTTGATTTTTTCACTTTATGCTATGTAGAAATTTTGTGAACGCAACTCCTCTTAAACCGGATGACAGATTTTGCTTAAACTTCCAGGGATGAACAACCTTAATGTGTAGATGGTAGTAAAGGAAGGAATTTTTGCTGCGACCAAATTTAACAGAATTATGGCCCTTTGTTGATTTTTAGTTTTTAACTTGTGACACATGTAGTCCAAAAAATATTTTACCTAGAGTCATAAGATTGACAGAATAGTGGCGTGTGGGGGCATCCGTGTCCTATGGACACATTTCTAGTTTTCAGTATAACCTTTGTCTAGCAGATTGGATTATATATGCAATGAAATGTTTATATATGGGAATATAACCCGTCAAAAATCCTGCTAGAGATTTTGAAAAATTCTCATGTACAGAATTTTTCCAGCTAGCTTACAGTATGCCTGTGGTTCCACGTGGGTACCAACCTGTGCCTGAAATAATATATTAAAGAGAATAGGAGGTTTTTCTCCATCTGTAATGCTGGATCATTGATATAGAGGATATTGAATGAGTGTAGTTTAATACTAAATTTAATGAACAAGTTGAATAAAATCATATTATGCGAGCCTCTGGCGAGCATAATATTGTTTTATTCAACTCGTTCAATAAATTTAGTATTGAATCTACACGAATATAATATTCTATTTATCACATATATAAAATAAGAACAGTAAACTGTTAAAATGAGTAATTTTTTTCAAAGACGCGCCTATAGTGTAATGCTAACATTAGCGTGCTTTAACGCTATGTTTATATATTGCGCAAATGATTTCACTTCAAAGTGTTATTACACTAGTGAATATAGTTTTTATTAAATGGCTTTATTACACTCCTGCGCCGCGGTTTATGTGATAAATATAACTTATACAACAAAAAACACTGCAAGATGTTCTCTTATTGTCAGAGATGTGATATTAAAAATAACAAAACAAGTACTGTAGAACTGATTTTATTTATGTCAGACTAATTTTCACGAATTTTTTTTTTGAATACTGGTATTATTTCCTAAAATGCGAAAATTATCACGACACAAATTAAAAGCAGTTTACAGAATGTGCTTGAAAAATTGCTTGTAGTGCTTGGTAGATAAAAATGTGCTATACTTTTAGTTAGGTAAGTTAAAGATCCTGTAACCCATTTTGTTCATGGTTTTGTATCATAAATAGGATGCTCAAATAAAGATTTTATCAATTTTGTAACTTCCAAAAAACATTATTTATTAAGATATTACCGAATTTACCATTTCATGTAGATAAAGGGAGGTAGTAAAAATTTATTTTCTATAAAGTCTTAGTCAAATTTTTCAATAAGAAATGAATGCCTTTATTTTAATGATTACATATAATGTGGACAAATATTTGCAGTACATATTTTACATATTCTTCGATGTTTGAAAATTGTTTCATAAGCATAATTATATACATATATAAAATTTCACTTAAGTGTGGTATACAACCTCAATTAAATAGGCAGGATCTTTAACCTCATATATTTTATGATTTAAGTCACAGGCAATAGAATTATAACTTTGTTATATGTGTTATTATTGTATTTGTTCACTTTCAAATAAAACAAGAGGGCCATGATGGCCCTAGATCGCTCACCTGAATTATCAAACTCATCCAAACAATTACCTAGACAAGCATTCTGACCAAGTCTCATGACAGGTGAGTCAAAAATGTGACCACTACAGTGTTAACAAGGATTATCCATATTTGAGCAGTGCGACCTAGTTTTTTACCCAGGTGACACATATTCAAACTTGACCTAGAAATCATCAAAACAAACTTTCAGACCAATTTCCAGGATACTTGGATCAAAACAGTAGCAACTAGAGTGTTAACAAGATTTTTCTATTTTTAGCTCCGGTGACCTAGTTTCACATGCGATTTCGAACTAATCCAAGCAATTACCTAGACAAGCATCCTGACCAAGTTTGATGATAATCGAGTCGAAAATGTGACCACTAGAATGTTAACAAGGTTTTTCCATATTTGGGCGGTGTGACCTAGTTTTTCATCCAAGATGACCCATGTTTGATCTTGACTTAGAAATCATCAAAAAAAAACTTTCAGACCAATTAACAGAATATTTGGATCACAACAGTAGCCACTAGAGTGTTAACAAGATTTTTCTATTTTTAGCTCATGTGACCTAGTTTTTCATCCGAGATGTCCCATGTTCGATTTATTCCAAGCAATGACCTATTCAAGTTTCCTGACCAAGTTTGATGACAATTGAGTCAAAATTGTGACCACTAGAGTGTTAACAAGGTTTTTTCTATTTTTAGCTCCTGTGACCTAGTTTTTCATCCGAGATGACCCATGTTCGAACTCATCCGAGCTATCACCTAGACAAGCATCTTGATCAAGTTTGATGATGATTGATGCAAAAATGTGACCGCTAAAGTGTTAACAAGGTTTTTCTATTTATAGCTCCGGTGACCTAGTTTTTCATCCGAGATGACCCATATTCGAACTCATCTGAGCTATTATCTAAACAAGCATCCTGACAAAGTTTGATGATGATTGGGTCAAAAATGTGACCACTAGAGTGTTCACAAGGTTTTTCTATTTTTAGCTCCTGTGACCTAGTTTTTCATCAGAGATGACCCATGTTCGAACTCATCCAAGCAATTGACTAGACAAGCATTCTGACCAAGTTTGATGATGATTGGTTCAAAAATGTGACCACTAGAGTGTTCACAAGGTTTTTCTATTTATAGCTCCTGTGACCTACTTTTTCATCCGAGATGACCCATGTTCGAACTCATCCGAGCTATCACCTAGACAAACATCCTGACCAAGTTTGATGATGATTGGGTCAAAAATGTGACCTCTAGAGTGTTCACAAGGTTTTTCTATTTTTAGCTCTTGTGACCTAGTTTTTCATCCGAGATGACCCATGTTCGAACTCATCCGAGCTTTCAACTAGATAAGCATCCTGACCAAGTTTGATGATGATTGAGGCAAAAATGCGACCGCTAGAGTGTTCACAAGAAATTGTGGACGGCCGGACGGACGACGGACATTCACCGATCCTAAAAGCTCACCCTGAGCAAGCTCAGGTGAGCTAAAAAAAGATATGAAAGAATTTATTTGTTAGCAGTTTATTCAAGGCATCTCATGAAAAAGATTTATGCATGTAAAGCTGAAAATTGATTGAATTGAGTTGTATGAAAGTGATAAGTTTAAGCATATTTATTGAAGCTCGATTACGAAAGATCTTGCAGCTTATATTAATCACTTTTGAGTCCACTTCCTGGAACCAACCAGTACTGGTGCCATTTGAAGAAATATGGTCCTGACCGAATAGGGCTCGAACCCATGGTCCCTAAGTTGAGAGGCAGACACCCTAACCACTAGGCAACCGCTCCCCTTGTATGAGTGTTGATGTTTGTCCGCCAAGGCTGAGCAAAATCGAATCATGCACCACTGTGGGTGCAGCTTCTGTTGTTATCCCCCGCCGATGGAATCGGGAGGGGGATATAGTTTTGGCGTTGTCCATCTGTCCGTCCGAATTTCGTTTCCGGAGTAGTTCTCTGCAACTACTGGCTGGAATTCAACGAAACTTTTTGGGAATCATCAATATCAAGAGGAGATGCGCATCTGACCGTCCGTTTGTCCATCCGTCCGAATTTCGTTTCCGGAGTAGTTCTCTGCAACTACTGGCTGGAATTCAACGAAACTTTATAGGAATCATCAATATCAAGAGGAGATGCGCATATCGTCGGCTTGTTCCGGTCAGACACTTTAACTCAGAGTTATTGCCCTTGATTAGTTATGTAGTATGCATATAGAGTAAAAATCGTTTCCACGCTACTTCTCTGCCACTACTGGCTGGAATTCAACGAAACTTTATGGGAATCATCAATACCAAGAGGAGATGCGCATATCATCGGCTTGTTCCGGTCAGACACTTTAACTCAGAGTTATGGCCCTTGATTAGTTATGCAGTATGCATATGGAGTAAAAATCGTTTCCGCGCTACTTCTCTGCAACTACTGGCTGGAATTCAACGAAACTTTATGGGAACTTTCAATACCAAGAGGAGATGAGCATATCGTCGGCTTGTTCCGGTCAGGCACTTTAACTCAGAGTTATGGCCCTTGATTAGTTATGCAATATGCATATGGAGTATAAATCATTTCCGGAGTAGTTCTCTGCAACTACTGGCTGGAATTCAACGAAACTTTATGGGAATCATCAATATCAAGAGGAGATGTGCATATCGTCGGCTTGTTTCGGTCAGACCCTTTAACTCAGAGTTATGGCCCTTGATTAGTTATGTAGTATGCATATAGAGTAAAAATCGTTTCCGCACTACTTCTCTGCAACTACTGGCTAGAATTCAACAAAACTTTATGGGAACCTTCAATACCAAGAGGAGATGCGCATATCATCGGCTTGTTCCGGTGAGACACTTTAACTCAGAGTTATGGCCCTTGATTAGTTATGCAGTATCCATATAGAAAACTATTTGTTTCCTCGCTACTTCTCTGCTACCACCAGCTGGAATTCAATGAAACTTTATGGGATACTAAGAGGAGATGTGCATATAGTCGCCTTGTTCCAGTCAGATACTTATAACTCAGATTTATGGCCCTTGATTAGTTATGTAGTATGCATACATCTCATTGGCATTTCCAGATTTTACTATTTAACACAAAGTTATGGCTCTGTTATTTCCCTGAATATTTATCAGTTCAAGTTCAAAGAATATTACTGTTTATGCCATGATTAATATATAAATAAAGCCTTATGTCTTAAGTTGTTGTGTTAATAATAACCAGTACTCGGCGGGGGATATAAATTCAACGAATTTGCTTGTTAAAATATATTTATCCATCATTCATGAATTATTTTTCTTGACAGCTATATTTCCGTTATTACTTGTGACATAATCAATTTGCTCGTATGAAATGACAACTCCCAGAAAACTACTACAATGTAATATTCCGTATTTTTATTCATTCATACCAATATTATTCCTTTAGCTAAAATCATATTAAACATTGATTTGGCTGTTCAGATATCAACAAGCAAATTCGTTGAACTTATATCCTCCGCCGAGGACTGGTTATTATTAACACAACAACTGAAGACATAAGGCTTTATTTATATATTAATCATGGCATAAACAGTAATATTCTTTGAACTTGATAAATATTCAGGGCAATAACAGAGCCATAACTTTGTGTTAAATAGTAAAATCTGGAAATGGCAATGAGATGTATGCATACTACATAACTAATCAAGGGCCATAAATCTGAGTTATAAGTATCTGACTGGAGCAAGGCGACTATATGCACATCTCCTCTTAGTATCCCATAAAGTTTCATTGAATTCCAGCCAGTAGTAGCAGAGAAATAGCAAGGAAACAAATATTTTTCTATATGGATACTGCATAACTAATCAAGGGCCATAACTCTTGAGTTAAAGTGTCTGACCGGAACAAGCCGACGATATGCGCATCTCCTCTTGGTATTGAAGGTTCCCATAAAGTTTCGTTGAATTCCAGCCAGTAGTTGCAGAAAAGTAGTGCGGAAACATTTTTACTCTATATGCATACTACATGACTAATCAAGGGCCATAACTCTGAGTTAAAGTGTCTGACCGGAACAAGCCGACGATATGCGCATCTCCTCTTGGTATTTATGATTCCCATAAAGTTTCGTTGAATTCCAGCCAGTAGTTGCAGAGAACTACTCCGGAAACGATTTTTACTCTATATGCATACCGTATAAGTGGTTTTTTCTGCGGTGACTTTATTTCTGCGTTTTCTGCGGTCAGTTTCAGCACCGCAGAAATAAAAACCGCAGAATATTTTTCTTTGTGTTTTGTTTTTTAACCTGGTACTATATCTGCACTGCATTATGACCTGTTTCATCTAAACTTTAAAAGTAATAACGACTAACGGATTATAACGGTTAGCGGGTTTTCAAGTTGAATAAAACTGTTGTCTGCTAAGTATGTATACTGTGTTTGTTTGTAAGGATGTACTTATTGTTAATTATTTTAACTTAAGAATAAAAATATTTAAACAGCATGTAATTTATAGTGTTTGCCGATACGCTAAATGTTTGTTTATCACTAAATAATTCAAACCATTTCAACCCTTATACTGCTAAATAATCGTCGAATACTTTAATTGTCATCTGAATTACGGTATCAAATTAAAGATACTACCGGGGTATATTTTTCACACATCATTTCACGCTAATCAAAAATGCATACCTTTCTTTTGTTGTGCATTATATTTGTTTGCAAGGAAGCAATATAATTGTTTGTAATACTGTACAGTCTTTTTGTGACGACGATAAACAAATGCGAATGTGTACATGAAAATAAACTAGAGAAATGTTACTTTGATAAGGAAAGTCGCAGAAATTAAATCACGTTTTGTTCAAAGAATGTGCCGCAGAAATAAAGTCCGCAGAAATTAAAACATGCCAAAATTTGGAAAAACCGCAGAATTAGGAGCCCGCAGAAAAAACCACTTATACGGTACTACATAACTAATCAAGGGCCATAACTCTGAGTTAAAGGGTCGGACCCGAACAAGCCGACGATATGCTCATCTCCTCTTGATATTGATGATTCCCATAAATTTTCGTTGAATTCCAGCCAGTAGTTGCAGAGAACTACTCCGGAAACGAAATTCGGATGGACGGACGGACGGACAACGCCCAAACTATATCCCCCTCCCGATTTCATCGGCGGGGGATAACAAATAATCATTGTCAATAATAATTTTTCACAAAATTAATTCATCATTTAAATGGCATTTACTTGAGCTTGATTGAAATGAAAGGTCAGATGTTCTTTAAACCACATTTTAGTCTGTATACTGGAACACCAGTAGGGTTAGAATTTCTTTAAACTTAGTCAGGGGATGACACTTGTCAAAAGACGGACACTACGTCAAGAATTCGACACTAAGTCAAGAGGACGACACTACCTCTATATAATGTCATATTGTATAAACCACTCCTCCCATTTTGTATTATTTTAGACGTCTCTAGGTTGTTCAAATGTTAATAATTTGTTAACAACAACATCCACTTGTTCTATACTCCCACCAATACTGGATAACATTACGATGAAATATTTCTCGGCACCTGGGCTCGTAAAACTTCTCTGTACTGTCACCATCTTTCTTGATAACCTGCAGACATAAAATTATTCAAAAGATAGATCTTACTAACGATCAAATATATCTGACCCTATATTACATTAATGATTGAAATCTGGGTATAGTTCTGATAACATAAAAGATTATTTACCAGGGATTTTTTTTTGGCTTATTTTAAGCCGTTATTCGGTCATATTCCCAAATGAAAATAGTATATAATTTTCACAATCCACAGGAAAAAATTCCCAATTGAAATTACAAAATAAAAGTATTGAATAAAAATTCTAAAATCTTTGCAAATAAGGACTTCTTCACTGTAATAGTGCTTAAATGTTTGAAGATGCCATCATAGACAGTAATTGTTTGCATCCATTTAATCACTGCAAAATTTCAGTCATGCAGTTTTTCCCAATTTTTAACAAAACGCCATTAAAATTCCAATTTCCATGGGTACGGGTCGTGTTCCCAAAATCCTGTGTATAAACAGGGTGCAGAAGAGATTTGATTTCTATAACCTGAATAACTTGTCAATATTTTGTTCCCATGTTTTTCTGACTTTTATGGTCAATCAAACTAACCAGCTCTACTGGATAACTAACCAGTAATTAACCAATTTCTCCTCAAGTGACTGACTACTAATCACACATGATTTCAGAATCAGCAGTGAGAGACAAATGAACACAAGACCCATTGTGCAAGATCAATCATTGACCCCTGGATTATTGACCCGATGTTCTCTCTAATAAGCTGTGAGAAATTACTGTGTACAGTTATACATGTACGCCAGAATACAAATTTACATATTTTTGTATTTTAGTGTTATCTAAAGGTACACTATCAAGTCAGGAATAAATAACATACATGGGTTATCATGGAATCAAACTTACATTCTAAGTAGTATAAGAGTGATTATGGTCCATTCCGCAGGCTTAAAGAGGATGTTGTTACTTGTCAAACTGAAATATATCATAAATATATATCATATCGTAAATATGTAAAGTGATGATGTCACACTAAAGTTAAACATAGCTTAAATATATAAGGTCAATTAGCACTAAGAACAAAAGCGATCAGTAATCACATGTGTCCCTCATGATGGCCAATTTCATGTTGGGACAAATTTTGTGACAGACGGACAGTGCACAACTAGACTTGGTACTGATCATTCCTGTAAAGTTTGGATAAAATTGCACCAGTAGTTTATGAGGAGTAGTCCGGACAAGCTTTTGCGTATCTGGCAACACACAGAAAAAAACACCTTTTTATCAAAGGGCCATAACTCGGCCAAAAATCATTCAACTGGAAAACCCGTGCAGTACGCGCAAGGACTTGAGCTACAGATCAATCCTGTAAAGTTTCATTGAAATTGCATTAGTGGTATAAGAGAAGTAGTCCGGACAAACTTTAAACTTAAAAATTATTAAAGGGCCATAACTCTGACAAAAATCATTGAACCGGAAAATGCTGACAATATGCACAACTAGACTTGGTACTGATCCTTCCTGTAAAGTTTGGATGAAATTGCACCAGTAATAAATGAGGAGTAGTCCGGACAAGTTTTGTGACGGACGGACAGACAGACAGATGACGGAGAAGTGATCCCTATATGTCGCCACTACTCCATAGAGGCCACACAAAAATGCAACTGCCCCTGTGGTGTGATGGTAGCATACTGGACTGGCAATCCAGAGACCCGTGGTTCGAGTACCAGCTACTGTGTGCCGATTTTTCTGTGTATAATTTCCCACTTACAGATCATCTATCATAGATATGTATCATATCCTATCATAGAAATATATCATATCCTATCACAGATACACATATATATCATATCCTATCATAGATACATGTATATATATCATATCACAGATATGTATACTATTCTATCCTAGATATATCATATATTAGTGAAGTCATGAATGTCAGAGATTTAATTTCATGTAGAAAATTTCACCTTGCCCGAGGATCAAATGAGCAACCCCTTGATTACAAATCCGACGTTCTCCCGTAGCTGAGCTACCGGGTAAGTGGGCGGACATAAACTAGGAATGACAGCTTGTGTTCATCAGCTATGTACATTGTAACATTAAATATTTGTACTTGGATATAAGTCTGACAAGGCACATTAAGAAAATAACCATTAAAAGTAATTGTGCAGCTAGCCTCGCACCGTACATCAAGAATATTGAAACTTACTTGAATGTGTAAATGAGTTCCTTCAACTCTGTACATATATCTTGTACCAGCAAATGCAATGGTGGTAAAATATCTGGTAATCTACAACAACAACAAATTATACATGATATAATAGTGATAGCATATAACAGTACATTCACTAACTTTAATTTGTTTGTTTGTGTTTTAAAGTGTATAAGGCTGCAGTAAATCTGATGAAATACCTTTTATAAAGATTTAAAAACAGTAAAACTTTGTTGTTTTCATAGCCTTATGGCCATTTTATGAAAGATTTGTTGTATAGAATGTCTAAGTCACTTAATATGTATGAGCATTGAATGAGAAGAGAATAAAATGTTACGGAACAAAATATTCTGTAGCTATTCTCGTAGGTTTGATGATGATTTCATGCATGCCCTACTAGCTTTCAATAAAACATAGTGACAAATTTCTTTCAAATTCGGGTATTCTGTAATAATTTTACTAAGTCACAATATAAACAATAATTTTCCAATCCACAAGTATCAAAGATATATCTATAAACTTTAAGTCACTGTACTATCAGTAAGGTCAAAATGTGACATTCTTTGCTTAACTTGTTAAGCAAGAAGGCCTTCAGTGCTTTACGCAGAAACAGTCAACTGCAAAAAACCATCAACATAGCTTGATGCCTTCCAAACATGAAATAAATCAATATCCCTGGTGGGTTACTAAATCATAGGTTTGAAGTGCTAAATTATACCTGTGGTGTAGATATTTTAGGTGCTACAATTAGATGAATCATTCATATAAATATATCACAAATTCACAATCAATCAACACTTGTATACAATATTTTTAGAGATGTGTAACACATCTGCGATTCTTAGACATTTTGTTACAAGCATATCTGCGATTCTTTGACATTTACTTACAAACACATCTGTGATTCTTTGACACTTACTAACAAACACATCTGTGATTCTTAGACACTAACTAACAAATACATCTGCCATTCTTAGACACTAACAAACACATCTGCGAATCTTAGACACTTACTAACAAACACATCTGCCATTCTTAGACACTAACCAACAAACACATCTGTCATTCTTAGACACTAAACAACAAACACACCTGCGATTCTTAGACACTTACTAACAAACACACCTGCGATTCTTAGACACTTACTAACAAATATATCTGTGATTCTTAGACATTTACTAACAAACATATCTGCAATTCTTAGACACTTACTTACAAACACATCTGTGATTCTTACACACTTACTAACAAATATATCTGTGATTCTTAGACACTTACTAACAAACACATCTGTGATTCTTAGACACTAACCAACAAATACACCTGCGATTCTTAGGCATTTACTAACAAACACATCTGCATTTCTTAGGCACTTACTAACAACACATCTGCGATTCTTAGACATTTACTAACATACACATCTGCAATTCTTAGACACTTACTAACAAACACATCTGCCATTCTTAGACACTTAACCAACAAACACATCTGTGATTCTTAGACACTTACCAACAAACACACTGGCGATTCTTAGACTATTACTAACAAACACATCTGCGATTCTTAGACACTCACTAACAAACACATCTGCGATTCTTAGACACCCACTAACAAACACATCTGCGATTCTTAGACACTCACTAACAAACACATCTGCCATTCTTAGACATTTACTAACAAACACATCTGCCATTCTTAGACACTTACTAACAAACACATCTGCCATTCTTAGACACTTAACCAACAAACACACTGGCGATTCTTAGACTATTACTAACAAACACATCTGCGATTCTTAGACACTCACTAACAAACACATCTGCGATTCTTAGACACTCACTAACAAACACATCTGCCATTCTTAGACATTTACTAACAAACACATCTGCCATTCTTAGACACTTACTAACAAACACATCTGCCATTCTTAGACACTTAACCAACAAACACATCTGTGATTCTCAGACACTAAGCAACAAACACATCTGCAATTTCTAGACACTAACTGCAATTCTTAGACACTTACAAACAAAAACATCTGCCATTCTTAGACACTTACTAAAAAACACATCTGCAATTCTTAGACATTTACTAACAAACACATCAGCCATTCTTAGACACCCACAAACACATTCCATATATACTTTGTTTAATGGTAAATAGCCAGGGTTTAACAAGAATGCAAAAGCATGTATTCTAAATGAACTCACTGGAGTTCAGACCCAAAGAGACAGTCTTGCAAAAAAAAAAGCACTTACATTCTGTTTATTCTGTCAAGAACTATCTTCTGTCTAATCAACATTTGATCATATCTGTCGACAGTTGGTAACACAACCTTGTCTGAACCATCGTCCTAAAATACAGGTATGGGCAATAGAGTAAACTGTCTGCTAATACAGTGTCTTAAGCAGCCAATCTGAGCCTGCATCTCTTGTCTGGTTGCTTAAGACAGGTTTGACTGTATTTCAAGTTCTTTCTCCAGGAATGATGTTTAAATCAATTTTGCCAAAGATATCTGTGACAGAAACCTCCAATATGGGTAAATTTCAATTCCATCAGATTCCCTTCCCTCCTCCCTCCACCCAATTCTCTTTTGACCTATTTGGTAAAAAGGGACCATTACCCCTTTCCTGAAAATTTTCCAAGAATATTTTTACATTATGACAGTGTTTTAAACTCACTAATTAGCATATTAGCTATTTTTTTAGAACTTTTTTCTTTTTTACTTTATGCCCAATTTCAGATTTACATACATGTAGCTCCTACTTTGGCAGTACCCAAAATCATTCCCAAATGAATGGGAAAAACACTGAATAACCATATGTTCATCAGATAAAGTAAAGTACATGTAATTCAAATGACCTAAGCTCTGTAAACCTCAAAATGCAGCTATGGCACTTTGCTGACACACAAATTTTTTTTCATAACCACTTTTTTACCCTTGGTTTAAAGTTTTGTAAAATTTTCCCTTTTTTATGGCACAGAAATACCCCCACTCCCTGTTTCAAATGTTACTAACCTTTTTAAAAGTTTGTTTCTCCTGAACTTTGTATGTAAAAGATCCCTTCATAAACTCTCTGACTCGGATCTGATCTTCTTCCAATTCTTCGCGGAGAACTTCAAAATGTGGTAATGGTGCCGAGGGCTTGTCTGTAAAATCTGAATCCATTGTCTCCTCACCTAAACAAATATTTAACGGTTAATGCACTAATCTCTTGTGCATTAACATCTGCAGAAGCACAAGGATGTATTTAAAGGCCAAGCCTGCAGGCGAGGGATTTAATAAGTCTGAGTTTAGCCCTATTCTTGCATAAAAGTATATGTCTAAACTGGTAATTTTGCATTTCATTATCTGTTGCCATGCTTTCAATATGGTAGTGCCATGTCATTTGTCAGTTATGTTTTGCTAATAAAACTACCGGAGCCCCATCATTGCCATTCATCAAAAGATAATATGACTAACTAAGCAGTCCATCAATAGAGAAAAAAATACTGGTAAAATTGTTATAAAAAAGTTCATAAAAAAATAAAGACAAAAACAAATTACCAAGCAGTCCGTCAAAATCTTTCTCCTGTGCATCCACTTTAGCTACAAGAGCTTTGTACTGTTTCTGAAACACCGAGTTAGCAGACTTTGTCTCATCTATATCCCCATCATTATCATCGTCAACTTTTAAATAGGCTATGGTTTTGTCAGTGATCCAAGATCTAACCCCTCTACTGATTAAATCTAATACTGACAAAGATTTTGTCTTCTTTTGATTGTCACAAGCAATGTCATTTACAAAACTTTTGCCTTTCTTCTTTTCTACTTTAGATTTACAATAACTTTTCTCAGAAGTTTTAATTTCAGAATGTTCTTCATGTCTAGGTAGAGCGTCTTCTTTTGGTTTAGTAGCACTGGATTCTGGTATTTCAATTATATCAACTTTTTCCTTCTTATTAGTATTGTTCTCTGCTCTTTTCTCAACAGTTTTAGTCTTATCACCAATATTGTCACATTCTATGTCCCCCTTTGTTGTCTCCATGCTATCAATTTTATCACTAATGATATCAGATCCTTCTCCATGCTTAGTCACAGCACTCACATTGTTTTCCTCATTTTGAATATCTGCCATCTTACTTAGAAGTGCTTTTCTCTTATCAAGTAACTGCATTAGGTAATCTGTTTTTGATTTACTTGGACCAACTTCTTTATGTCTTTTAGAACTTTTAGATTCAGATGAATTTTTCACATTGTGTTTAATTGTTTCTTTGACTGTGGTCTTTTCAATTACAACATCATCAACACTATTGTTAGTAGTTTCTGTATCAGTTACCTTACCTGCATGACCACTAGACATTTCCTGGTCATTTCTACTGTCATTCGTTTCTATACTAAGCTCATCCATTGCCTTGTCAAGAGTGTATGTGACTGAATCATCTCTTTTAATGCTGTCTTTTTCATCATGGTTACCATCATTTACTTGAGTGTCTATCTTTTTGTCATTTTCTTTCTTCTCACTTTCCAAAGAATCACCATCTATAACTTTCTTAGCAGATTTTTTCATTTCCTTTTCTTTCTCTATCTCTATATCATGTTCGTGTATTCTTTCCGCCAGGTTTTTCTGGTATTTTTCTAG